AGAAAACTGTAAATTTGATTACAGTTATACCTACCATACCATTTTTTAAAAACAGTATGAAATAAATATTGATCAGTAAAAAATACGAATATAATTTTGTAATTTTATATTCACGTCTTCTTAATTAAAATTATAAAATTGAATACTTTCTAAAATACTAAAAATCAGGTTATAATTGAATAAATTAAACTGTAATTTATATTTAAAACTTTCTATATCATATCCAATGACCATTGATCGTTAATGATAATATATATTTTTTTAATTGAAAAAATGTATTTCATTGAAGTTTATTCAATTGTAATTGTTTCTATTAAAAAATAGTTAACATTTTAAATAATAATATACACTTCATTTACATTTACTCAATTTTAACTGTTTATATTAAAAAATTTAGTTCTAAGCTACTTTATATGCATAAAATATTGTTAAAAAAATTTTTACATAAAAACTTTAAAAATTTTGAAAAAGTTAATATTATCATGTATATATTTTCATGTGTATAGTTACATCTAGACTATTTAATAACTACAATTAAAGCCTTTTTTACGATTGAATATTTAAAAAAAATTTTTATATTCGTTTAATAATAAAGAAGGAAAAAGTTTAGAGGTTTTGAGAATAAGAAAAATACCAATAGAAAAAATATCTATTAATTTATAAGAACATATTGTAAATTAATTCTATTGAATCAAAATAGTACATACACCATAATTAACCGAAGTTTGGAATATAATTTATATTTCATTTAAATTCAATAAATAAGAGATATAGTGTATAAAAAATAAATAATGATTTTTATCATTTAACTATTATATATGATATATAGCTAATACTGTCATCTTGACTAGTTACATTGTATAAAGTAATACAATTTTTTTAATAAACATAAAGTAATGCTAATTGTACGATGCATAAAAAATAATGATGTTTAATAAGTAAAATATGCTTTTTCATTTTTTGAAGGCATATTTAGTAGCAGTGTTGATTTGAGATATGTTTCATACAATGACTGTCATTTTATCAATCTTCACAAAAATAGAAGATGAAAATATGCAATAATTTTTTCTTACAAATCGAAACATGTAATTTTTGTATAACAATATAAAAATGGAATAGTATTTGTTTATATTTTTCACTTTTTTCCATCACGTTCAAGTTTAATTTGATATTTTACGTTGTGATTGATTCTTGAGTTTAAAATTCATAATGTTGATTAATCTTCTTAATCATATGAAGAATAACTGAAGTTGAAATCTATAAACTGTTCATTTCCGCCTCCACTGTAGAATTTTCCGATTGTTAATAACATAGTTTACACTGCCCTTTAAATTGTTACTGCTTGAGCTTGAGACGCTTTCTGAACGTCGGATCATTGGCTTTTTACTTGAATCAAGGATATGATCTAACACTTGACGAATCGTACTATGCTTGCGATTGAATGGATTCGTATACATGTCGATACTTGATTTAAACTGTATGTTAGAAATCTTTACGATTGGCGAGCAAATACTTTTAAGCTTATCTGTTAACTCACGCGTCGAATCTGGCTTCTTATTCGAAAATGACTGTTCGTTTGTGAGTATTTCGCTTATAAATAATTCTTGATCACGTGATGAAACTATTATGTAGAAGCAAGCACAATTTCAACGTAATGGTTTTATCGGCTCATCTTCGTTTCGTTCGAAGTTTAGTGTAGAAATAAAATGCATCAACGAATTATAAAGTATACGTAATTATATGGCATTCTTTTTACTATTTTTTAATATTTTATTATTTTTTATCAATTTATTATATTTTTTTATTATTTATAAGACAAAGTACCTGTGACAATAAAAATATATTTTTAATGTATAGTAAGCAAAAATTTAAAACTATTTGTTTTATTTTATAATATACGTATATATGTTTTCGTTTATTACATAATTAATTCAAAATTTGCTTTGAATTTGTTAAAATTTGTATAAATAAATGCTTCTAGTGACAGAGAGAGAGAGAAAGAGAGAGAGAGAATAATTAGCTGACGTAATTAATCTGTGTTAATGTTATATAAGCAGACTGAATATTTAATTTTATTTTTAAATAAATTCTTATGAAGTATATAAGAAATGTTTACATTAAAAGATAACTTTTTATTATCACTAAATCAAAGTATATAAATATGTTAATAGGAATAATGTTGACAAATGATATCGAATTCATTATTGTTTTGTTATGAAACTTAATTTAGAATCATATTATTATTATTAAAAATTTGTTTGTAAAAAAATAAAAAAAATTTTTTAGTACTTTTACAATAATTATAATAAAAGGATTGAGGATAAAGGATATTAAAATATTTATATGATTTTCATTTTAATAATATATTTATTGATAATTTGAATTTATTTTTATGAAAAATAATAATAGACAATATTAGAAAATATGAATCAATTATTTTATTCGCTTATGTAGTGGTAATAAACAATATAATTAAAGTGAATCATATTAATAATTAAGAGTATACAAAAAATAGTTATTTATAAAAGTATTCTATCATTTTTTATATTTACCTATCTTTATATTACACATTATTTTATATTTATATATATTTTTTGCACCTATGACTCACTATATTATTTTCATTCAGTACGTATGTATATTTGTATCTGTATTTTATATCATAAATTTTTTTTCATTGAAAGCCTTTCGTTTCGTTTGTAGTTATATTTATCATGTATATATCTCGTTGACTTTCGTTTACTGAATACTTAATTATCTCGTAAAATATAGCATGTGTTATACTAAGTATAAGGTTTTTGTAGGAAACGAATACAAAAAACTACTCTTGTCCTTATCGTATCACATCGATACTCATATTTTTATAAATTTACATTTTGTGAATTTGATTATATCTAATGTTTCAATTGCTTTCGATCATAGCGATAAATATATATTATTAATAATATTTATATATTATTGATGTTACAATTCCATAATTTTATTAATACTACTTAGAATTTAGTGAATAAAATAACATTAACTATATTAATAATATACTATATAAATAATATACGCTATATATTTACACTATACATATAATTATTCAATTCTCTATATGAGAAGTACAAGGAATATAAAAAATGTTATCAATGCAATCACTATATATAAGACAAAAATGTAAATAAAAGAAATTTATATTTTATATTATGATATCAAGGATTTTTAATATATTACAGAAGTGTGTTTAAATAAAATTGAGAAGTTAAAAGAAGCTATCGCTATTATTAATGACTGTGTATATATGTATAGACGAATACAATAGGTTATTTATTCTTTAATACTTTTTTCAAGTACCATTATAATTACCATTTCTGATGCGAAATAATAAGATGTTTTGCAATAACTGTAAAAATAAAATAGGTAGTAGAAGAAAATGTTAAATATTACATATAATTAATAGGAAGATATCATGAATAATGAGAATTTAATACGTTCCTATATCATCAGGAGAAATCAGTGTGTGTAATATCTAGAAAAAGATACACTGATAAGCTATAATTAAGAATTATGGAGTTTTTTTGGACAGAATATTTTTTTGAATGGTAAATTTTGAATGGTATTGAAATTTTGTCACGGTATTACGGAAGTTATACTAAATTTAAATTGATGACAATTCCTATATGTGCAGTGTATGAATATGCAATATGAACATTTTTTAATTATCCATGGTTACACAACTATCAAACTATAAATACTATAAAAACTATAAAAACTATAAATAATTATCAAAAAGAATAATCAATTGTATATATTAAATTTATATGACAAAAGATAAGAAAAACGACGCGTCTTCAATATTTTAATAGGAATATTACTTGTCATTAATCTTGGTGACGAATGTCTACGATATAATTTTTATATAATTTTTAAATAACGCGAAGAATTAACTGTTCAATTAAATTATATGGGAGGATTATGTTAGTTCTCGTAATGGAACATCTTTGAAATGAGAATACAAGAAGAAATAATTTACTACAAAAGTTTTGCAACCCAGACGACAAAAAACCTTACAGACATTTTTAATAAGTATTAATATTAGCTTATAATGAATATTGGTGAATTAGTAAGAATAAGCTTAAATGATATTATGAAACTAACGCGCCAATTTCCACAAATTATATTGTTTATCCTATAAAAAAGAAAGAAAAAAAGACATTAAATAAAAAACAGGCGCAGAATTAAAAAATAATAATATTATAAGTCATCTGAATTTGCTTTTTTGGGAATTTAATTGTAAAAAATAAAAAATTAGAAATTTAGAAAATTAGAATGACGTACACTGATTACAAAGCCACGTACATAATAAAAATCAAACCATGTCATTCTTTGAATATAAAATAAAAACTTAGAAGATATTGCACGATTTGGAAGTTTAGAACGATTTAAAATAATTTTGAAAGGATATTATTAAAATTAACATATAACAAATTCAATAAGATAGGAAAAAAATAAATATTAATTTTTTTCTAATAAAATGATAATTTCGTCGATATATCTTCATACTTAAAGATTGCACACATCAATAAAAATAGAATGGATATTAAACATATAATTGCCGTAAATGTTTACTAAATACATCTTTATAAAATTAATATTAATTACGAAATTTGTACTAGTTGAATAACTCGGATGAAGTAAGGACAAATTTTAAACATCACAGTTGGCTAAAGAAAATCAGTGGAAAGCGAAAGTTTTTTAGTAGCAGAAATTACTGTTTAATTTCAATGTACAAAGTAAGCACAAAGTAAAAGAAATTCTCTCCAATTAAAGATAGTTAAATCAATGAAGATATAAATATTGTATTTACCTAAAACTAAAAGTCGTGTATAAAAAGTGATTGGCTAAAATTAAGAACAACGTGTGTCTCAAATTATAATGATAATAATATACATATACGCAGATTGAATTATCATAAAAAACACATAATAAAATAATATATAATTTCATTTCATTTTAAGATCGTGTGCTGCATCGGAGATGAGATTACTATTGCAAGGTTATATGGAGTACTCGTATTAACAAAAGCGTAAATTATAATGTGAGTATTAAAATATTAATTACTGTTGCACATGTTTATTATTATAATAGAAGATATAATTTCAAAAGATTTTTTGGCACTTCCTTCGTTTTAAGTTCATAGAAAAGATCCTAATGAAGGTTAGAAAGGTCGATTGAACATGTTTAACCAAAAGGTGGGGAACTCGCCCAGCTATGTTGGACTTGTTAAAAATTGATTATTTTATTTTTTTAAGTAAATGAAATGCCAGCCATGTGTACTTAGTGTCTTATATGTCTTTATGGACTTTATTACTACATAATAAAAGTGTATTGTTGCGTTAGAAAGATAATAAGCTCTGCATAAAGGAAAAAGAGCATTTTATCCTTTGTCGCATGCTTTATATGTATTTGAAAATAAAATCGGTATCGAAATTACTACTTGATTGTACTTGTATCATTTATTTATCCCATAACTTCTTTTTCTGTATAATTTGTTACAATATATTTAAAAATTTATATAAAATATTCAGCCTCATTATTTTAGTATAATAAAGCCTATGCTACGTATAGAAAATAAGACCGAATTAACTTCTGCTGTCTGCATGTGCAATTAAATCTATATTTGAAAACAAGGAAATTAATACTTGTAATTTAAACTGATTTGATTGAAACGTAGCTTTTCACAGTTTTTATTAAGGAAAGTTTCTAATTAAAAAAAAAGTTAAATTGGTTAAGCATAATTGAAAAACAATAATTATTAGTTTAGAAAAACATGATGATTGAAACCAATCTCAATATACTTTTCTTTCATAGCTAATTTTAGAGTATGAAGGTTTCTAAATTATTTTTCCGTAAAATTTAGACATTCTTTGTATTGCTATTCATATAAATCCTACCTATACACAAATTGAATAAATGTATGATAATTTTTATTTTTAACATTCTACCGTTAATTTTCCTTTTTATCTATGACAATTACTATTATTGCCGGTTCGTAATAGGTTAGAAAGTTCACTTAATATATGCAATAACAATTTTTAGATTAAAACTACAACCGGTGTCTTATATTTTATACAAAAAGCTACATTAAAATCGATTAATCAATTAAGTACAGATAAATATATCAAATAATATTGGTGCAAAATAATAGAAAAAATAAATATGATATTTATTAAGCAATGCAAATGTTAATAAACAGATTTAAATTAATTGTATGAAATGTAAACAAATTGAAATTGGTAAAATGAATGAATCTTGAAGTATCTTTGTATATTATTAGTCACATGCCTGTATTTGGAAAGACTATGATCTAGCTATAAATATAATATCTTTGCCATAGAAAAATCAGAATATATTTGGACCAGACTAAGGCTGCAGCTGCTTAAACGATATGGTGCTAAAATACACTGTAGTTGGCTCCTTTAGGTCTCAAACATCAATGGAATACATTCTTGACTACTCGACCTAAATAACAGCAAAATGTGATACTAAATTTTACTTAAATATTTCCATACAGAACATTTCATATAATGTTGAAAAAAATAATTTGTTCTATGTTAAATACTTGTGGAGCTAATATTTTGGGTCTTTTAGCACCAATAGTTATTCCACCTTTACATATTACATTCATTTATTATTTTTGGCACGATTTTTCAAGAGATGTTGATAAACAGTTTTGCTCTTGTTCTTGCTGGGATACTGTATTTAAAGGTAATTATATTTTTTTTAATTTTAAAATATTAAGAATAGTCATGTTTTAGTTATAAAATAAAATATATTTTAGGTTCTTATGAATCAGGTATTGCTTCATATAAACATATGTATTTTAATGCCACATCTAATACTGTAAAAATCTGGGTTACAGTTGTTTTTGGAATAATTATCTTTTATGAGACAGTAAAACATTTAGCTTGGTTAGGATTTAAAAAACATCTCCGATGGAAAATGATGATACTTTTCATGAGTGCATTATTTTCTCATTATTATTCCTGGTGGGTGTATATCAATTATTGGAATGATGATTTTTATTCTCAATGGTACCATCAATTTTTCTTTTCTGTGACTGAATTGGTATCTACTATTCTTGTTGTACATTTGGCTGATCAAAGAAATCTTGTAACACGTAGAAAATCATTTGGAATTGTTAGTATTGCTCTTTTACATATTCTTGCTAGTGGATGGGATCAATTTGTTACAAATGTTGTGAGAGGTGAAGGTTATGCTCATCAGGTAAAGTATTTTTTATATTATTGATTATAGTACTTAAAAATATAATTAAATCTTGAATCGATCATAAATAATAAAAATAGTATAAAAATAAATTATCATTTTTCTCTTGTAAAAGCAATAAATATTATTTTTTTATATATTTGTTACTAGCTATGAAACCCGCTATTCATTTAAAGATAAAATAGTAAAAATGGTTATATAAGAATTATTCTTAAAGCAATTTTTAAATATTCTTTTCATTAAATTAAACCATTAATTTAATGTAATATTATTTCAGATTGTCCGTGATTTGGGTTTTATGATTCCAGATATTCTCCATGTAATTATTCCATTATGCTCATTAGACATGAAAAAAACATATTTATTACCAGGAACTACACTTTCTGACTCAGATATTAGAGCTGATTTAATATTTATGCTTGGTACTATTCTCGTTGGCCTATATTTATGTTCTGTTTTATAAGAATTGGAAAAAATTTAGAAAATTATCTATAAAATTAGGATTGCATTTATTTAACATAAAAGTAATGTTATTTTATTATAATACTTTATAGGAATAATTTATAAAAATAATAGTAAAGAATTTTTTTATAATAAAGTCTTTTTATATTGATCAATCAAATATGTATTAAAATATATTTATTAAGTATTAAAAAAATTTATTTTATTAGTAATTTGAAAATAACATTTGTAATGTTTGACATAAAATAATTTATTAGATTATTTTAATCAAAAACACAAATATTATAGGTAGAAATAGTTGATACTGAATGTTATGTAACTTATTGTTTAAATGCAATTTTTTTGTAAATATTTATAACTAAAGATAATTTTCCAGTATAATTAAGATTTTATAGTTTACATAATTGCTTAAAAAAATATTTTATTATTATTTATTCTCATAAACTGTAGTATATGTATATGTAAAATTCTATAAGTTATAAAGTGCCTAAAAGATATAATAAATCCTTAAAAGAATATTTATTACAAAAGACAAAAGTGATTTAAGTTACATAATAGTTATCGATTTAAAATTTCATCAATTTCCACGATAATCATACATGTATGTACCTTATGCATGTGTGTGTATATATTTATTTAAAAGTATTATGTAGTGAAAAACTTTATTATTTATTTATTTTTTTACAAAAAAAATTATTTGGTTCGTAGAAACTTTAATGAAAATTTTAAATTTATAACTTTTTAATGTATGTGCTGTATGTCTGAAAAATATTATTTTATATGCTTTCATTTTAATATTTCAGTTAATATACTTGTAAAATACAACAAATAATTTATAACTTACATTTTAAAAATTTGATTTAGAATTTATAATTTATTGTCTATAAAATTTATATTCTGTATTAAAAAAATATACAAAATATATATTTGTATTATTTGTAAAATATTATAGGTAATAAATATTAATAATAATTTTTCATATTTAAAATGTTTATTTTTTCAAATTGTCTTAATTTTTCATTTTTAAATTATAATTTCTATAATAACTGATTGACACCAATTGATAGATTGAAAAGTATACAAACACACTATAAGATATAAATTGATATTTACAACCCTTTATAAACAAATTATAATACATATTTTATTATAATGTATTATATGCATTCATTGATGATTATAAGCTTAATGCTTCAATTATAATTAAAAATTAATTTTTATATAGCTAAATTATTTAATATCTATAAAAATATTAAATTAGCTCAGACTTTTTAAAATAAAACTTATTTATGATGAAATTAGATTATTTAATATATTATATTTATAAAATAAATATTGAAATTTGATCAATTTTTAAATTTTGTATATAACAATTATTAAAATCGAGATTTAATTAAATTAAATGAAAACTTAAGATTAATATAACTGAATTTAAAGATTTCAAGCAGTTGTACTAGTATTTAAGCATTAAATATTCACCTAAAATTTTAAAAATTTAATAAATATTATGTTTTAAATATTTTATGGATAAATTAAACAATATGAATACATATATTTCCATATAATTATTATTGAAAATATATAACTGAGATATTATATTTCGATGTTATTTTTCGATAAATTGTATCACTATTGTTAACAAAAAATGATTTTAATTATCTAATAGTGTATAAATAAAAAATTGCATTGAATTTTTTAAAAATTTATTATTGCTCATCGTATACGAGATATTTTTTTAGCAGATGTTGCAACTCGCTAAAAATTTTCATATATAATTTGATTTCAATTACAGGCGTTTAGTTGCACGAGTAACATATTTTAAAATTCTAATTTAAAAGTATTAGAAAAGCCGAAGAAAATATATAAAATAAGATCATAATATACATTTAATTTGATACATCTATAAAAACACTTATGGTATCATTGTTCGATAAATAAACTATTGAAAGAAATTAAAAATGAAATGCTTATTTCTATTAAAAAGATTAAAATTAAAAAAAAATTAAGAACAGTTATATTGAATCTTATAAATTTTACACATAATAAAATCATATTAAAATTAAATTTAATAAAAATATACAAGTAATAAGCACGAATAATATTTAAAGAAATATTTAATCTAATAAAATAATAACTTTTTAATTTGTCATATAAAAAAACTAACACATTTATTCTTTTCAAAATAATACATTTGATAACACTAAATTTTGTAATAGCATTATCTTAATTTTATTTTAATACATAAAAGTAATATTACTAATTTTAATATTTTAAATGGAATTCTATTTTTTGTAATATTTAGTTAGCCTTATAAATATTATACTAAAATTAATTTGTTTTAAAAATTGGTTTGAAAAATTATTGTTTATTATTAATAAGCTGTTTTAATTAATAAAATTATTTTTTATTTTAAACATACTAATAATTATACATATATTGAAAGTTTTTTTTTATATTACGAAAAGTAACAAGATACGGTGTATTATTTATATTACTAAATAGTATCTATTTAATTTCACTTCAAAATTGAAACTAAAATAAGTGCAAATCGATATAGAAACATACGATAAACTTTATATCGATAAATTAAAATTAAAAAAAACTCATTGATTAAATCTTAAAACATCAACAAAACTTGTGAATCATAATTAATTATTTTAATTTAAATAAACTAATAGTATCAGATAGATGTATCGAATGATATAATTGTTCAATGATCAAATCTCCATATATTCATGTACTAATAGAATGACAAAAAATATGCTATATTTTAAAATTTAAAGAGTAATTATGTGGATTGTATGAACTGCTATATCTTGTTATTATATATTATGCAGTTTCTGATATTTTAAAATACAATTAAGTGGTGTTTATAAATCGAACATCAAGTCAAAGGACTTACTGCAGAAGGTAAAATATTTGTGCAATTTTATGAATTACATTAAGTTTAAAGTTTTTCTGCTAACATTCAACCATGACGGCTGTTTGTAAAGTGCAGCTTTAACTTTACCTTTTCAATCTGACTGCACTTTTGAACATATTAATATGTTTTTGGATAAATCATTTATTTTTCGTTTGTAAATACACTTTATTTTTGTATTATTCCGAAAAACGGAATTTACCTCTTCATCATTTTTATATAAATCATACTTGCAAATACGTCTTGACTGATGTTTTTACATACTCTTGCATTCACAAATGTATCACGATCACAATTCTTTTCTGTTGTATTAAAGTATATATTCCATTGCATGAATTATATTAAAATACATATAAAGTAACGAAAACAGATTTACGTTTTATTTCTACAGTGATTTTTGCGTTAAAAATTTAGTAGAAGTGCAAATTATCAAAGAAAATGACATAAATGACCTGGTTAATATTATCTGAATTATTATTAATTATAATTTACATAGATGTACTTATTAAACAATTATTAAAGTCAAGTATTTATTTCAAGTCATCAAAAATATTGTAAAATTGATAAAAATTGAAGAAACTTTAATTATTTTGCAAGATTTATAAGTGGATTAATTAAATATGTATTACTACTTTGCTTAATTTTATTTTTTATTTATTATTTTTTTAAAATAAAAAAGTAATTTTATTTATGCCTGTTTATTTATATAATTTGAATTATTATAAATATTATCTACATAATCATACACACTAATTTTATTTATATTATTAGATACTATAATTATCTTTATCGTGCATGTAAGCAAAAAAGAAGAAAATAAATAAGTATTTATGAAATTTTTAATTTAACTATATAAAATAGGTAAACTCATCTTATGTAATTATTTCATATTAGCATATTAGATTGATTAATAATACATAATTTAACTTTACAATAATAATTTTGGCATTTTTGTTAAAAATATTTATCTTTAAGCGATAAGTCATAAAATTGAAATAATGTCACATTATGTAATGCTAATATTTAAAAAAATACAAGTGTTTCTGGAACCTATATGTTATTATAGAAAGTTTATTGAAAATCTTAGTAATCTGATAAAATCAGTATCTTAATTACTAAGGGATAATAAGAATTTTAATCGAAAATAGAATTGCATGAATCATATGAAAAATGAAAATATTTTTTACTATGGATAATAATTTCATTTTATAATTTAAAGAAACTTTTTAAGAAGATAAAATTTTAAATTTGATTGTAAACAAATTTAGAGAGATAAATATTTGTTTATATTTTCTAAACTTAACATAAGGGAATTAAAAAAAATATTATATGTTTAATTACAAAAAAAATATATTAAATACATCATTACGTTAAATAACAAAACTTAGGTGACTAAAGCTTGTAAATGTAATAAAATAATATAATTTTAAATTACGTTAATATTAATGAAAATATAAAACTTAAATAATCAGGATAATAATTTAAACTTGTTTTTATACACAGATAAAAGAATTTAATATAATTTTAAAAAGGTATACAGCTTTATTTATTGGTATATTTAGTAGGATTTTGTATTGAAATCAATCACATCTACAAAAATCAATAAACTTCAATTGCTATTGCAGATATAGCAAACGCACTTGAATTCGCTTAAATGATAAATCTATATAATCACCGCATATTTAGTTGTGATTACGAAAGCATTTTATACTCACAATGATTTATTAAAAAAAATGGTGTATCTAGAACTACAATTATACTTATACTCTTATCTTAATTTTGTAACAATCAGCTTATATAATATGTTGATAGCAAATAAAATGAGAAGTAAATTAATGAGATGAATAAGTTTTTGACAGTAAAAATTGAAAGAAATATTCAAATATATTAATTCTATTATACGTACGAGGGAAAAATTAGCGTATTACTCATGCGAAACATAATATAGTTAGTAATTAGAAAACATAATACTATTTTAATATCTGTCTTCTGACAAAGTTAATATATACATGATTTTTAAATTTGCTTAAAAGGTAGGATATTTGCCGTAGTTTGTAACACAGCTAATGTTATTTTATATTTGCATGGTGTTTCTCTTGATTTTTAAATTACTTTATGATCTTATTTAACAATCAAAATAACTTTAAACTTAAACAATGTTATTAATTTGAACTCCATATCCTAATTTATTTATTGAATATGTAATTACACGACATTTAACTTTAGTAGTTCAATTTAATCATATTTACTATTCACATAATAATGACGCCAGTTTTAATTTAAATTACCTTAAATTCAACGCTAGCTTTTAATATTATCTTTCATTTCCGACAATAATAGATTTAGTTGAACTTAATTTGATTCTATTTAATAAGGTGTACATAGAATTATGTAACTTTTTTCGATTAACGGGCCAGTCTTGAAATTGTTGAATCAAATCCTTTGATTGCATGAATTTTTCATTTTTTAATCACCACCGTATGATATTGGTATTCAAATATATTTTTATTTATGATTTTATTTATGATTAAATATTTATATAAATAAGATAGAGATAACATTAAGTTAATCAAATACAATTGCCGATATTTCTAAAATAGGATTCAGTAAGTGTATGCATTTGTACTATAAAGCAAAATATTTTCTACTTTTAATATTTATAAATTATAATTTATAGAGTTATTTATTAATGAATGAATTTTCTTTTTAAAATGTAGTAAGCACTTAGATCATATTTTCATCAAGTGATGTTATAAAATCTTTAAGTTAATGTTTTCTAAAATGTAAAGACAAATTAAAGAAATATATCAGTTAAAACTTGATGAACTTTAATCATCAATTGCTGTCTTAATTTAATAAGCATAAAATAAACATGATTAAATTGTTTTTTTTTTATGTTTGTACGAATATCATAATAAATTATTGTATAAGCATATATTATATTTATATTTTATAAATATATTTTTCTGTTAATAAAAAAAATAATATTAATATAAGTAATATTGTCTATTATATAGTTTCTAAACAATTATTTTTCCATGTTTTAAAATATAGAAAAACTATAGAAGTTGCTATTCAGAATCTAAAAAAAAATTAATATTTTGTACAAAATGATTTATATAAAATTCCATATATCATTTTCGTTCGAAAAATGTATATTTAATTTGTAATTGTTTTAACATTATCTTTAAAAATTCTAATCAAAATTTATTTTATAGTATTTCTTTGTACACAGTATAAAATATTTTATTTATCAAGAAAGTAGTTCTGTATATATATCTAAATTATTTAATACATTAAATGTACGTATCTTGTATTTATTATCACTTTATTGTTAATGTTTGTTTTATAAAAACTTAAATTTTGAATTTTGTTTAACTATTTTAGTTCTTTTTTTCAATTTTAATGTTTTTATACATCTTAAATTGTTACTTGTTTGGTTAATTAATTTTTTATTACTGATGAAAGTTTCTTTTAATTTATCATGAACATTCGATGCTGATTCAACTGTCTGTTTTGGATTGAAATTATTAAATTGTAAATCTCTTACAGCATTATAAAAATTCATTATATCCAGAAATGTACTTATTTTATCTGAAGATTTTACATTTTTTAATTCTGTATAAAATAAATTTTCATTAAATAATTCTGTAACTAAGGCTTCTGTAAAAAAAATTCTTCATCAAAAACAAGTCAAATATTAATTAAAAAAAGGTTAATACAATCTATTTATAATGTACACTTACTTTTAATTATATTTATACCTTGTGCTTTATATTCTTCAATTTCTGCATCCTTTTTTTTAATAATATTCAACAGGTAACTATATCTATGATAAAGTTCAGAGAAAGCAGAATAAAAATGTTCATTAAAATAACTATTAAAATATTCTGGATTCGTTTTTGTTAAACATATACGAAATAAAAAACGTCCATTTTCTATTTTGGTTTCCAATTCTATATTATCTTTAGTAGATGATACAATATATTTAGAAATATTAACTAATATATCATCGACAAGATCTTCAAAAATAGTATCACTGAATACTGGATTTAAATCCTAAATATATTTTTGAATATATTGTAATGACTAAAAAAAAAAAACAGTATAAAATCAAATAATAATATGCAAATACCTGACATCTTTTTATAATATCGTCTACAAGTAAATTTTCTGTATAATAATCTATCAAATTTGTCAATAGTACTTCACGTAATTCTTTATTTTTACGAACACCTATTAAATATTTATTACCAGAAATTATTATAACTTGATATTTGAAGTAATCTGTTAATCCATATTCTTTGCGAGCTACATTCATTCTACTATACAAATTATCACATAAATATAACCTTAAAAATGTAATAATGAATTAAAATATATTTATTATTAATTGTTAAGAAATTGTATATTATCTTTCTTATTATTAAAATATTTGCTTTTCACAAATTCTTTTATTACTACCAGCAATGCAAATTAATTTACACAGAATGTATAATCCGTATTTAAATATATTATATATATTTTAGAACTGTAAGCATCTAAGCAATGTATTATTATATATATTGCGAACAAAAACAAATCCACGTACAATATAAACCTGAGTTTCTTGCATAAATATATAAATATAAAATTCTTCTAGGTGTTTCAACAAAATATTCATAATAGTGGAAAATTTATTTTTCAAAGCATTATTTTATAATTATTGAACTTTATAAAATCGAACATTTCAATAATAAATTTATAATAAAAATAATAACATATTACGGAAGTTGATAATATTTATTTAAAAAGCAATCTATAAACATTTTTTAAAAAACATTAAAACGTTAGAAGATTTAAACTTAATTTGGAAAATAATTTTCAAATTTAAGGTATACGATTAATTGTAATATAAAGTTTGAAAATACAAAATTAAGCTAAAAGTCAGATATACATTTCATATTCTTTTTCTTTTTAAAAATTTATCTATGTACCTTCTAAAAATATTTTTCTATGTACAGGCTATTACAAATTCAAAACAAGTTACTCTTTGATTAATATTTTAAAAATATTCATTTTGTTGTTTATATGCATGAGTTCTTTAGGAATTTACATACTTTGTATTTAAATATTAACATACACATTTGTAATTTTAGTTTCTACCTTCAATAAATCATACCTACAATAAATTATAAAAATAAAAACAATTTGTGAGAAAATTCATAGTATAATATTTCTTAAATCGATTACATAATTTTTTACTAATGTTTTCAAGTATCATTATCAAGCATTATTATCAACTTAACTTAAGGCCTATAAAAATAATCATATTCAGAATAATTATAGTTTATATTTTTTAATGAAAATAAGAGGTGATTACTTCTTCAAAGTACACATATTCTACGCACATAATACAATATTTTTAGGAGTATTTTATTTTATTAAACTGTGCTAATGTTGAAATACGACAAAATTATTGAATAATAAATGTTTTTACTTTTACGATTCCTTATACATCATTTTAATTTTAATTTCTGTAATTTGTGTAATAAACTTTATTATTTATAAATTATTTATCCATTAAATTATTTATGATTTAAATATAACTTATTCATTAACCAAGTTGCATAGTCAGTTATTTTGGAATAATTGTGTAACACATCATTAATTATTTCTTGTTAATAATAAACTAATGCATATTTGTATCGATATTTCCGACATCAATAATTTTCTATTCTGATTGTTTTGTAAGTATTACCTCATTCTCTTTATCACGAGTCGTTTATTATTAGTATTACACTGTTTAAATCGGCTTTGATATATGTATGCTTTACGATTTTAATACGCTATTTGGTGTTTGCTTCTATATATTTTTTTCTGAAACTTTGTTAACTAATGAAATAAATATTTGATAAAGTTAGTTAAATAGATTGATAAATTTATTTCATTATTTGATCTATATTCATTATTATTTATTTTTCTTTTAAAATAAAAATTATATATCAAGTTATATATAAATTACATATATAAATAATTAAGAAAAATGAATAGTTAAAATACAAAATAAATAATATTCATTTCTGAACATTCTTTATCAATTTATATAGATTATAAAATATAATTCCATTGTTTGCCTAACTATAACAATAGTAAATTGTATATTGATTAACTGTTATTAGATTTATCTACCCTTCTCTTCGATTATAATACTTTTTTTCTTTATTTTTCTATACATATATTTATAAATTTATATTTGTTTAATGTAATATTTAATTACAAATATCAATTTACAAATAATTTATTGATAAACTTATTAATAAATATAATAAATATTATTTATATAGCAAATAATAATTATATATTTATAGATCATTTTCAGAAAATAATTTGAGTAACAATGCTACAAAGCAATTTTTATTAATTATGAATATTATTATATTTACTTATTATCTTCAGCCTGGAAATTTGAAATGTTACATTGAAGATATTAAAAAAAATTATTTCAGATTTTAGATTTCAGTAAACTGTTAGTGGAAAAGTATAATTACATAAACAAATCAATTAAGCAATCAAGAACATTATGTTGTCTAAACCGCAATTAATAAAGTCAATGTGCAGATAGATTTATTTAAAAGAAGATTTATAATTCGAGTTATCTACTCGAAAAACAATCAGAATACAACAGAGTATAGAAACTCTGTATAAAAAAAACTGTAAAATTTTTTAGATATAAACCAAAAAGAAAAGCAGAAAAACATATGACAAAAGTAACGATATCACGATGTATTGTATAGGAAGTATGTAAGTGATAAGCATGTACCGTGCGTAATCATATATAAGCCCGATAGCCTTAACATGTGCATTGAATGTGAATTCCAGGTGTGAGGCTGTAATTAATGAAAATCCTTTAAATACTATTATCAAAGTAAAAGATATAAACCATTAAACAGCGGCTAAGGTCTTGGCACATGAGTAAAACATTTTAAACGGAAGGAAAAGTATATAATTATTGTAAGCTGCAATAAATACGAAATTAGGATCCATATCCTATAATCGAAATCCAAATCTGAATATTCTTTTTAAATACGTATTTTTGGTAAAATTTTGTAATCACAAATTGTAACTTCGATTGATAGTTGATTAAATTAATAATTAAATTTTACTTTTTGTAAACTAATATTAGCTTTGATTCATCTATAATTATATAGCTTCAAATTTTCATTGCCGTTTTTTATATTTCAATGCATATAATATTATTTTATTTTTAATTATACAATATTTATGTATTTTGATTGCAACCAAGCAATTATTTATTAATAATTGATTAAATTATTAGTTACATGATTGTGAAAAATTAAAGTATTCAATCAGAATATATTACAGAATACAAGAACTGATCATCTATAAATTAGTGAATTACGGCGACTGAATTTATCGATTGTAAACAGATAAATATTTATTTGAAATGTTTGAACTTGTAGTATAACATACAATAAATTTATTCTGTAACCTATAATTGAATATTAAGTAATCACATTTATAAAAAAAATATTCAAATTTAATTTAATTTTGTATTGAAAATTTATTTTATAAATAAGTTTTTAAAATAAATTTGTTTTATTGGAATTCAGAATAAATAATGTTAATTAAAAAAAATTGTTTTCTTTATAAATTACTTTACATGATAAATTTCATTAATAACAAGCTCTAAAAAATTATAGATTTAAAATATATTTTTTTTACGATACAGTTACAATCATTGAATTGTTAATATATATTAAATATCATATATATAATTAAGAAATTATTAACAATTAAGAAAACAACAACAATTTAATATATAATATATATTATTACTTCTAATATATTAAATAATATGTCAATATAAGGCGATAATGTAAAATGTAATAATAGTATTTATTATAAATTTATTTATAAATTATAAAACACAATTCAATTATATTGCTCTACATTTCTATGAATATTTATTGAATTTTTTATAAACAATGACACAAATATTAAGGTTTATAAATGTGAATGTTTATGTAAGTAATTCTATATTTTTGATTCTTTATTTACAAATTTTTTTATAATTATTTTTAAATTATATTATTGTAATTTTAATATGATAAAATTATAGTTATAATGTGTATGCAATTTAAGAGCTATTATCTATTTTCATTATTAATGGTTGTAAGAATATTTTTCAATATTTCAAATCCAAAATATTTGTATTACTTGTAATTAATTTATAATACGTGTAAAATAAGTGTTGTAACAAATGCTAAATGTGCTCACGTCAGCAGTGAAATTATCATAATTATTGGTAATATTTGTAAAAAATCCATCATTCCATTATACATACAGAGTAGTTGGATGATGATCACATTAATCATTTATTACCATCCTTTGTCGGAAGACATTTAGGTCTGCTATATTCTCTGACAGGAAATATCTTATAAATTTTTGGAATGAAGATAATAAAATACTTCTACTTCTATTTATAATTTAAATTTAAAATCTATATCCAAGTATCATCATATGGTGTCATAGTTGTATAAATTTATACTTTACTATTTTGATTAGCTCTAATTCACTAGTTATTTTGAATTAACTTTTAATTATATAAATTATATCAATTATTTAATTAATTTTAATTAAATATAACTATATATTTTTAATTATATCATATTTCTTCTATAAAATTTAATTTATTGAAGTATAATTTATTGATTTATTAATCGATCGAAAAAGTTATTATAGATCTAATACTTTGATATTAATATAATAATCAAAGTGGAATAATCAAAACTTTATATCAATTTATAGCAATATTCAATATATTATTCAATTTATGTCAATATGTATTAGTTATTTGTAATAATACAAATATTTTTAAATGTATTTCTGGTATATAAAAAATTAAGTTAAATTCTTATATTTCTTTCTTAATTTATTATTAATATCATGTTTGTAGATGTAATACTTTGAAATTGAAAAAATAAAACAATAACTAATATCAAAAAATAAATAATACATATGGAACATATTAAAAGATACCATCTTTTTAATGTAAAAATTAAATATTATTAGTACAATATGTATTTTTTTCTATTTAATTAATTTTTAATTAAATCCACAAGATATTTTAGTTTTTTTATAATGTATATTTACAATTAAATAAAGTTTAAGCCTTTACAATTGTTTATCTTAATATGTGTTTAAAATTTTAATTTGTTGTTAATTGAATTAATAATTTATTATATAAAATGTTTATGTTTTATCTTATTACATTGGTATGTAAATATTCATTTAATTTTAACAAGTCAATTCATATCTTACTTACGCATGCGCTATGTACTCGCATAAACATTTTGAAGTTTGAATTCTAAGTTTCTATAAAAAATAAAATCATTAAATTGTTAATAATAAAACGATGTGTGATATTTCTAGATATATATTTTTATTTAAATTAATTATTTAACCCATAAAATACATAAAAACCTTTAAATAAGATATTTATGGTTGTGTTTTGTATAAAAACATTTTTATTTTTAATACTTTTTTTGAAGAAAAATATCTTTTCTATTTTAACAAGAAATGTAATATTAAATATCGATATACAAATTATTCAACAATATTTTTATTTTTAAAGTTTTTAGATTGATCTGAATGTTATGTAAACCAGAACTTTCTTATCTTATATTATCTCTTTCTCTCACTTTCTTCTTACCAGTAGTTCTTAGCAACAGATATGCATGAGTGAACTCTATACATAAAAGATGGCGCGCCAGGTAAAAGGTACTTTGAGTAGCTTAAATGTAGTCAAGAAAGGCAATACACAGTCTACAGCAGTGAAGGGTTCTTCGTTAATTATATTAATTTTCACAAGTTTTAATTATAAATTGTTTTAGATATGGTGTAAATGTATTGTATTGAAAATAGTAAATCTAAGTAAACTATTTTAAATAATATAAAAAGAATACCAATTTTGGCCCAAGAAAGAGTTGGAATAACTTGCATGTTTGACAGATCAGAATAAAGCGACTAGAAAATCAAATTATTAATTGAGAATAAATATTATGAATTTAATTGAAAAGTTAGAAGATTTCAATTTAATAGTTTGAAATGTAATTCTTCGTCGATCTTTTTTGTACTTTTAACGTTTAATTACATTGCATTTATTATTTAGAAACTTTCAATTGAACCGATTTTATTGTATTTTTATACTATAAATAATCAGTTTAAAACAGTTTTGTGACAAATGGTTTTGATAAATCATGAAGTGTATAAAGAATGTTTAATGTTATAAGATCACTGTGTAAATTTATTTATATTGAAATAATCGATTTTTTAAATATTGATTTTTCAAAAATAAAAGTTTGCATAATTATTGAAATCCAAAAGTGTACTATATGATTGTGATTTTTTAACGTTAATAGAAAAACTAGAAAAATACGAGAGAAATAGAGTAAAAAAAAGAAGACAACGAAAAAGTGAAATTTTTAATTTATTTTAAACAAATGATGTAAATAATAACGATATCGTGAAAAATATTAAATACACATGCCAGCACAGGTTATTACTGAAGAATCGGCAAGGTTTGCCGAGATCTTGATCACCATTCCCCATATCATCGTCGTAAAATTTGTTGATGTCGCGACGATCGGCAATGATTTTCTCGGCGATATTTACTCTCGTAGCAGTGACTTTCATTATAAAACCTTCAGGTAATACAATTCCTAACTCGTCTTTTCGTTAAAGACTAAGCATTATAATTTTCAACGTATTTGTACATTTTTACATAATTGCGAGTAATCATAATATTCTTATAATAAATGTTTTACTCTTATTTTATTAATTAATTTTGTCAAAACTTCTATTATTATTTGGTCTCTTATTATTAATCTTAATAGTAATCTTGAAGTTCTTGCTTAATAAATTAATTAAATTATATTTGTTTAATAATACATATAATTGTGTAAATTATCTTACAAATAAATATACTTGCCTTCAATAACATAGTAAATAAAACATATCCAAGATACCTTAATTATATTTGAAGTGCAGTATTTACTGAAATGAATAGAGAACATTGTTTTAATTTAAACATTATATTGTCAGCTAATTTTTGTAGCCAATATAGTTTCATATCTCCTATTTAGTTTTACCTAAGGTTTTCTAAAATAATTAAATTTAATTTTTACTATAATTTTAGTATCAATGTTTGATAAAGAATAATTTGAATAATTATTTATATCTTTAAATAATGAATATTGTATGTACTAATATGATTTTAAATGTTTATATATTAAGATGGTTTTTGTCAGATATCAGCTCTGGTCTTATTTTAAATATATAAAATAAATTCAATTCAACAAGCCTTCTTCTACATCATGATTTTTAATAGTCTTTTCTTTTTAAAATAGATGTAATAAATAGAACTATTTTTAATAAAGAAAGCTAGACTAAATGTAAAATAAATATGTCAAAATATATAAATTATTATTAACTAAATAGACTATTTTCCATGTAATGTTATATTTAAAAGTTATTTATTAAAATGATTCTAATTAAATTATTCATTATTTCATCAAAAGCGATTTATTAAAATTTAATTTTGAAAAATCTTTGGTAAATTTTAATTTACCAATATTTAGAGTAAAAGTACAAATATACAGGTGTTTATAATCAATATATGGTCATTTTAAATATTCACACAATACTCAGAAGATTAAATTCTTTTTTATTGATATTTATCGAAAATTGTATTATTACTAATAAAAACATAATGTTTTACATAATATCAACACTCAATTTAACATCTTTGGTGTACCATATTTAATAATATTTTATGATTAAAATATTATTTATTTTTTATTAAAGCAATGTTGTTTTTTGTTATGAAAGTTAATTACTAGATTCGAAATATGTTAATTGTCGTTCTTTTAAAATCCCTCCAAAGTTAATTGAAATGTTATATAATACTGTCATTGTCTGATATTTATTTGACTTTTGTAATATTCAATAATTTATATTTTAGTATTGCCGATATATGCTATCCATTATTGTTTAAATATAATGGTTTTACTATTAAATGATTACTATTGGTAATATAAGTATTTTTAAATATAAATAATTCTATAAGTATATACTTTATCAATTGAAATTTTATTTCCATTAATTATGTATACAGTTCAATTTTTATAATTGAATTAAATGTAATATTCAACAAATTCTTAAATTATTTAAAAAAATATGTCAGAAATGGAGAATATACGAGTATGACAATATCCATTATTATTAAACCTAAGTAATCTCACTATGACTTCAGGATTTTTCAATTACACAAAGTAGGAAGATGTGCAATTAATTTAAAAACAAATAATGTTATATTACCGCTAGTAATAAAAAATAAATGGTAATTGATAAATTTGAATGGAAAATATACTCTTCTATTATCCAATATTTTAAGTATTTTTCTTTAAGTATTGTTAAAACAATACATAACAAATTTTTTACTTTACTAAAAAGTAGCATCAATCTCTGAAAGTCTTTATCTATTTATATACGTAAATATATATATATACATATCTATATATGAATAACAATAGAAATTTGGTTAAAAGTTTGTAAAATCGAAAATAAATAATAATAAATTTGTCCGAAGTTTTACTGACATATAAGAATGTTCTTTAAGGATACAAATTAAACTTAGTAATTTATATATATATATTTTTTTTTTAACAAATATTCAATTTTGTTTACTTTTTGTTTCAACTCCGATAGATATTTTAGATATGTACAATCCAGCACTCATGAAAGTACGGCGTCCAAGTTGCTGGAGTATAAGTAACATATTTTAAATTCCTACGCAAATATATGTATATATAAAAGTCTTAACTGTTGACCCTAACAAAGTGAAAGTTCTCAACGAATATCTGATTATTTTCTTATGCACAGAAAAAAGACAATGTTTTCTCTTTCAATCTCAAATATCTTTATGTTATTCTCTTACAAATATTTATATATATTTATTTCATTGCATATACTTTTCATAAATAATTTTTTTAATATTGTAATTTTGTTTTTTTGACGACTGTCATTATTTTATTATTATTTCCGGAAAGTTGAAAAGTATTATTCATTCATTATATTCTTATAGAAGTTACATTATGAACATATACATTTTTATTATAAATATTAAAATCCTTATATGTTTTCTGTATAATCTAATATACGATAATCAAATAATGCTTAAAAGGTTTACTTTGATATATTTTATTAATTTACTTATATATTCATAAATTATTAAAAAATTTTAAATATATAATTACAAAAATCTTTTTGATCTATTAATAATGTTCCACATAATAATTTTTTAATAAAAAATATATAACTATAATTTGTTGATGTAAGAATTTGTTTAAAATAATTTTTACATATACATTCAAATTACAAATGTAATAATTTTAATATGCAATAAATACACCTAAAGTAATATTGAATATTTAAATAAAACTATAAGGATATTCGGAAAATTAATAATTATTATAAATTTAAAATTATAATATTTATTACTATTATTCAAATATATAGTTTTACTGCTTATAGCTAGTTTTAATGCTATAGTTATTATACAAGTATATATAATTTTATGAAAAGATTGATTTATAAATAATTATTTTTATATTATTATATAATACGGCATACAAAATAATAATACAAACATTATTGAATTATTGTGCTTATTATATATTTACTTATTTATTATTGTTTAATAATATTATTTTAATTAGAATAATAATTATTACTATAGTTGTAATAAATTATTTATTTATTTCAATTATTATTTTGTTAGTTTATATTCATAAACATTTATTTTTACAAACATTTTATTTTACATTTTATAAAATTTACATATGTTCCGTTATGTTTATTTAAAAGTATTTATAAATTGTATTAACTCGCTAAGAATTTGTTTACAAATGTATAATCTCTATGCAAGCGTATGGAGTTATCGACGCTGCATTATGGAATCTGAAAGATTAAACACTTTCTCTTCAATTATAATTATGGGTGCGGTTACATTTTTTTAATTCGAAATATGAAATCTATTTGAATATTAATTTATATTGAATATACTGACCTTTCATATTTTTTTATATTAATTTTAATTGTATTTGTTAAATATAGAATTAAATATTATTAATGTTAAGGATGAAATTTATATATTATTATAATTTATTTACACTTTAATGTAAATAATTGTTTTTTTACTAAAATTAAATATGTATTCTATTTTATATAAAAATTATAAATTTTATGATCATGTATACAAAAATAATGATCATATCCGATACACAATTTATTAAAGCAAATATGATATAATATAATAGTAATCCAATTTTCAATTTAATCTTCATATAACTTTATACACTATAGTTATTTTTATCATTTATTTTTATTGAAAATATCAACAAATATACTTTATAGGTTTAATCTAATAATAATTATATCATTACTAATAATAATTTATTTATCTATCTTTGTTTTACTTTTATCATCAAATTTATAATAATATTGCTATTATAAATATATTTATTTGACCGACTCTACTTTAAACGTATATACATATGTTATAATCAACTTTTAGTTCTATTAATAAAACAATAAATTCTTACATTTAGCCTGATAAGTGGAAATATTCTATGTTATAAATAGATTGCCAACTAAATGATAATACACCCCCTACAGTGTATTTGAATCGTAATTGGATTTTACATGAAACCGATCCTGTGGGACATGTGGTAGAACGTGTTCGCGCTGAAGATAACGAGCAAGATGAGTTGTCATACGGTCTGGAACCAAGTACTCTCAACTATAATGGTGATTTGACAGCTGAACAACCACTACCCTTCACTATTGACAATGTGACTGGCATAATTTATCTTAATGAAACTTTGAAAGGACGGGTGAGATTATGAAAAACTGATACTCTCTTTTTCTGTCATGGTATCTATAGTAGACATTTCAAATAAATATATTATTTATCTTTTTTTATTATACTTTTTTAAAATGTATATATCATTATTTTCTGATAAAAATTTTACATAATATTAGTAAGTAAATACAAATATATTTTATGTTTTCAAAGGAACTCTCGTTAAAAGGTTTATTTTTCAGAAAAAATGTACAAAAATATTCTTAAATAATTGGTACCTTTTCATCATTGTAATCGCGTAGTTTATATAAATAAACAAAGAATTATGCCATTAAAATTATATACTCATACAATATATACAATTGCATCAAATATTTGTAGTTAGTAATACATCAAATATGTGGATTATAGAATATCTAAGATAAAATTTATATATGAAAAAAATATAGATAATATAAGGTTACTCTAAAATAAAATAGTTGAAAAATGTATATTTGTAACTATTTTTATAGTATTTTGAAATCGAATTAGAAAATTATATGAATACGTTTCAATATAACTGTCAATTTCTTACGCGTTAAATTGTGAAGCTTGTATAATGTAAAAATCTAAATTCTATACAATTTCAGTAGACTTATTATCACACAGTTTTTAAAAGTGTAAGTTACAACATAAAAGAATTTATTAGTTTAAGAAATATATCTCCTGATTTTTAAAATGTAATTGTAAACAACGGAATTTAAAGTTTTAAAAATATGCCCAATAAAATTATTTGCAGTTCAATTTTGATGATTTATATTAAATATATGTATCTCCCCAAGAATATTTTGAATATCAATCTTGTTCTTTTAGAATTTTTCCATTTCTAATATCTTTTATGACATCAATCAAGTAAATTTTTCGTTTACTTATTGTTTATTAACTTTGTTTAAAAGTCATTAGTGATACCTGTAATATTAATTTCACTTAAAATTGAATAACATTCTTTAATATATAATAAGTATATAACATAATAAATAGTAATATTTACTAATTTTTAACTTTAAAGTAGATTAACTTTATACAATTAATCAAAAGCTATTTCATAGTTATAATCGAGTAAATTATTTGAAGGTTTCAACGAATCCATTTACATGAAACGGCTTATTATGTTAACAATAACTGCCATAATTTTCTACCTCTTAACTGTTGGCGATAAAATATGAATTTTTTAAAAAGCACTAGAATTCATTTCATTTTCAAAGTATAATATTGTTGGCTGGACCGTAACACTTTCAATTCAGTTCAATATCCATATCTTTGATACCATTATTTTTATTTAGATTTAAAATTCAAATTCAAATTTAAAATAATTCAAATTTATTCAAATTTAAAATAAAATACTCCTAGTTAATGGTGTATTTAATACATTTAGTAATACAAAAAGAGTGGTCTTTATTAAAAATATTGCGCTTACTTAATTTAATATAAATTTAAATACAATAGAAATTGTTTACAATTTTTAATATACGATGTCCAATTTGTTTTTAAATTTGTATGAAATACATCTGCCTTAAATAGTGATAATAGTGTAAAAAATAAAATAATTTTACAAATATTAATACATTTATTATTCATTTAATATAATTATTTTTTGAAGGGAGGACAACACATTTCCTTATACGTAACAGTTTCTGATGGACAACTGATAGCTAAATCAGAAGTTTATGTTAATATTAAAACTGCAGACGATTTTCGAACAGGAGAAACAAGGTAAGAAGTAATATTTAATTTTATTATTATAAAACAAATAAATATAAATTTTATTTGAAAACCATTATTTTATACAAATTTATTTAATATTAATATGATTAGTATTACTTACAGTTTTGCAAACAATTAATGTTTTTATATTTTTCAGATTATAATGAAAATATATATTAAAAATTATTTTTAATTTTGGAATTTTTTAAAAGATATTTCTTATATGATCGATTTGCATTGTGTGATTATTTTTTAAACGAAAAATTATTACGTTATCTCGGGTTAAATGATGCAAAGATGCAAAAAAGCTAATTTGTGCTCGTTTTGTAACTATGTTTTTACTTAAACAATTGATGATGAATTGATAAACAAATTCTATCAGCGTCTAAAACAAATAATTTAAGTAGTGACATTCGTATTCAATGCTTTGTCATTAACGTTTAAAATCTTTTTCATTATTATTAATGAAATTTTAATATATATGTTCAGAAATATTATTGAAAGAAAAATAACGGCGAGATAGGATTTTAATATATATATATATATATATATATATATTGTAATAATATCTCAATATGTAAATTAGTGCATTTGTGTTGTTATTTTGAACGTAATATTAGCTTAAATCGAAATTTCTTTTATTGTTTATTTTCTTTAGTCGATTTGATCGAAATATTTTCTATATTAGTTGTTAAGCAAACATAAGTCAAACTTATTTTCTGGGAGCAATTAAATAAATGTCTAACTGTTTTATTTTATTTTCTTTCGAATGACATATTTCTGTAATGAGAAATTCATCAAATTCAATGTAGAAAAAAAACTATCGTTCCATTTTTATGATGACAATATTAACAATCATATTTATTTAGATTATATAAAAATTGAATTTATACAAAATCTTGAACCCACGATTTAAAATTAGTTTATACAAATTATTGTATCAAGAGTGTAATTAATTTATTCGTAAATTTTCAAGTGTGAAAATATATCTACTATACACTGTAAAACAATGTACAGTAAGCAAAAATAAAACAAAATTTTTTTATCATATCTTTTCTTCAATGGCATAATTAATTCTTATTTTATAGAACGCCATTTTCAAACCAATACGGTACCAGTGGATTAATTCGGCCTTTTTTACGTTTACCAACACTAACAATCTCTCCGTCGTCGAGTATTGGTTATTCACAATATCAACCACCAATAAAGACTCGTCTACAATCAAAACTGGATACTTCAAAATCAAGTGGATTTAATACCGCTAATTTAGATAACGCTGTTGCTGCAAATGTTTCTGAAGAATCGATGTTTAACACAAAGGTGAAATCGAATAAGTCTTCACCAACTCAAAATTTTGTGATGACTTTAGTTTTGGTTGCTGTGATTTGTGTTCTTATATTTGGTTTTGGCATGGGTGTCTGGACACTCAGAAAACGTATTTGTATCATCAAAAAATCTAAAAACCAAAGCGTGAGTTAAATTATTTTTTATGAAAATTCAATTAACAATATAATGTATTACATTAATAATACACAAAAGCTTTCAAAGTACTTTGTAATTTTTTTAACGTATATGTATTAACTCAAAAAATTATTTTAATCTATCACACATTTAGTAATATAATTTTATATCAATTTTTATGCGTGTTACAATTTTTACCATCAACAGTAATAACACAGATTATTAATGAGCAAATTGAATAATATTAACAATTTCAATTAAAAAGTTAATTTTATTAAAGTAATAATAAGTGAACATTAGATTGGCATTTGCAAATGCTATCTCATAAATATTCGTGTTTGAAAATTTATTATAAATGTCTTTCAAGCAAAGTACTTTTGTTTGTTTTTTTTTTTTGTTATCCATTCAAGATTTCTTCTAAAATGATACAATAAACTGTCAAGATATTAAAAATCGTTCGAACAAAATTTATTCTTGAAAATACAATGCTAATGGTAATTCTTTTCTTAAATGATCAACTCGTCTCTTTCAATGCTTCATTTTAAATGCATATTAGTCCGTATTCTATTAACTTATTTCACCAATAATATTATGAAATTCCCGATAAAAATATAGATTGAACCCATAAATGTATAATACTCGATATGCGGTATAAATTAAATTGTAATGATTGTAATTCTCCTGAAATGTGCTAATTAATATAATACACATTTGATTTATAAACTATATATATATATACTGTTAGTAATTTCAGTTATTAACATTCTTTATTCAATAATTTGCATATAATTACTTAAAAAAATTATTCATTACAAATTAAACAATTATCAATTAATAATACAATAAATCATTTTTTGAAATCCAATCGTTTTGAATAATTTTTTTTTTGACAAAATGATAAAATAACAGGCATAACATGAAATTTGCATGCTTTATAAAGATTTTTCATTTAAGATTTTTTATTCACTTATATCGTATTTTAAAACTCATCAAATTACATGCAAAATAATTAACTATTAACTAATATCTGTATTAATAACGAATTCAATATTATTTTATATAGATACAAAAAATATAACATTGATATAAGGTTTGTTAGCACTTCTTGTATAGAATGTTCGATTCCTTGCAATTTTTCGTTATTTATGCATGATTTTATTATCAGAGTATATTGGAAGAGATTATTTCTGTTTTTGAATTTAAAATGCAATTTAAGCTCTGTCATTTCTAACATTTTCATATTTTTTATTTTCAACACAAATTAAACTATAGTGCTAATGTACGGTACTACAAGTAATTGTTGAATGTTATGAATAAGTGCAATACTGTATTATTGTTGAAGAACATTGTTGGATTGTTATATGATTTCATATTTTATTTTACCTTCGTAAATTCAATATGAAAGTTACATACGAAATATAGCATGTATAGAAAGAGTATGAATTTCTTGTTATAACTCCATGTTATCCAACTTACATGAGGTTGTTTGGCCTAATTGGACTAAATATTATACAGTGGTTTTGATGACAGATCATTATATAAATCTAATATTTGCCTTTGTTCTAATAAAAACTAAAAAGTACTAGTTATATAAAATATAAGAAACATTTTTTAAACCTAATATTTCATATCGATAATTTATTTGTTCATGTGATACTGAGCTGCTTTGTTATAAATATAAATTATCAATTTATTAAAATAAATTGTTATAAATTCAATAAATATAAATTCAATAATCACTTTTAAAAATATTAGTATAAATAGTAAATTTGCATAAAAATTAATTTAATATTAATTTATAGAATTGATAAAACTGTTCTCGAAGTTTTTTTTAATCTTTAAACGATGTTTTTCTTGATTCTAAATATAAAATATAATGTTGAACAAATTACTTTATCTGATTAATATTTCATTATTATAAAATCTATTCGTACTACTTTTATAGCAAATTTGAAATTCGAAATTATTAATTATATTTTTTATATTATTTTCTTATACCAAATTTGTGATTATGTTAAATTCTCATCATCACTTAATATAATATAAGTTTTCTAAGAAGTAATATTATACATTATTAATTTTAGAAAGATGCGACAGACATAAATGTTTCAACAATATCGAATGATTTATCGTTTGATTTGAAACGATGGAGAAGTCCGAAAGCTGATAGAAACCGTTACGAAGCATGGGAAAAAGAAGAAAAAATGGTTGATATAAAACTAAGAGATGACAACTGGGAATTTCCAAGACATAAATTGAAAGTATGTTAGATTCAATCAAGATATTATAAACATATTTAATTTTTAGCGTATTGGCAATTATTCATCGAAATTTGCGTTGTATCCGAAAAATCTTTTTACAATTAATTTTTTTTTCAATTATGACTTATCTTTGAATGGAACATAGAAGAACAGAGTTCATTAAAATTATGCGTATATTATATTTTTAATCTATTTAAATTTTTTTTTATTTATGCGCGTGTGTATGTAACCAACTGCGTGTAAACTGCAATATTTACAGTCACTGTAAAAAAATGAAAATGAAAATAAAAATATTAGAATTTTAATTGGAAAGTCTATACGTATATATATAATTAATAACAGTTATATTTTCTAAATTACTTTATAAACATTCATAGGTCTTTAATATTCTTGGTGAGGGCTGTTTCGGACAAGTGTGGAAGTGCGAAGCTCGCGATATTGGTACGTCATCAGGTACAACCATTGTTGCGGTAAAAACATTAAAAGAAAATGCCACTGAACGAGAAAGACTTGATTTAGTACAGGAGTTGAAAGTTATGAAGAGCCTTGAAATGCACCAAAATGTCGTAAGATTGTTAGGATGTTGTACCGACCGTGAACCCATGTTCGTTATTCTTGAATATGTAAGTGGTGGAAAATTGCAGAGCTTTTTGAGAGCTTCCAGAGAAGAACGAAGTCAAGGTGGTCCTGGCCTTACTTCAAGAGATCTCACTGGTTTTGTTTATCAGGTATGTTTTAAGAATTAGAATTAGAAAGTTTTCTTTTTTTTTACTACGCAAAATATTATACATTATAATATATTTTATCAATAACATTATTGTTTTTATTATGAATTTATTTTCATTCTTATTTATATTATCTTGTTGTATATAATGTTTAAAAATATTTTATATTATGATAACGATTAAATTCATACAAATTAAATATATAGATCGTATAATATAGTATCATAATACGTATGAGTTTAAAAATAATTTGAATAGTTTTTTAAAATTTGTTCAATTTTTGTTTAATTATTCATTTCTTTCATTTTATAAATAATTATATATTTAATTACTATAATAATTTTTGAAATTTTGATCTTTATGCTTTTACTTAATTCATATATGGTTAAATTATTTCTTTTTTTCTTTTCACTTCATCCAATTCGTATTTTACCTTTTCTTTTTGGTACTCTACCTTTTCTATTAATACTTCAGTTTTTCTCGTTCTTTAAAGACGATTGTATATCGATCCATGCTAGGAAGTATTTTTTTTACTATATTCTTGACTGTTATATCTTAACTTAATAGGGAAGTTTACATATAATTTTGTATTATAAGCAAAAAAAATTCTTTATTATTTTTCCAAATTGATTGATATGCTTAATATAATTAATTATTGATATATAATTAAAAACTTATTGATTTATTTTAACAATTAAAGAAAATGAATTTCCAAAGTGTCTAGACCAATTAGTATGAACATTCTTTTCCAAGCATTTTCGTATATTGAAATTGCATTTACATAAATACACGTTTAAAATTCATGCTTTAATGTGTGTGTAATTATACGTTGATTTATATAAAATTTTTTAATGAAAAGTTTAAAAGCTTTACACTCAAGATTGAGACTAGTTTAGTGGATTATTAGCGACAGATTACATTAAATTAATCCTTTCATATCATACTAAAATTAGCTCCTCTTATAGAACAAACATGGTCATTTATATTCATATATACGAACATCTTATTTATGCTTTATTTGTGTTAATCGTTTCTCACAAATCAGTATTTTCAATATATTATAATTAGTGACGAATAGAAGCCTCGATTCTCTATTGGTAACTATCAATAAGGTAATTTTAATATTTTAGAACTCTATATTCAATGTTTTATACTCCATTTGTCTTCACGTATAATTAAGCTATGAGAAGTACTAAAAGACATGAATATATTACAAATGTAAATCATTATAGCTACAAAAACATCGAGATTTTCGTTATAAGTACATAGTACATATTTTATATTTATAAATGATTAATATTTGATTAATTTTTTAGGTTGCAAAAGGAATGGAATATCTAACATCTAAAGGAATAATCCACAGAGATCTTGCAGCACGAAATATCTTGATTGATGATAATAGAGTTTGTAAAGTTGCTGATTTTGGATTTGCTCGAGATGTGACAGATAATCAAATTTATGAAAGAAAGTCAGAAGGACGATTACCAATAAGGTGGATGGCACCAGAGAGTTTATATGATAATATTTTTTCTGTAAAATCCGATATATGGAGCTTTGGCGTTTTAATCTGGGAAATTGTTACGCTTGGGTCAACACCTTATCCCGGACTTGCAGCTGCTGAGGTAAACCGATAATTTCAAAGGAACAATATTTCTAATTTACTTAAAATTATTTTAGATTTCTAAGCTTTTGCATTTATAATTATTGCTTAAATGTAGAACGTTTTAATTATACAAATTAATACGTTTTTAGTTAATCTACTGAATATTGTTTTATTAAAACATTATTAACAAAATAATTATAATTAAATAATGTATAGATTTTGTTCATTTATTACAATTTATTAGATTTTAATTAGTTAATATAAATATGATTTTTATATAAAGTTTAATTAAAATTATGTAATAATATAAAACAAATTTAAATATATGCAATAAATCAGTTAATATTATATATCTTGAAATAAATGTTAATATTTACAATATGTAAGCATTATAACAATTAATGGTACCGAATCTACATTTATATGTAAAAATTATAAACACATTCAAAGAATATTTGTAAATAAGTATATGCGTTCATAGTATATTTATTTAATTATTTAAATTATAAGTTTTCTTATTTGTGTTCAACGTATGATTATTTGATTTTCAAATTATAGGTGATGAGAAAAATCAAAGATGGTTACAGATTGGATAGACCTGAACATTGTAAAAGAGAACTTTATAATATCATGTATTATTGCTGGGACAAAGATCCTGTTTGTCGACCATCATTCACTGAACTTGTAAATTTAGCAGAAGGGCTCTTACTTGATGAAACAGATTATATTGAACTTGATCGATTTCCTGATCATTCTTATTATAATGTGCTTAGTCTTAGTGGTGAAAAACTGTAAATATTATTGATGTTAAATAAATGACAACGTTAAATTTTTATAACGTAACTTTATTATAAAAATAGTAAAGAAAAAAATTACACTATATGTGAAACAATACTAATATATAAATTTTTTATTTGTTTGCAGACTAATACAATAATACAATTACAAAATAATAAAATAATAGTAAATTACAGTAACATATAATTTGTTATTTTATGAAATTGAAAAAAATTTTTAAAGCATTAAAAAAGAAAGAATATCAAAATTTTTGTTTAAAATAATATTTTTTGTAATGTAATTTCGGACCATTAATTTTAACTTTTGAATAAAAATATATAACAGTTTTGATTATCGAACGTAAATAATATTTAGATATAATCTTATAAATATTTCAACTGTTTTCTAGATCTTTAAATTGTACATATGTATTATAAAATGGTAAACATTAATATATTGTTATTTATATCACACAGTATAATGTATATAATTACATATAAATTTTTATGTAACTCTCTAAATAAATATAATTATAAATTTTGTATAATGATAAAAAATATTTATATTTAATTAAACGCTCATTTTTTTTAAAATTATGTTTTTTTATTATTAAACAACTACATATTTCCATAAAGACAGTGATTATCAACGATTATGACGTACTGATTATCAATTGGTTTGCCAGTCTATTATTGGTACTTACTTCCGAGCCTACAAATGCCTACAAAAGCCTAAAATGCCAAAACAATAACTCCTTTTTACTTCTGATAATTTAAATAGAAATTCAGGTATTTGAAGAACGTAGTTAAAATATAGAATCCTTAGAATATAATATTGAATAATATTTTTACTTGTAGAATTCTAAATTTTCATATTGTATGGAAGTTTATTATTTCTAAAAAAAATAATATTCTTATTGTAAAATTATCTCTAAAAGAGATTTTTATATCTATGTATCATATAATAAAGAGTGCATTTACAAAAAATAATAGGTCATTAATTATAAATTAAACTAATTGTTCGGTGTAAATACACAGGCCGATGATTTCTAGCGGAAAATTGAGAGATTAATTTGAAGGTGTGTGTTTATTTTAAACTTCTTTTAATTCTTTTTTAAGTCTTCTTTGACTGATTTTCATACATTGATTATCTCTAATAAAAAGCTCATTACGAGGTTTCTGATCTCCTTTAAAATATATATATATATATATATATATATATGCGTGCTCGCGCGTGTGTAATTTAATGTTCATAGTACATATATAGATATTGATATAAATAATTATAATTTAAATTTATGACAACGATATGAAAGATTAAGTGTCAAAATATATCATCAATAATGCAGCAAAGCATACAATATTGAAAAATATACTATATACAATAAAATTTGAATAACATATACAGCCTGATATAAATAAAAGACACTGAAACTACGAATTTCATTCAAAAACATGAGATATGAATAGAGTATATAAGAATACTCAATCAAACAGCAACTATTCCTTAGTACTTATGACAATTTCTAATACACAATTAATTCTGATTTTTTAAATCAATCAATATTTTAATTGATTTATAATCCAATATTTTCAAGTTTGTGGATAACTGCAGTACATTATGGAACAAAAGAATCAAATATAATAGAATTAATATTAAGATTAAAATGATAAAATTGTCTATTTCCAAAATAATTTATACATTTGAAATTCAAACACCTTGTAATAAAATTATTAAAGAATGAAACCATGAGAAATTAGAGAATTAGAGAAAAAAGAAATAGAGAAGATAATAGATAAAATGGATAATAGATAAAATATGGCAAGTAATAGGTTTAATTGGAAATATCATTTTCGTGATTCTGGACAATTTATTTGATAATTTTGTTCACTAGAAGTAGCTATATTTAAACCGCTACTCGTTATCAAAACTGTAAGATGATCTTCGGTACAAACTTTCACATCCTTATAAATTGCTACTTTCTCTTTATAAAAGTAACTAGTGATTAGAAATAAAAGACAATGCATCCATCGTTAACCACAAACGTTAGGCCAATTAATATAATGCCCATGAACTCATTTTTTCACTTATAGATTTACAATTACGTCAGAAAAATAGTTGTATATTGATAATTTATTTTTTTTGGAACTTCCAAAATTACAACTGTATGATTAAATTCAAAGCGACCATGAAATTAAAAAAAAATAGAATGTGCAAATTTTATTCAGAATTATATGAAAAAATTAACGCTTTCGGTTGTAAAATGGTTATTGATTGGCAGTTAATATCTTTCTAAATTGTAGAAATTTTAATAAAACCAATACAAACTTCTGAATTTAAGAAGAACTATGAATAAATTAGTTGATATTCAAGATTATCAGAACTAGATTTTGTAATTCGTCAATAATAATTATAAGATGTAAAAATCATATAAAATTTTGTCATAATGAATCCACATATAATTTAATAAAAAATATTGAATAAATTATGATTTTGTAAACAAATTTAAACTTGAATTTAAACTATCAAAACTGAAGTAGTGCTTCGAAAATCTAGCATGTATATTTTTTCGTTTTTCTTTGTACTAAATCGTTTTTCTTTGTACTTATCTGATGCCTTTAATGTTAGATTATAAAGTTTTTTTTACTAATTAGATAATTCTCAATAAAAATATCCGTTGTTTAATGTTCTATTTAAATTTAATTAATTGTAGTCGCACACTTTATCGTATTTAACTATCTTACTCTTTACAATTTATACTAGTTAAAGAAATATCAAGTAAATATAGTAAAACAAATAAATGATTTAATGAATTATAATTTGTTACACTAATTATTAACTTTACCATAATACTATAAGTACCAATATAATCATTAAGAATTATTTATATGTTTGAAAAATTCTACTGTTTTGATGTTTTTTTTAATAGCTGTATTTCTTTACTACTTATTTCCAAGCATGAACTAGGTGTTAGCCACTATCAGGTTTAAGCATCCTTATAAAAATTAAATCAATATAATATTATATTACCACCGAATTAAATTATAAGCCACTGTATTATATTTCCATCATTCATAGGTAGTACAAAAATTTCATTATATATTTTTTATAATTGAGAAAATTATGTTTTGTAAGAATTAATTTTGTACAGCTTTAAACAATTAAATAAATTATTTTAGGAAATAATAATAAATTTTAAACATAGAAAGTTTTTTTATGTAATTAACAAAAAGAATTAGTATAATATAATTAAATTGGATAAAGTGTGAAATACTTATTAAAACTTTTATTATTATATTTTCACATTAAAAATTGCTATAATGTGATTCAATTTGAGATTCAATTATCATTTATCTGATAATTGGGAAGTATTTATATTATATTAATACTTAAATATTTATATTAATTCTTATCAGTATTTGAATTTAATTATACACTAATTTTATTGTGAATTTTAAAAAAGAAAAATTGATTCATTTTATGCTATGAATGGAAAGAAATATTTCTACTGAGATTAATGTATGAATAAGAAAATAACAAAGTACGATTTGGAAACAATGTTTTGAAATAAAAATTTCAATGTTCATATTCAATCATAAAAATATTATAGTTTGAATTGGCATTTAGTTTTTAGAATGACAAAAAAAAAATTGGAATTGGATATACGAGAAAAAAGAAAATTAAAAAAGTTCAAACAACAATTTGAAATAATAGGATTTATTTTCTATAATTTTGCATTACAATTTAGTATAAAATATAATCAAATAATTTTTTTTTATCGTAAAACACTTCAACTAAGGAAAAACCAATAATGATTGTAGGCTTGACAAAATAGAACTACTTAATATATTTGAAGATCAAATTATAATCGCACTATAACGTTTCAGATTCATAAAACTAAAATATTAAAGCATATATTATAAACACAAATTTGTGGATTATAGATACAAAATTGTCAAATAAATTTACTTTTTATACAATAATGAATTACTTTATTATTATAAACTTGATAATTGCGATTAAAATAACTACTTATTCTTTTTAATAGAATATATAAATATATACATTTTATTTAATAATTATAACTGAATAATATCATACTATATACGAAATATATTTACTTTGATTTTGTTTTTTATAGAGGGCAAATATCACAATTATTTTCTATGACTTACTTTGTAACAATTATATTACTTAAATCAATTCTTTTATTCAAAATACGGCGCGCAGTATTATGATACGAAACGTAAGTTTCTAACTGTTATACTTACTGGTTTATGGTTATGTTATGACATTAGAATACAAAATATCATCAATCTCTCTTTTCATTTCTGTCTAGACTATGATTTTAATCTGTATTAATGAATATATAAGAAAAAAGATTGAATATTAAAATATTGCATTAAACTGAAATGACGTATGGATTCTAAACAAAAGTAAGAATTTATAGAAATAATAAAATTCTTTGTTTTTCATTAATGTAATTACAATTTTTATGTATTTATTCAATCCTCTTTATTAGATTTATTAAAAATAAATATTGGAAAAAAAAATATAAATCGCGTAATGTCACTAATAATATCAATAAACAAAAATCAATAGAACAGAAAAATGATGAATCTAATGAATTTATATTAAAGCAATTTATACCAAAGGAAGGTTGGTTTCCAGAATATGATTCATCATCATCATCAAGTGATACCGAAAATTTTAATTCCTATATAAATAGTCAAAGTATTAATTCAACATCACATTCCAAAAGTGTTGACAACAATAAAGAATTTGACAATGATTGGTTTGATAAAAAGGTATGTATATATATTTTTTTATTGTTAATATTTTTATATTTACATTTTTTACATAGTAATTTATTAAAATTTATATTTTTCAATAATTATAAACTATCTTTAATTTTATAGACTATTAAATTCAAATCAGATATTAACATAGTGGATAAACACCATAGCAATTTAATGTTAACTTTACAAGAAAATATTGAACACGAAGCTTGTAATTCTAATATAAAATTGAATATTGTAAAAGAAAAACAGGATGATAAACTTGACAATGATGAAGCAGAATTGGAATTCTTGCTGTCCTTGACAGAACCAGTTTATACAGGTCCACTCATTGTGAAACATAACGTTAAAAATGGTTGGAATTTGTTTTTGTATTTTATTTTAAAATTAAAACACTTTTTAAAATATTTTTCATTAATTTAGAAAGGAAAATTGTGATGAATAATTGTATACAACAAAAGCCTATTAAGTCAATAGATTTAGAAAAGTGGTTGGATTCTGTGTTAGATGATTAAACTACAATAAAAGAAAATTTTTTAATATGGGATACTCTCGTTTAATAGTAAGTAGTATCTATATTTTATTTATTAGTATAAAGAACATTTGTTTTAAAATAATCTTGTAAAAATTTAGTATAATTGAGAGTATACAAAATATATTATACATATACTTACTTTATGTATATAAATAGCTTTTATCATTTTTGTATTAATACAAGATATTTGTGCATATAATCATATCATGTGGACTAAGTTAAATAAGTTTTTATAAATCTTTATATAAATATTTATATTTAATGAAATGAAAGATACACATGATTTAAATTATCAATTGTCTTTTATACATTTTTTATAAATAATTTATATAGATATTTATAACATTTTTATACTTGTAAGCTTCTGGATCTTCAATTTTTAAGTTAATGAAATATTTAAACAAAATACAGAAAAAGAGTTATAGCTAGATTGTGAATATAGTATTTACATATTAAAAATAGATTTTATAGTATAAAAATAATCGTAATATGTTTAAATTAGCTATAGGAATGATTATTTTTAAAGAATTAATATATGCATAAAATATTGTTAAAATAAATTCATAAATAAGATATATAAACGTTATTACCATTATTGTTATTAACCACCATTACTGTATATTATTTTATGGAATGTAACAAAAAAATTAAAGTAAAACTATTAAAAATTTTAAATTAGTAATGTTACATTGGTTTTTTATTTAAAATAAAATTTCTTTTATAATTACGATAGTAGATGGATTACTTTTTATGTTTATAATTCAATTGAATAGATTAAAGTTGTGGAAATAATTCGAAAAATGTTATTTGTAAATTCAAAACATAATTTGACATATAATAATATCTGCAATGAAATATAATTATTTACATATAGATATTTTTTGAAGAAATTACTAGTATTGTATCAAATAAGATCATTAAACAACTTATGAAGGGGATTGTTTGTACTATTGAAATATAAAAATAAAAATTTAACTTTCATATAAGTTTCATATCCACAATAAATATTATATAATAAAAGCATGAAATAGCACTTCAGATTTATGACTTAATTAGGTATCTCATTAAAATTGGACAATTTTGTTATAATAACACGAAGAGTATTTTTTATAAATTTTTTTAAATAATAGAATTTTCTAATACATTTCTTAATAGTAGTATTGGTATAACCTATTATTGAAATATTTAATGTCCTAATAAATTTAAATGATTCAAATTTATATTTATTGTGTTCAATAACAAATTTTTTTGTTTTTAAGCAGCTAATTTTATTTTAAAAATATTTATTAATATAGAAATAAACTTTTATAATTATTTAATCTATATTTCGAGATATAGAATTAATTTTAAACCAACTGATAAACATGTAGTCAAATTTTTTAAATGATCAGTTTAATAATTATTTAGATAATTGAGCCATATCTGTATAATAAATAGAATGACTCTTTTGGTTTTCTTTGCAGTTGAAAACATCTCCAAAACATTTGTTGGATACACTATTACCAACTTCAACAAATTCAGCAGATCTACTAGATTCTATTTGATTATTAGTTTAATTTGTAACTTAAATTCTTATTGTTTGTGTATTTTGATTAATCATAATTATTTTAAATGTATATTTTGAATAAAATAATATAAAAATCACAATTTCCGATAATTCAGTGTTTGCAGTATAATTTATTTTGTATAAATGATCATATTAAAATTGACAATAATATATGTAAATATGTAAAAGTTTTTAAAAATTTGATATGAATTTTATTTTGTTTATATATTTGCAATATATCTCAATTTAATTAAAATATATTCTAGATCTTTAAAAATAAAAGCATCTAATCTATTAATGATATTTTAATTTTATATATTTAAAAATGTTAATGAATTAATTTTTCATTTTTAATGTTTGAAAATATTCAATTATGTAATAAAGTTTATTTGATGTTAATAAAATCAACAGTAATAATATGAACGATTATTCATATTTCAATTAAATTGAAAGTCTTGACTTATAAAAGTGTATAAAAAATAATTATAATAAATTCTAATTTAATCAAGATTTCACTCTAGTAATAAAACTCATTAATCTGAAGATTTTGTTTACAATGTTTATGATACTACTGATATTTTTATATTCATATTTACTTAGATAAATGATTTTTGTATCATTTAAATAATTATACCACTAGCATGATACATCCAATAAGTTAATCGGTTACTCTAAAATTTTATTGTAAATTTAAATAGTAGTTTCACATTTAAATTTTAAACTTTTATTATATTAAAATTAATTAATTATTAATTAATTATTTAGTTTTTAGAATAGTTTTAAAAATAATCATTCATATAAATTACAGTAAATTTTATTACAAGAAATATTAATATTATCAAATTGAAAAGAAATAAAATTTTTTTTTTATTTTTTAATAATCAATGGTAAAATGTGTAATGAATTAAATATTTTGATTTATAATTCCATAATAAGTTACTACTTTTTATTCGTATTTATATAGATTTTAATTTGGAAAAATAACATTCTAATTATCATAAACTAATGATCCAAATGTTTAAAAAGGATATTCTTAATGCTTCTGTTTAAAAGAAATTATGCTTTTCTATAATAATATAATTTAAGCTAGTTTCAGTTATTACAATAATTTAGAGGAGATTTACACGTGAATTACAAGTATTTACAGAAGAACGCCTTTAACACATTTCAAGAGTTGACTTTGTACAAATCTGCAACTATTATTTGGTAGATCATTTAAACTTGGTAACAATTTAAGTTTACATCTATGATTTGTCTTCCTCGCAAAGAAATGTTTAATTTATCATTTATCTTATTTAAGTTCCCCCGAATCCTTGTTAAAGGCGATTCAATTTATTTTCTGTTAAGCTTATATATTTAATAAGTAAATTTATTATACTATCTTCAATAAAACTGAGAAAAATTAATTATTCAATTCTAATTTCAACTTTTCCAAGTAGTTAATTAATAAAAAAATTGTTTAATATAGTATATAATAATTATATAACGTAATTTATGTATTTATATATCTTTGAAAAATGTGACGAATTTATCTGTTGCTAGCGTAAATTTGTTGTATTCACACCTCATATCGTGTATCCCGTACCCTGCTATTGCTTGGTCTAGATGTGCATTACTATTTCTCGTTTTGCACACTTCGCTGTTTTCAACAGATTTTCGAATAAAATCATTACTGAAAAACAGACTTTATGAAAAGAAAAAACTACACTCCCGTAATTTAACGCAATTCCTTTCTACCAAGTTCCAAACTCAACAAATATTACTACAATCATCAAATTATTTAAAAATTTGGAAGATTTTAATGATAATTTTGGTACTAAAACTGTACTTGAAGATATTTGCTATTAGAAAACACATTTTCTTTATACATAAGTACGTCAACATTCAGTTTTATAAATCTGAAAATATAAATGTGTAATCATTTTCAAAATACATAAAAGAATTTAGAGGTGACGCAGTCGGAATTCGAACTGTCAACCATTTTTAATAGAGTTGTCTACTATCATCATTAATTGCAACGGTAAATTCAGTTATACCCATGTTTAAAAAACTAAAAAATCTACAGTTAGCGACAATGAATTACAAAAAACACACTACTTTTTCTTGCACCTTCAATTTGTAACTGCCTTGATAACCAGTTCTTCCTTCAGGGATTACATTTAAATATCTTCCTTTTTTCTCAGCATACATGGAAAGTTTAATTTATACATGTTTTATTTTAGCTTTATTTTTTAATGAATAAAATATATATTTAGAATGATTATGCTACGACTTATTTATTTCCTCCTTATTAAAAAAAACTTTATATTTGTTAATTAGAACTAGCTAGATGAAAAACAAAACAAATTTAATAAATAAGAAATAGAAAATATAGAAAATAAATCTTTAGGGAAATTCAAATTCAATTGTAAATTTGTAGAAAGAAGTTAAGAAACTACTAAAACTAACAAAAAAAGATGAAGGGACAAACTGAATGTAAATAAAAAGAATAGATCGATAGTGTAATAGAAAATTTTCGTTTAATAGAACAAATAAAACTGTTAACTGTTAAAACGTATAATATATCGTAAAATTAATAGATAAAAATAAAAAATTTAATTTTAAATTTTCTTATGCATATTTTTATTTTAAACATATAAAACTATTTTTATGAAAGTATAATTGAAACAATGTTTATTTTAATCTATCCCTAATAAACATTAATTAACAGACAAAATTTTTAATATATTATTAAACATATAAAATTTACATATACGATGCATGGAGAAGGAGATTGTAAAGTTAAAAATAAAGAATACAAAAAATCTTAGAAAAAGAATGGAGAGAATGTAAAAGATAGGAGGAAAATATATGAGCAAATAAAGGACCACGTAAATATCATGGTTTCTTAACGAAAAATTTGTCTTATAAAAAGCAATAGAATTTGTGCAATTAATACTTCACGTCGTTTATGAATCTATTTCTGTAAACAATTTTTAATTTTTATATTCAAATTCACAATTACCCTGTTTTTATTTTATTCAAAATAAATAAATAAATGAAATTTATTTAAAGCATGATAAATGATATGGATAAATCTATAATTTAATTAATTTATATGCGTAAAGTGTTTTTCATGATAAAATGAAAATCAGAATTTTGAAATATCTTCATGGAAAGCATTTTTTCCAAATTTGAATACCTTAAAGTAACTTGAATAAACAAAAGTTTTAAGACTAATTGTTTTATCAATATTAAATACATACTAAAACAATATATAGTTTTAATATGTTTATAAAAATATATTACTTAATTGTATTTAATAAATTTTAACTCTGTATTATAGAATTTACTATGTATTGTAAACGCAAATGGTCTTCATAATTTTTCAAATAAATAAATTTTTTTTAATTATATAATGGTAAAATGCTTATTATAGTTTTAAAAATGTTCAAATGAATTATTATATTAAACTTTAAAAACAATAAATATTTTATCAACGGATATAAATAAAATATATAATAAATTTTTATTTTAAATAAGGTATTTTAATGACTTAATATAACGTATTTTAATATATTTACTAGTTTATTAATAAAAATTAAAGTGTTTATAATTATGGGTATAGTATAATTGAATACAAAATCTAGAGACTTAGAAAAGTTTTGTTAACAGTAATTTTTATTAACAAAACTTGTATTAAATGTAATGAATCCTTATGATACGCAATTTATATATATTCTATTTTTATTATTTCTAAAGCATTCTTAAATATTTTATTTATGTAATTTAATGTGTGTATGTGTGCACGCGCGCGCTTATGTTGCAACCATTTAATTCCATATTAAGTATATATTCATTTTATTTATTATATAAAATATGACGGTAAAACTGTATCTGGAAAAATATTTAAATATTAAATAAAAAATGCACTTTACTTTAATTTCAAATAATATTTTATCCTAATTTAAAACTTTATCAATAGATTTATTTGTATCTAATCAAATTTTGTTGATCTACTTATATATTTACAGCGTTTAAAATAAATTTTCAAAGAAGTTATTTATTTGATTAATTGGATAAAAAGTTTATCAACAATAAGCTATTGGAAATATGTAACGTTACTTGACTGATAAGAACATTGAACCTAAAATAATCGGGAAGGGGAAATAGCCGACAATTATTATGCCTTCTCACATGCTTATGTCTTCACTGCACTTATTTATAAGAGTACAGTTTTAATTATTTGAATGTATAATAATTTCATATAAGTAGAAAACATAGAATGTTTAAAAGAAATTAATAAAAGGATGACAATATAAGTTAATGTAAAAAGTATTTTTATACTGTTGTTTTCAATAAAAAAGAAGTTACAATTTTTTGACGAATTCTTGTTTTCTACTTAAGCTTGGAGAACACAATTATCATACGACGTATAGACGGAAAGGAGATGGTTGTAAGACAGAGGCAGGTGAGGGACACCAATACAAAAATATAATCTGTAGATGCATGCTGAATAATACAGTTTTTGTTTTTTATTTCTTTAAAATTATTAAAACGCTTATATACGAAATTTAAATCAACTTAAATTTATATAAATTAAAAATGCATTTATTATATAAATGAGCATTAGGGACTTTATATTTTTATTTTGTTACTGCTATAAACTACATGGTTTGTTTGTTTTATTAAAATATAATTATTTTACTATTATTATTAAACCACAAAGTTTCCTGTTGTAAATAAATATTGATAAGCTCTATATACTTCCTAATTTATTATTCTACTCTCAAATACACTATAATTATTTATAATTAAGATATAATTTTATACAGATATTTTATTTCTATACTTCAAACTTTCAACGATATGAAAATTTTATTTTATAAAAGGTTCTTTTTCAAAATTTAAAAAATTCAGACGTATAATATAACGGGCGCTAATTTGTAATCGAACTTTTTATTCGAAAATTTTTATTAGCTAGATTAGAATATTATATACATAGATGCTGTTTAGTAATTTTATTTTTAATTATATCATATAATTAGATAAAATTGTTAAAACAAAAATATGAATAATTTTTAAAATAATTTACATTTAAAAAAGAACTTTTTAATTAAAAATTAAAATTTTTTTATAAGCATGAATGATAAAAATATATATAATATATAAATAGTAATAAATTAAGTAACTTGAAAATTATTTCATTAAAATTTCTATTTTTATATACATTTCACAATTTTCAGATAAATAAAAATGAAGGAGTAAAAGATGATACAACTAGAAATATACAAAATTTTGTTACTGAACAACCAATGGGAATATTAAAAAAACAACGTTGGTGTAAAAGAAAATATTTAAGGATTATTATTGTACTATGTTTATTATTTTTAATATATATTGGTCTTGCTAATAATACTAAAACTTTTCAAATAAGCAGTAAAGCAATTGATAACTTGGCTATTCATTTTAATCTGCATAAACCATTTTATGTTATTATTATTGATGCTGGTTCAACAGCAAGTCGAGTAGTTGCTTTTACTTTTCATATGTCTATTGTAAATGGCCAACTTATTTTAGACGATGAATTATTTTTTGAAACAAAACCTGGATTAAGTTCTTTTGTTAAAAAACCTAATCAAATAGAAAAATCTTTAAACATTTTATTACAAAAAGCTAAATTAAAGATTCCACAACAAGAATGGTCTCGTACACCATTATATTTAAGAGCTACAGCTGGTTTAAGACTTCTTTCAAATGATGAGTCACAAAAAATATTAGAAGAATGCAAAAAAGTATTAAATATGTCAGGTTTTTATACATCGGATGATTCTGTAGCTATTATGGAAGGATCTGATGAAGGAATTTTTTCTTGGTTCACTGTAAATTTTCTACTTGAACGCTTTTCAAAAACTAGTAATAATATTGATCATGCAACAAATACCATTTCTACATTTGATCTTGGTGGTGGTTCAACTCAAATAACTTTTGCTTTAACACCAAATGTGATTGAAAAAAAAGCAAAAGAATTAGCAATATACAAAGAAAAGATATTTCACATAAATGCTTTTGATAGAAACATGAGTATATTCACTGAAAGCTTTTTGGGCATGGGACTAATGGCAGCTAGAAAAGAAATTCTTATGCATCCTGATAATCATAAAAATCAAACAAAAAAAATTAATATAGCTTCACCGAATTTGGAAGTTATTGAAATATATGCTGAATGTATAAATCCTATTATATCTGGTGTAGAATGGACTTATGATAGAAAAAAGTACATAGTAAAAGGTCCAATAAATGGTATGCATAAAATTATTAAAACACAAAATTTTGCTGGTACTGATGAAGTTAGACCTATTGTTAGGTTTTCTACTTGTCTTGATATAATAAAAAAAGTCATTAATGCAAATATTCCACATGATCTTTCTGAATTTTTAGAACATGACATTTATGCATTTTCATATTACTTTGATAGAGCTACAGAAGTAAGTTTATAATATATATAAAAATATTAAACATTTTATTATAAATTTATTATACATGAGATATTTTGTACAGGCTGGCCTAATAGATCCCTTTAAAGGAGGAATAATTAGCATTGAATCAATTTATAAAACTGCTCGTGAAACTTGTGAATATCCTAATACAGAACAACCATTCATGTGTTTAGATTTATCATTTATTTATGTTTTACTTCATGAAGGTTTTGGCCTTGATAAAAAATCAAACATATTTGTAAGTGTCAAACATTTTTTAAGATTAATATTTATTTTATAATATAAATATTTATATTTATAGATGCAAAAAAAAATTAATGGTCATGAACTAAGTTGGGCTCTAGGTGCAGCATTTAATATTTTACAAAAAGACATGAAATACTTAAGTCAATAAAAAATTCAAGTTCAAAAGCAATAAATGGTATAGATACATATATATAGTATTGTATATAAGATATATAACATATTATTTGAAAATAAATATATTTTACAAATTTGCAAAATTTTCTTGAAATTAAATAAAATTTAGCTTTGTAATATAAATTATAGAATATTTATATCTATATTTCAATCACACATAAACTATATTAAATAAATTTTATATCAATGGAATTTTGTTCAATTAAATTGGAATATTTAGATATATAAATATCAGTTTACTGTCATTTAAAGAGCATGTGATGTTTTTAAAACTTGACCAAAAGAAAATTAAGTGCATTAGTTCTTACAAATGCAGAATAATAGCAGTAGATAGCTAAAAAAAAAAGAAAAATTTGAATTTCATATAATTTCTATAAAATATTCTCATTGATTCATTGATTTAACATAATTTGCTTATTGATTAATTAATTATATTGGAATCGGTATTTTAAACATATTTTGTATAATTTGTTGATTAAAATTATACAAACATCTTTTACAAATATATTGATTAACATACGATATTTATTTATATGTTTTTTTACGTAAATTATAAATATTTCTACATAACTAAATCTTGTAATGACCTTTTATATTGTTATCAATATAAATGAATTTTTTCTTGGAAAATAATATGGCGTTAGTATATTTACTACTTTAAACCACGTTTATTACCTAATGTGTCACTATAGCTAACATTATATATTGCCTACGTCATTGAGAATCAATAAGCTTATACCTCGATTATACAATACTTAATTTTCACTATTTACACTACCTGAGGTTAATAGTGTTAATATAAAATAAAAATAAGAACTATAGACAATTGAAGATGCCAGAAGATATAAATGGTACGGATTTTTAAAGCATGCGCAGTTGAAGCTTTAGCTTATTTGTTAAACAAATGCACCTAATTTTAATTTTACGCTTATAGAGCGATCAAACAAGTACTAATAATAGTAAAATAATACATTATTTCAAGAATAAATTATTTTACTTATTTTTAAATATATTAAAATAAACTCTATAATATATAATTCATATAATAACTAACTAAAATAATTTACATGATATTTTAAATTTTATTTTTGAATTAATATTTTAATATTTTTTTGTAAAATTAAGTCGTATTGTTATTATATAATTTTATGCAAGGATACTAAAATAAAAGAAAGGATTTTTAAGTTTTAGTGGATATTACATTTGAAAGATGGATATTGGTGAAAGGTGAATATTACATTTGAAAAGGTTTAGATCGAAATTAGTTAGTTCATGTGGAATGTACTTTCCAAATCTAAGACATACTAAACAACTGTTAATAAATTTTATTAATGATATTAAATAATTAATGATTCTGCCTATTTTACGATGTTATAAGAGCAGTCTAATTATTTATTTAAATTTAAAAATATTGAAATATTTTTATTTATAATTCATATATTAATCATGAAAAACATTCATTATATAATTTTTTTATCTATTCCTTTAATTCTCTTCTACATTTATTGATTGTGTTTATTTAATTGTCAATCTTTGCACACTACATACATCATTAAATTAAATAAATGTTTTATATTTATTTCATATAATTAATGAAAAACTAATTTTTAATACAATTAAATAAATAGAAAGTATAGAAAACTGGCAATAGAAGATTTATCTTAATAATATGGATTTGAAAAGTAAGAAAATAAAATCTCTATAAATAAAATAGAAAATAACGAATATGGGACATAATAGAATATTTTAATTCAATGTTATAAAAATTAACTTCATTTTATTACTGAAAAAATACTAAAGAAATAAAAAACTAATGAACGTAAAACCTAAATTAAAATAAAATAATAAAATTGTACATAAAAATCAACAAATATATTCTTACTTTTCTTATAGCTTTTCCGTTATAAAAATTGTTCCCTCTTTCCAACTTTAAACACTTTTAAGGTACCGAAGGCTTATACATTAGAACTTATACCTTCGCTATAAAAAGTCTTGGAATGATGCCTTACAGTATTATTCGGTTTTCAAAAGTATCATTCTCGATATGGTTTCGTATCTCCTTTTCTTTATGCATATATCCTTTTAGCAGCCTTCATAACAGCATTCGTTTTTTAACAATTTCTTAACAATTATTTAATACAAATTGACACAAAATCATCAACCAATAGAAATAGAGTGCTCATAAATGAAAATAAGTTAAGCTTGATTTTTCTAGAGAAAACGTACGTACTCTTTTTTTAGCGTAATCCATCACTTTATTATTAGGAATAACTGAGAATTAAAACGTTATATACGACATAAAATGGAATAATAATGTTAAATCTATTAAGTTGGTAATTGTAATCATTAATCGAAAAGACTGGCAGATGAACAAATTCACCGCTGAAAAAGAACTATAATTGTTCAATACAAAATGGAAAGCATGTTAGAAAATTTCAATATCTCGTCATATGGTTCCATGTAACGTCGTATATAAGTTCAGAAGTATTCAACATAGATAAGTGTGCCTTCGTAGCTCTAGAATGTTATATTTTTTACTAAATAAGGAAATCGATCTATTATTTTCACGAATACTCACATATATTCAAACAAATTGGAAAATATCTTGAAATTTGCTAAGCTCAGTGTTGTGGTACTCAGATTTTTTATAACGAGGTATTTATAGGTACCGAAATATTTTTAGAAACAACCAATAATAAATTTGTTTAAACGGAAGTGTGTTTTTTTCTTAAACTAGTAAAATTATTTTATTATGACTTTTTTCTACAATCTAATATTGCCAATAAATGATATTAATATATACACATTGTTATCGAAACTCAGTTACACGTTTCATTTTCATTTTTAAGTTATTATCAAAATCAAGAAATGGTAAAACACGAATGACATAACTATGTAATGTATTAGTTATAAGTAATTTTTTAATATAAATATTAATAAATTACTAAATTTATCGTTTCTAGCAATATTTTTAATAAAATCAATATTTTAATATTAGTTAAAGTGTTTAATAACTTGATTAAATCATTTATTAGCTTAATATTACAACTAAGTTTAATTATGTTCCCATATATCCAATTAATTATTTATGTATACATTAATATTTATTTATAAAATATTTATCATTCTTTAATGGTAAATATTTCACGTATTAAATTTATAAGATTACTCAAATAAGTTAATAAAAAATATTTTACTAATATTAATTATTTTAATTATGCATAACTGAATCTGAAATTAAATAATTGAAAAGAATGAATTTTTAAAATTATTATGAAAACATTTTCGAAAATATAATGTACAGCTACGCCATCTATTTATTTTAATTAAAACTAAATTAAAAATAATTGCTCGTACGGTCACAGAAATAATTTTTTCAGACGTATAGATAGTATTTACCTATAAAAGATAAAGTAGTGTTCAATTCTAAAAAAGCTTAGTGAATTATTAGAAGAAAAAATATAATTTACTGCTCTTTTCTATTATTTTTTTTTCTTATATTTTTAATAATGTATTAACATGAATTTTTAAGCAACTGTTATATTCACTTTAAATTTGAAACTATAGCAATTATATGATAATGAATGAGACGAGTACAATATGCTGTCGCGTATACATATATGCATATATATATTTATGAAAATAATATGTAAATACACACATGCTTAAACTGAAGTATTTTACAGACTATATCATAAAACAGATTAATAGGCTATTTTAGCTTTATTGGCGTTTCATCTCTATTCTTTTCTTTAATTGAGAGCATAAATCAATGTACTAATCTATATTTCATCATTTCGCTATTTGCTTCAATTTTCATCGGTTTGTACATTAAATTAACATTATTTTATTTTAAATGAAAAATTGAAGGAATTATGTGAAAACAGAAATTTTTTCATAATGTTAATTATACTTTTCTGTTTTGTTCAAAGTACATGAGTGTCAACAAATAGTCATAGGCCAACTGACAAACAAAAGGAGAAAACAATAAAATAGATTGTACAAATTGAAATAAGAAATGTACTACAATAGAGTTTAGCATTTGAAAAATAATACTGATTTAATATATCGATATTCATACAAATAAATGATTTGTACCACCAGGTATTTGCCACTGGCCTTTTTCGTTTTAAATGCTCACCATCCAAAGGTCCATTTGCAAGCTCAGCACCAACTTAAAGTAGGCTTGATCTGTTTTCTTATTTTCTTTTATTAAATTGTTTGATAGTTTTGATAATTTACAGATTATTTACAGATTCTTGCTAAAACATTTTTATTACCAAAAGTTTTGCTTGAAAATTGCTATAAATATTTTTATACTGATAAAGTCGACTATAAATCGATTAAAATTGCAAATATAGCTTCAATGACTAATAAAAATATCAGTTGTGTATTTAAAAAGTATCACTGTTACCCGAATATCACTGTTAATACAAATTATAAAAGAAAACAGTCAACTACAAAAAAAATATATAAAGAAATTAGGAAGTGGTCAAAAGTTGGAAAAGGTAAAAATAATGTGTATAATTTTGCAAGTAATTGAATTATGTGCAAATTGTATCATATAATGAAGTAAAATACATTTTTTATTGATATTGAAATAAATTAATACAAATAAAATTAATTTTTGAAATATTTTTAATTGATTATAATAAAATTATAATAAAAGGAATATCATTAATAATTATTTGTTAAATAAACAAACCAAAATTTTGTTAAAAATCCATATTTAATGTATAAATTAATAATAGAAATTAATAATATTCATATTCTATTAACAAATTGTAAAATAGTAGAATGTCATTTTTATATCTCATTACAGAACAAATAACTATAAATCCCAATGAGTTATTTGTATTTAAACTACTTTCTTTTAATATATTAGCACAAGATTTGTTAGAAACTCATGCATATTTATATAGATATCACAATAAACAAGCACTATCTTGGCAAAAAAGGAAACGACTTTTAGTGCAAGAAATATTAGAGTCACAAGCTCATGTATGCAAACATTTTTTAAAATATGTACAATTACAATTATGTAGAATTATGTACAAATTTATACATATTCTATATAATATGCATATATTTTGCAGGTGGTTTGTCTTCAAGAAATGCAAGAAGACCATTTAGTAGATTTTTTAATACCATTTCAAAAAGCAGGATTTACTTATTTATATAAAAAACGTACTAATAACAAGAAAGATGGTTTGCTGCTCATGTATAAGGATGACATATTTAATTTACTGGAATTTTCTAAAGTTGAATTATATCAAACTGATATTGAGTTATTAAGTAGAGATAATGTAGGTTTAATCGCTAAATTTTCTTTAAAAGGGAGTCCAAATACTAAATTTGTAATTGCTACCACACATTTACTTTATAATCCTAAACGTAATGATATTAGATTAGGTCAAGTGCAACTTTTATTTGCAGAAATTGAACGAATATCTTTTGTTGAGAATACTCCGTGAGTATATTTTGATCATATTTATCAGTCATTGGGAATTATGGTTAAATAATAATTGAACAGAACAGGTCCACGGTATCTGCCAATTGTGATATCAGGTGACTTCAATTTTGAACCATATAGTGGAGTTTACAAATTTATTACTGAAGGTTCAATAGAGTTTATTGGAAAAGGCAGAAATTTAGAACAATGTGATTTTCATTATTTAACAAATTCTTTGATTCCTCCTCATTTATATGTTACTGATGAATGTCAACATTTCAATGTACTAACACAAAGGTTATCTGGTAAAGGAAGTGGTAGAGTTATGGTAAGAAATTTGTAATATAATTTTTAAAATGAAATATATAACGTTTTTTTTATTAATTTTTTATAAATACTTTCTTGAAATTATAAGAATAAAAATATTTTTTAATTTGAAGATTATAATTATTTTAAAAAATATATTTATCTTTTTAACTTCATCATTTTCATTTGAACATTTTGAAACTTAAAATAATAATTTGTAATAATTACAGTTAAGAAATACAGAGAATAAAGATATAATCTATAATGATAAAAATTCATCACAAAAGTCACAAATAAATAATTTAGTTGATTCAACATCTACTACGTACCAAAAAATAGAAATTGTCGATGGTCATTATGTTACATTTTCATCGGGTCTTTTAACCCATCCATTTAAATTACACAGTGTATATGAGCATTTAAATTCAAAAGGAAAACATGAAGTAACAACATTTCAAAACGGATGGATAACTGTCGATTATATATTTTATAGTAATATGAAACCTTTAAAAAAATTTGGATTACCAACAGCAGAAGAATGCATAAAATTCCATCGAATACCAAATTCAATTGTGGGAAGTGATCATTTATGTCTAGGAGTTACTTTTCAAATAAATAAGAGATAAAATTATATTATTCTTTGGTTCACTACTGTATATATAAATTAAACTGTAAGAGAAAAATCTTATTATATAAATTTTATTAAAACCAACAATAAAAAATTTTTTTTCTATGATATTAAAAAAATATACATAAAATTTATTAATTAATTAAATTTAATATTTACTTATATGAATATATATTTAAAATAATGTATTTAATGGTAATTTCTTAATCTGAGCAAGTCCTATATCCAGATTAGAATTCTCATCATCTAAGATACATGTATCTTTAAGGAGTTGTTCTTTTGGACGAGATTTACAATTATATTGATAACAATTTTTGCTATATTTCTGAAATGTCAATAATAAACTATTATCACCACCATCAGGTCCAACAATAAAATCACATTTATATTTAGACTGTTTTTTTTTTTCTTTCATACAACATTTTAAAAACCTATGATCTAATGTAAAATAATTATTAATATTAACAAAATTATGAATTCCAGCTTCTTCTCTTAAAATACCTGTGATAAACAGATCATCTATCCAAAAATATTTTGAATAATATTTACTTTGATAGATTAACTTTAATGCTGTGAACATATCAACAATATAAAACCATCCAGAAATAAATGTTGGGTAGACATTCCCTGAGAACTCTTCATTACTGACATACCATTTACTGGATTTATTTCTTATTGGAGACATATTTTCTAAAATATATCCCATTAACAATTGTTTAGTTTTATTTGAGTTTGATTTATTTTGTAAAAGTATTTTTGTTTCATATAAATTAATAATAATATCATCATCCATTTTCATAATATAAGAATAATTATTACCACATGTATCTACAGCCCATTTAAGTCCCATTAAATGTTTATAAGTTAAATTTTTATATGCTTCAATAAAATTACCCTGTACAATATCTTGAAAACTTTCAGCTTCCTTCTCAATTGCAATCTGTGTTATTCCAGTTTTTCTTTGCAATTTTTTATCTAATACACCAAGTAAAAAAATCCGTTTTATTCCTAATAATTTTAATTCATTTACTCTGTAAGCCTGTCTTAAAATCCTTCTTTTATAAATGTTACCAGCAAAAGAGGTAATTATCCAAACAATTTTCATGTTTTTACTGTTATTTTCCAAATCTTGAATTGAATAATTGCACTTTGTATTAATAACATATTGAAAAGTTTGATTCGAAATATTTTTCATATTATTCAACTTTATTTTTCCATAATTGATATTTGTTAACTTATTAACATTCTTAATTGTGAAAGAATGTATTTTTTTGTTATTACTACTTAAATCGGTGATAATAATAATTATTATCAAGATCACACATGTCAGTAACATAGTACTTGACATGCACTTTATTGACATAATCATTATAAATAAGTTTAACCTCATACACACAATATTTGCCTTTAATACGAAAAATTTTTTTTTTATTTTGAAGGAAATGCATTTAAATTGGATTTTAGAATGTGGTTATAAATGTACAAAATAAAGGTATTTCTAAGCAAATGTAATAAAAACATAAAGAAATAAAGATCTTTTACTAAGGAAAACACACCTCTAGCGCCAACTGTATTTTTTAAATTGAAGTCAGTTGGAAACGGAGCAGATCGAGTTATTCAACAAATTCACAATTTATTAATTATTACTTGCAATTATACTTTAATTTCTGGAATCACACATGAACTAATAGTAATTTTTATTACAACAGTAAAAAATAAAATAAAATATTATTAAAACAAATTAATTAATTGTTTGGAATACGTATTCATACCTCATTTTTTGTGCCGGCTACAGGAATTTAATTTTGATCTTTAATTTAATTATTCTTTAATTAAAAAATGAGTGTCTCTCGCACATGCGTTCTAAAGCTGTATATATAAATGATAAAATTAATGCTTTCTCAATTTGTGATTTATAATTGTGTTCGTAAATATACCATATTGCATGATTTATCCATATTTTACGAAGAAGTTTGAAAATGCAAGAAATTTATGAAAATCTGCGCAGAGCAATTGAGCACGGACGTACAGATATTGTAATGTCTATTTTGGATGCATGTAAGTTATTTCATTTATTTATAAAAAAACATCTTGTTATTTATAATTATATAAACTTCCCATCATAATTTGACATCCATATTAATTCATTATATGCACATGTAACTCGGTTTAAATCGCAAAACATTTATTATCATTCACAGTACATACAAAGCGAGAAATAAAAAATTTTTAAATCGTTTTAAATAAAAAAATTATTCATTCTTTAAAAATATTTTATAATTAAAAGAGTTTTTATTTAAATATTAAATAATATTTTACTTTTTCATTTAACAAAATTACAATTTTCAATTAATTATTAAATTTATTTATATAAATATATGATTTAACCTATTTAATTACAGTTAAAATTTTACTAAAATTAAATTAGTTTATCCCACAACTAATTGATATAGATCAAATAAATAGACGATGATATAGAATTAGATTTTAAATTAGTATATTAAAAAATATGAAAAGATTTATTATATTATATTTTATATTTCTTTGTTATTTGCAATCAAATTTGTAAACAAAATTCTGTCATTCGATCAGTTATTCTATCCTGTATTTTTATTATCTTTATTAGGTTAGGTTATAATTTGGTATACTAACCGGTACAAGACTTTATTAGCAATATAAAATTCATAATACCATTTAATTATTAATATACTATAAAATTTTTTTTGAGTAAATTGTGCATAAAAAATGTTATTTGAATAAATTTTTAATTTCATTTATAAACATTTCTCTAAAATATAATAATACTTGTGTTATATTATTTATTAATATATATATATATATATATATATAAGAAATTTTTTTTATAGATAAAATTGCAAAAAAATATTATTAATTGAATATTTTATTAATTATAACGTTAATTACTTATATCAAGTTTATTTTGTAGGTGATGAAAATGAGATTAGTAATGGAATTACAAAAGATAAAATTTTAAATGGACCAATATTTGAAGAAGGTACTCCACTATTATATGCTTCTATAGTAAGTTGAACTTTCAAAATTAGTTGTAAGTTTATAAATGTAATGATTAATGTAGGTTTATAAAAATAATTAAACAATATACACGTTTATAGCATAATCAAGTTGATTTAGTAAGAACATTATTGAATTGTGGAGCTGATCCAGCTGTTACAAATATGCAAGGTCTTAATGCATTAGAAGTATCTATAAATGATAAAATTAGACAAATTTATATTGAAGAACTTTTAAGAGCTACAGCAGCATCTGAGTAAGAAAATTAATAATTCATAATTCAATATAATTATTAAATAAAAATTTGAACAATAAAAATTAAAATTATTATTCAGAATATCAAGAGTACAACAACTACTATCTGTTGGTATAAATGTGAATTCCTGGGATTCAAAAGTTAGTAGAAACACTCCTTTACACTGGGCTGCTTGCTATAGTAATAAAGACATGGTACAATATTTAATAGGTATTGTAGCTAATAGAAATATAAAAATACTCTGATTATTATTTTATTTATTATATGTAAAATTTTAATATATAAATTTATTTGCTTCATTATTACTTTTAGATAAAGGTGCAGATATAAATATGGAAAATGGTTGTGGCACGACACCATTACATGAAGCAGTAAATCGTGGTGAAATCGAAATATGTCAAATATTATTAAAAAGTGGTTCAAATCCTTTTATTCGTGCAATTAAAGGGTAATTGAAATAATAATTTATAATATATTCTAATCAGTAATATAAAATTTAAATTATAAAATAAATATTTTTTGTATCAGAACATTTTCTGGAAAATCAGCATATGATATTGCAAAAAATAACAGCTCAATCGAATGCTTAATAGAAAAATATCTGGTAGAAATGCCATTGAAAGATAAAGAAAATGTGCATAATTGTTTAGAACTTGTAGAAGATACAAATTTCTCTCAAAAAAATATTTTAGTTGATATACATCAACCTCTTACTGTTGATTCTATAAAATCTTTAGAAAATAGTTTAGAAGTTTCAGCATCTGCGGGTGATTCAAGAGAATCGGGTAGTGATAGTCCATTACGAATACAACGTTCTATTGCAAATACTGGATTATATGAGATGATTTGGCCTGAACCAAAGTATATTATTGAGCTTGGACATATTTCACCTCCATTTATTGTTGAAAAAGAGCTTTTAATTTCTATTATACAAGTAAGCACAACCTAATTTTAAATAATATTTATATATTAAACAATAGTTTGTATCTTTTCTTTTTATAAATTTCCTATTATTTATAAAACATCAATGTTATATAAATTTTAATATTTAATTTATTTAAAAATTGAAGGGTAGTGAATCTATACATAAAATATTAGATGTTTGGGAAATTAGTCGAACTCATTTATTAGAATTAGGCTGTGACGTAAAAATTGGAGAAGTGCAACCACAATCTGGAAGGATTTCATATGATAAAAGAATTGAATGCATAGTTAACCCAAAGTTATTTAATGTCACAACAGGTTATCAATTACATATTACACAAAATTCAATTAAAGTTAGTGCTGGTAGTCTGGCAGGTTTACATTATGCAGTTTGTACCTTTGTACAAATATTACGATTATGTAAAAATCGGTCTAATAATACAGAAATTTGTGAAATTGAAGCAGTATTAATCAAAGACGAACCAAGATTTGGTCATAGAGGTATACTATTGGACATTTCTTTAAGAGGTCGTACACCTACACTAGAGTACTTATTACATGCCATTGATGTTTGGTGTTCCTTCAAATTATCTCATTTACACCTTTATTTTCGATTAACGCCAAGTTGTGATTGGCAATTTTGTTATTCAAAATCAGAAATGGTAACTCTTGATAGATATTGCAGGTAAAATGAAATTTATACTCTAATTACTCTAATAAATTTTAAAAAATTATATATGCAATTTAAAGTAAATAAATAAATTTTATAATTTAGAGATCGATACTTAGAATTAGTACCAGCATTAGATGTAGATTCTAACGTGAGTCTTCAACATTTATCACAAATGTGGCCACTTTTTCAAGAATTACTAACTACATTTCCAAATGTAAATTATGTACATATAGGTCCTAGATTAGCTAGTATATTAGTACAACCAAGTAATTTTGATTGCTCTTTATCAATAGATGAAACTATAGAAAGAGATATGTCTGAAGTACTCGAACCTTATTCTAATCTTCAACAACTTTGGCATATTTTGAATTTAAATTTTGATACAACAGTCTTACTGTGTTCTAATGGTTTACATAGTAAATTAGAATTTCGTAGCATACCTAATAATATTATACTTGTGGAGTATGGCTTTCAGGTAAAGTAAAAATAGTGTATACATAATTTTTTCACAATTATTTTCGTAAGATAATAAATTTATTATTAATTAGTAATAATCATTTTTAATATATTCATATTTTTAGGCAGATTACGAATTTTCCAATTGGACAGAAGCTTTTAGAGTTGCAGGTGCAAATATTTTACCTAGCTCAGGAACTGCAAGTTATAATAGTTTAGCTGGTTGTCCAGCTTCAACTTATGCTAATACAAAAAATGCCATCAAAACTGCTCAAGAGCAAGACTCTATTGGAATTGTAGTTGCCCATTGGTCTGGTAGTCATTATTTAACATCTCACACATTTGCTTGGGTTGGTTATATTATAGCTGCTGGTTTATCCTGGAATCCAAGTACAGATATTGATTTAGAGCCTTCAATTGATTTTTATGATACTCGTGAATCAATTGGTAATAACAGTAAAAAGTAAATATATAATTGATTATTCATAATTATTAAGAAGACAATTTTAATCAAATTTGTATGAAATTATAGATCTATAGCTAGAATATTAGATACATATGTATTCCGAGATTTGGAATACAAAATTGGCAGTGCAATTCTTGAACTTGGACGAGTTGATACTTTAGTTTTAACAGTAAGTAAAAATCAAGACATTAACGATCTTCAACAAATACCTGATAATCGTGGTTCAACTTTGTATAGATTGTTAACAGACCCAGATAATGTTAATCTCGAATATTTACCTATTGATTTATTCATGGTACAATTTTATTATTTTTATAAAATTTCTACATTAAAATATTAAATATTTGAAAATTATAACAAAATCTATTTTTTAGAGAGCAACTAAACAAATTAAACGAGTATCTCATGCTTTGTATGAAGCTAATCCAACATCAAAATTTGCTTTCATGGAAATTCAAGAATTACAGTTAGCTGCAGATTTGATTTTAACAGCATGTAAAATAGGCAAAACTTTAATTGGTGTTGGTATTAATCCAAATAGTAACATGGGATTAGCTGTTATAAATTTAGGTGTAAATAATTTACCTCCAACTTTTAGAACTGACATAGCTAATAAAATGTTAGCTCATATTGAACGATATAAAGGTGTGTGGTTACAAAGACATTTGCCACAAGGACTTCAAACTTCCTTATTAATTTTGACCAGTGCTTTACATAGATTTGTGCCTGAATCTTAAATTTTATAAGATCATTATGATTTTTATAATAAAAATAGTTAATTTAATTATATTCGATATATTATACTATACTAAACTTTCCTTGTTGCTAAATTTTATACTGAAAGCGTGAAATGCTTATTTAAAATGTTTTAATCAAAATGTTATAATTTGTAAATTTTTATATAAAGATTTACTTGCAAGTAATACATTTTGTACTAAATTATAATTATGTATATATTGTTATGGGGTTTTCTCATTTAAATTTCCTTGTGTTTTTAATTTTTATTTCTATGTATTATATTATGCATTTCGCAAATTGTGAATAAATATCAGTGTAATCAACGATGTAAATTTCAAATTTTTGGGCAAATATTAATACAACTTTTGTACCAGCTGATATCCACTTCCTTCTCTAATGTACAGAAGTACAATTTTTTTTTCAACTTTAATTATAAAAATTAAATTATTCATTGTTATATGTATACAATGATTGTGTTCTATAAATATTATTAATAGTTTTATAATTTATAATTTCAGTATGGAATAGTAAAATCTGTTACTATATATAGAGAATATATAAATAGTATATATGCAAAAAGTATATATATAATAAAAATTATTTTTTAAATATTTGAGCTTTAATTTTACAATATTTAAACGATTTAAAATTTGATGTTAACTATTCATTTTTTTGAATAACAATTATGGTTTCTATTTATTTTTATTTTTCTTCTTTTATAGGATTATAGGAACATCCATTAATTATTAAATTTGAATAATTTCAACATAATGTAACAAAATTTTTACTGTTCCAATCTTACACTGTTCTTTAATGCTCTTATAGAAATTATATAGTTGAATTCTATAATCTAGTGCCTAGTTTAATATTTTCATAAAAAATTATAATGTTAAAACTATATTTAACATTTATAAAAATTATAATTCATTATAGTTAAATTAGTAATTGGCTGGTGATTTGAATAATTTTCTAAAATTTTCTAGCAACAAACAATTTATAAATATAAATATATATTTATTCAGTGATTAAATAATTTTACTTACTAAAATAAAATATACGTCTAAATTCATATTATTTCATAAAATTTTAATTATTTAATAGTAAATACATAAGCACCAAATAATCTCCTTTTAAAAATTATAAACTTAAATTAATTTTTATTTTTAACAAATTAATAATTTTATTAATATTATTATATTAATATTAATTAATATTAGTTTAATATCCTAATTGAAGAACTTTAATAAATAGAGAATTCTAATGATTTATTTGAAATTATAATACTAAACTAAACTAATACAGGATTATAAACCAGAAGTGTAAATTTTTTTTTTTTTTGGAAAAATTAATTGTTTGATTTTTTTATTATACATAATAATTATTATAAAAAAATAATGTTCATTTCATTTTATATCACATCGTCTATTTATTTTTATTTATAGATATTTCTAGCCCTGCTTATTGACGATCTCTCATAATTTTTGGTCGTAGTAAAGTTATATTTTAAATATAATATATTGATACTATGTTCTACTATTATTCGTGCATGTCTAAAATGTATTGAATTTGATTCTATTTATTCCAGTACTATTTTCCAGTTCTGAGGATTTTTTTTGTCTTTTGATTTATAAAAAAGATTCTCAAGTTTTCTTAATAGATTTCGTGATAAGTGAGATACTGTTAAGCTTTGTTTCTATAAACACTGAAGTTTAAATATGCATATTCGAGATGAAGAACTACAAGTAGTTTATATTAATTTACATATTATTATTTTATTTATTAATATATATTTATTAATATATAAATTATATATAATAATATATAACAATGGATTATAGTATTTTAATTACATTGAATTCATTTGTAAAAGCCATACTTATACATTTTACTATTAATAATAATCATATGCATAAAAATACCGAAATGACACTATTTGAATTTTAAATATTACGAATTTTGTGTATCAATATTTGTGAATTGCTTATACCTTTTTGAGAAAAAGATATTTTAATAATCATTGATTCAAATTTATAATAATTACTTTCTGTAATTAAATCTGTGAAAAATCACATTTTCTTCACTGTTTCATAATTGATATGTTTAGCTTAATTCTACAATCAGCTTAATAATTTTTTGTTTCTTATAATAGGTGCTTCGAACTTATTTACTAATAATGCCGATATGTCATCCTTTTATCATCGTATAATATAATCAAACACTCAACTTGTTTATTTATATAAGATTATTAGTCACAAAGACATTTTTCTTTTTATATTTTTTTCATTTTGTTGATTAATTTTTAATAGAATCGACTAAAGGATTCTATCCTTTAGAAAAACAATTAATTATTTAAATTTTGTTATTCTTATAATCTAAAACACTGTGAATTTTCTCTTTCCTATTATAACTATTAATTATATATATTTTTAAGGTATGTCATCATTTTATTATGTTTAAAAATGGAGGTTGAAAATGCACGTATTTTGTATTCCAATATTTGAATTAGTTTTATATTTTTTGTTTGCGATGATTTTATTTCTGATTTATTTCTGATTTTACAATGTTTTAACACGAAATCAACATCCACAAAATGTTGCATTGTGATACTCCATATTAAATATTTCTGTAAGACAATAATTTTATATATTTTTAATTGTAACATTTTTTTCACTATTATATATTATAATTATACAAGACAAAATCGTAAGAATATTTTACATCAAATTTAAAATGATTGTAAAAGAAAATTTCATGAAAATTATAAATTAGTTAAAAATATTTGTTTTTTAAACCTTGAATTTTAGCTCGAATCATGAAATAACTAATAAATTCTAACATTTATAATATTGATTAATATTTTTACTTTTAGAAATAAAGGAATAAATAAATATATATAAATATGTAATTGTTGTATATATATTTTAATATTTTTAAAAATGCCTCCCAAAAATATTATATAATCTATTGTAAAAATTTTATATCTTAAATCTCAATTAAATATATAAAATTTTGTTAAATACTAATTAGTTAGAATATATAAAATAATTAATTCTTAGAAACATTAAAAGTGGTTTTTGTACTTAGATAGTACTATGTAATATATTTTTATAATATTTCTCTTGTAATAATTACAGAATCATTATCATTTTTAAATGTTCATTTGTTAATGTTTTATTTATTATTAATTAATATGAGATTCACAATTCACATGAAAAGTTGATTCATTTGTTTTCATGACTTAAAAAAAAATGTTTGCAGATAAAAATAGTTTTTAAATACTTAGTTTATATTTATTTTATTATCATTAGAAATTATATAATAAAATTGTATCAAAATCAAAACTTATTTATGTTACATATTTTAAATTTTATATAAAGGTAGGTTACGTTCTTTTTTATGAACATGTAATATTTATAAATTTAGTATATTGTATAAAGTTCAAAAAGACAATTTGTAACGGATATTTTCACTGAGTAATTTAACAATAATATCTTACAATTAATTATCATTAATAATTGTGTTTTATTCTGATTTAATTTATAATGAAATCTTTACAAATAAATATATATATTGTACATATATATATATATATATATATATATATATATATATATATATAGTAATTATTAAGGAATGTGATTAAAATATAATCTGAATCATTTTCAAATTAAATTAGTATTAATTTAATATCATATTTATAAAAAATATCTTATAAATTTTATATTACTTTAGCATACGTAGACAATAAATAATATAATATTATCGTTATCGAAAGCAAACAATATTTCATACACTTAGTAAAATTATTCTTTTGTTTTTTAATCAAAATTCAAAAATAAATATGAACTACTTTTTTTAAATATAGATAATAATTTTATTCAATGGCATACAATTTTATAATACTAGGGCTTAACTTTTATTATATTACAATATAACACTTTATTAAAAAACCTGAAATCTTACTTAATGTAAGTAGTTGAATATCATATAATATGAAATTGTCGTTTTTCAAAGGCACATATTATCGAAGCATATACAGTTTAAAGTACATATATTTTTTTATAATGTGTTGCAAAAATTGCCTCAAAAGCATGATGTAATTTAATTATTCTTTTGATGGTGTAAATATATTTCATATTACTGCTTGCAAAAATTTTATTTTGTCTGTTTATGTGTAACGTATAAATACGTATAATAAACGCTTACGCAACTGGTAAGAAAAATGATATAGTTTACTTATCATGAGTTAGAGAAAAAGATAAGCAAGACATATAAGACTAAGAAATGGAAGGACGTGATGTGAAGGGCTTATTTGAATTGCCTCGGATTTTGTATTAAATTTCTTATTTGGCAAATTATGCAGCACTCGACGATCAGACAAAGGCTGCACAGGTCGAAAATTATGAGTTAGTTTGTGTCCCTCAAAACCTCTAATATTCCGAAATGCTGCAATCTACAAAATTAAAAATAATTTATTGTAAATTTTATTTATAAAAACATTATAAATATATAGCTGAGTAGAAACACATATAAGTAGAAACATAAAAATCATAAAAATAAATATTTTTTAATAATAAATTATGAAAAGCAATATTACGTAAAAAAATTTATTATTAAAGTGCTCAATAATAATTGTTATTTATAAGAATTGTACTTTATTAACAAACCATATTATATTTATAACGTTTATAATAAATAATTTATTAGATATTCAAAATAAAATTCAATACATTAAATAAATTTCCTTAATATAATCTTTTCCGAACTCATTTTCGAATGTGAAAGCTAAAAAATTATATTTTCTTATAGGTCTTATAATATATATATATATATGAATATTGAATTTCCGCTTATATTATGTTTGATGAATACATTTTATATGATTTATTTAAGTAAATGATAAACTCTGACTCGTTTTAATACTCATAAAGTGATATCATGTATATGTAAATCTTCTACTAATTTAAAATATTTGAGTACTATCGTTAAATTTATTTGTTAAGTGCTACTCGAATTTTGTGAAAATTTGTCACTTGACTAGTTAATTAAATACAATTTTTACGCAACCTTCAATTCATCATTATTCTGTTTAAATTTGTGTATTTTTGTATCTATAATAATAATTAAAGAATAAATGTTATCGGATAAGGACAATATATTTTATCCAAAATTTAATATACAGTAAATAAAAAATTTCTCTTAATTTTTTCATTAATATTATAAGTCTAAAAATTTATTCATAGAGATTATCATTTCATCTATGCAAGAAATATCCTTGATTAATTGCATAAATTTATGTTTATTAAGTAATTCACATAAATTTTACCTGTAAACTAACAAAAGTAATTTTTCACGTGTTAGATATTTAAATTAGTTTTGAAACTGACATTTATTTCTATAATAAATAACTATTACTATAAATAACAAATAACTATATTACATTAAAGGCAATAATATCGCATATGATAATGGGCCTATAATATATATATATAAAACCACTGTGCAATTTTATAAAATTATAATGTTTGTATTGTGTATCTCTTAATTTCCTTTGTTACATATTCTATAATATTTCAGTCATTCATTAAATATTTCGTTATATTTAATACAAAAATTTGATTCTCAATTTCCGCCTTCAAATTGTAAATGGCAGACTTTTATTATAATTTACTTTTATTGTGTCTCCATATTCATTTATAATTTTGTTATTTAATTGGTTAATAATTTTTTTAATATTCAATGATAAGAAGTATAAAGATTTAATTCTAATAATTAGAATTTTCAATGTATACTTTAACATATTTTCATGTGTATTGTATAATTATAAAGCGCAATAAAAATTGCAATAAGTATTGAAACAGATTTTATTATTATCATAAACATTTTTATTCAATATTTAAAGATATCAAATCTTTTTAAATCTGAATACTCCTAACATGTATTCATTACAAATGACTACATTTATTTATTTTTATGCAAAGAAAAAGAAATTTGAGTGTTTATTTTAATTAATTTTTAATTAATAGTGGAAATTATTACGTAAGCGAATTTTAAGGTCTGTATGAAAGTATACGAGGTATTTTATATTTTAACTAAATTGTATTTTATATGTTTAAATATATATATATTCAATTTATATCATAATATATACACTTTGAATTTTTTAAATTCATTAGACTTCTTCTGAAACTATACTTAATAAAAAAAAAGTAATTATTTTTTATAATTATAAATACACAATTTCTTGGTTTTCCAAATTCAATAACTTCATAAAATCTGGTGACTAAATATTCATATTTTTCAATATTGAATATTTCTCTTTTTGACTTAATAATTATTTAATTTAAAATTAATATAACTACTTTGTAAAAATTTCATGATATTACACTTTAATTTTAAATCATTCTATAATGTCTACTTACTGTCAATCAATCATTATATACTATAATAAATACTAGAATTTGTTTTCCTTAATAGAATGTCTATTTTTGCAACTCATTTAAAAAGGTTTGAATACATTAACTACTTTTGCAACTATATTGCAATTTTGCTAAAATTTTAATATATATTAAATAATTAAAAACAAATAATAAATAATAAATTAAAAAATCAATTTTAATGAATTAAAACGTTTTTTATATTAAAAAATCTGTGATACACTGCTTTGTATATACGACTTTAAATCATGTTTATCCTTACATTTTTTCCACTGTTTTAATGTAATACTGAGTGAATTAAATATCTCAATAAATTCATTAATTAAATAAATTTTTAATTAATCTTAATAAATATTAATAAAATTAATGTAAAATAATAAATTTATCTACACTTTAATAGAGTTTAACTTCATTTTTCTCATAAATATATCTAGAGCATTTGCATATTTGACACATTATTTGTTTGTCTTTTTAATAGGTAAATTGACGCAACGTAAAATTATTTCATAAAATAAACAAACTATTATAAAATTAAATATTAAATTATGCATAAATCTTAAGTATATTGTTATTGAATACGAACATGTTTCTTTGTTTTAATAAGCGAAAACTTTTTGTTTGATTTGGATCGAAATAATTACTTTTGTCAAGAATATAGGATCTCTATAATTACGATACAGCTTACCAATCACAAAACCATTGATGGATTTTGTGACTTCTGATAATTTGACATACGACATTTTACTCATCTATTCTCATATAATTTTATTATGTATTTATATGTTACTTTTATGATAATAATATACTTAAGATATACTTGATATTTTCATTCTCATTTGTCTATTTTCTTAAAATTTTGAAACTTTAAGCTTTGCCATTTGATTTTAAATTTTGATAAAAATGTCTATAAAACAAAAATTAATTATAATTTTTAAGTTTTAATTCAAATTAATTAAACATTAGTTGAATCTAAGTATATTGTTTTAAATTTCAAATTGCTCGATATAAAATTTATTGGTCGCGCCTTCAATAGCGACATACATAATTTTAATTGTAATACAATCCAAATTTATAACGCATAATTTGGAATATGAGATTTGATATAAAATTATCAAAATGTAATTATAAACCTTCGAATTGATATCGTAAAATTTTATTTGTTTTTGCTTCAAAACAAAACATTATGTTTATATAAACACAATAGACGTCATGTTACTCTGTGTTATTAGTATTTTATCAGTTAAAATTTTTTGAGTACTCTAATAGTAGTAATATAGAATTAGTCTTGTATTAAATTCAAGTACATTCCTACCAAGTTTCCAGAAATTATCTAAGGTTAAATTATCGAATAATCAGTTTTTGTTTTGTTTTTTTATTTATGTATTGATTATGTATAACGTATTAAATAATATACAGAAAAATTTCTCACCTAATCATGTTATAAAATTTGCTTCTCTATGTATTTTTTACATAATTCAATTCATAGATTCTTCTTCTATTTTTTATTCCGTCAAATAATCTTTTAAAAAAATATGTTTACAATACTGTGAAGTATTTTTTTTATATTATCATTAATAAGATTTTCTACTCTTGTTTGTTACAGCGATAATGTTAGATATCGATAACTTTGTTCTAAAAATAAAATCCGTTATTTAATATTTCTGTATTTGAGTAAATTAATTTTCTATAACACGTTAATTTTAGCACAGCATAATACTTTGTCTTTATTTTTATTCGTACAAAAAAAGTCGATAATTTATACTTTAAAAGCAATCACATACTATTAGAAATTCATAAGTAACTTGTTAATGTTGTTGAACTTGTTAATTAAAATCTATTTATAATTGCTTTAAATTTATATATTATTATATATTATTATTATATTTATATATATTATTATAAAATTTATTAATGCTATTTCAGTTACTGCAAATTTTGTAGGCATAATATAATAATTATTATTAGTAATATTTGTATTTATTTACATTTTCTTATTATTCTTAATAGTTGAAAATAGCTGTCGTATCAAATAATCCAATAGCAATAATTATTAGTAAATATTATTTTAATATTACTATTTTATAGTAAATTTTCATAACGTGTTTCTATTTCAATCGATTAACTTCTGCTTGTTTATATCTGTTTAAAAATTAATGTATCTTTTTATTTTATGATCTGTTAAATTAAAATATTTTATTTATTGTATAAATGTTGACAAATTTACAAATTTACCATTTATATTTATATTCAATTATAATACTTACAATTATATTTTTAAATACAATTATCGCATAATATATATTTATTTATAATTATATTTATGACGAATAAATAACAATATGCAAAATACACAGGCATTGTGATAGGCTATATATATATATATATATATATATGTCTAGTAAACAAAGAAATATAAATAAAAATTATGAAAGAAGTATATGACTATTTGTGCTATTTGTTTGGAACATTAAGTGCATACACTGAAACAGAGAGAGAGAGAGAGAGAGAGAGAGAGAGAGAGATAGAGAGAAATAGATAGATAGATACATAGATTGAAGGGGAGAGGTTATAGAAATTGGGATGAGCATGATGTCATGGACTAAGATTATAAGTAAGAACATTCTGCTTGATGAAGTGGTAAAATATAAGTAAGGAATTATCTTGGCAACTGACTTGGCACATTCTGTGATTTAAATTTAAATTATACATGAATTATGAATTTATAAACATATGTTAACTTATACTTAAAGGATAAAAAGCATATATTATTTAAAAGCGAGGTGTTCACCTTTCTCTTTCATACCTTAGCGGTTTTAATTGCATTAGTCCTTCCTTAATAATAGTAGTATGCAAAGCCAAATGAAAAATATGTGATCATTTTTACAATTAATAATCTAAATTATGATCTAATTCTTTTCTGGCATATAAACCTTTGTATGTTTCATATTTGTAATTTGTGTTTATATCTTTATGTGACTTCTTAATGCATCCAAGATTTTAAACATACTTTAAATGTTATAATTATTTTATGTGAAGCATTGTAAATTATGTATAAGACTAATGTTAAAATATTGACTTTTCATGTAAAAAATGATATACAGTATAAAATCATGGTGATAATCTCATCAACGCAACCAACCAACCTTAAATGGAGACTTATATTACGTCAAAAATTTGATTATTATTAAAAGATACTATTTATTTCTAAAATGGTGTACTTTTTTGTTAAATTAACCGAATTAAATTTTCTTCATAGTTGACAAAGAATCGCAACGAAGGTATAATTCATTTTATTTACTATTATTTATGTTTACTCCATCGGCAACTCCTTTGTATTTATTATAAATTCAAAAAATAATCAATGTTTAATTTGAATATATTTTTTATTGTTTTAAATGAAAGTACAAAAGTGTATATAAAATATACACACCCATTTATAATATAAATTTGTTATTTTTATTATAAAAATGTGGATAAAATTATATAATATCAAATAATAAAATATAAATATAACAATAATAATAATTTATACCCATAATGCATAATATAATTTTTATTTGATGAAATATTGATAAATTACATCTATACACATATACATATATAAATAATACATATAATACATATAAGTTTTTTGTAATTAAAAAATTGCTTTATATTTGAAAAATATTTGAGTACTCTATTTATTATTTACTATAAATATTTTTATTATAACACGTTATTATATATAATTAAATTATTATTATATCAAAATATTACATAAGCTCTAAACTAGTATCCAAATTATCGCTAAACACATAATCTTTGATTGTTTTGATTTGTTTAAACACATAATGTAAATATTATGTTTTTACAAAAGATATATATTACTATTCAAAAATTTTAATAAAACGTATTCAAATTTTTTAGTTATTAAATAATTTATATTGATAGTTTATTATTTCGTTTGTTATGATTTATAAAAGAAGTTTATTTAAATAAAACATTGATATAATTGAAGTAATAATACTATAGTAATAATTTATTATAACAAGGTAACTATTGTAATTTATATAATAATTAAAATAAATATAAATTAAAGCCGAAATAGTAATTCATTATATCAATACGTGGATGTGTTTTATTGTATGTTTAAAGTGTATGTAATATCAGAAATTATAATTTTTTCAAAATAACAATAAAAATAATAAACATAATAACTTCAAACACGGCTAGTCGTGATGTGTATAATTATATATATATATATACATGTTGTATATAAAGTTTAAGATTTAAAAGTGCTAAATAAATATGCGAAATTTCAACAAACCTGCAAATGAGAAAGGTAAAGTGGATATTTAAAATCGATCCATGTCACGACTTCGGAACAAGGTGGTGTTGTGAGAGAACCGTTGTATGTGAAATAATTTTGCATTCTGTCACTAGGTGGTCCAGCTGGATTCAACAAGTGCCCTAGATGCATATTTTCTGACAATTGGATCTCCGTTCCCACCTTTTCAATCTTCGGTAGTGCTTCCACTATCGTATCAAATAAAGGATTTGCACGATCATTTACTTCAGCCTATACGCAGAGTAGAAGTATCTTCATTATTATCAAAAACCAACTTTTATACTTTATCACGTATTCTTTTTTTAGTCTAAATTTTAAGATAAATTACCTGTTTGGTTTTAGAATTAATCAATGAAACATTGAAAAATTAATTACGAACATTTATTTGCAATATTTTCATCTATAGACTTAACAATTATTTCAATTTAATTATATAAATAACTAAAAACTTTATATATTTTGTGAAATAAAATATTAAAATAATTATTAAGTATTAAATATGAATTAATTGAAAATTAAAGTAATCTCTGAATCAATTATTAATGTAAGTAGTATTTAGTACATTAATATTTATTATATTATGATAAAATATTTTTCTTTAAAAATAATTATTATATTGAAATACATGTTTATTTGTAGAAGAATCATTATAATATATATATATGGAACTTTATTGGCGCCTTCATAAAAATTGTAATTATAAAAATTGATATTAAGTTTGTTTATGTAAAATAAAATTTTGGAAACATCATTTTGAATTTCATACAAATGAAGTATTCTTGACATAACTTCATTTAATTGATATTTACCTTTAAATTTAACAGCATTTAATTAGTAAATACTTTGATGTACCGTATTTACCGAAGTTGGCACATCAAGGAAAAATATCAAACACGCACCCTAGGAATTAAAATAGATGCATGTTATTTTAAAAAGTTAAAAATTATTTAATTTCACATTTAAATGCTTCCTATACAGCAGAACATTATCATAAAAAATAAATCAACAAACCCGAGATCTGATCATTCATCTAATCACACCGAGTATTTTTTATATTAATTTTATATGCAAAACTTATCTTTATTGTTACAGTTCTTAATGTGCAAGTATCGCTGGTTTAAAATTTAAACAATATTTTGTAACGTTGTAGAGTCACTATTATTTTACTCACTCATTAACTTTTAAGAATGACTTAATTTTGTTTTTATTATACTGACAATTTCTATTTTCTCAGATAGATTCTATATAAAATTTTGAAAAAAAATTTTTTTATCATAGAAATGCCTAATTTTTTAAAATATTTAATAAAATACTGATATCTTTAATTTATTTAAAGATTAAAGTAAATTTAAAATAGATCATTATGAAATTCTATATATTTTTTTAAACGTCTTAAAGTAACATTAGGTATATTTCTTATAAATACGTTACACTTTTAAAATAAAGAAGAGATGATTTAATAAAGAAAAAATTAAAGAAAATATCGATATACATTTTGTGTTTTCGTTTTTGATTTTTATTTGTATTTATTATAGCAAAAAATTTAATGATTATATCATTACATCATCATATATATTTACAAAAATAATATTTTTAAATTAATTTTATTGGCTTATAGTTAATTTTTTCAAATATAATATTTTGCAATTAAAATGTGTAGATATATTTATGTTGATAAATTAGTAAAGTGCTAATAATTTCAATTATCTATTCGACTGAAGAAATCAAACAACAGAAATGAACATAATAATGAGAGTAATTATCACTTTTACTGCTAATTCAATAATAATTCGTTAACATCTGAAATGGAATAATGTTAAAAAATATAGATTCTTTGAAAATAAATATAATTAACTATAAGGTTTAAATTTATAAAACTGCAATTTATTATTATTTCAAGTATTATGGGCAAATAATAAATGTAATGTAATAATGAATGTGAATAATATAAACAAAAATTAAAAGAATTATATCTTATTTTTTATTAAAAGCTTTAAGTTTAATAATAAATTAAAAAATTGTGATTAAATAACATTTTCACTTATTGAATATAATCATTTTAAGATTATTTATGTTTTATTTCATTTTAGTTTATTTCATGATTGTTTAGTGCGTTTTATTAAAATTTGACTTTATTTTCCTATTTTTATTGTTATATACTTAAATTTTTTTTATTTTATGATTTTTATTTATATATTTCTAATAATACGTGTTGTTTATTTTAATTTACATTTTAAACTCTATTTGAAAATATTTAATATAGTTAATATAGGTGTTTAAAACAATTTTTGTTTTATTTTTTAAATTACTATAATTTTACATGTTCTGTCTAGTTTTAAAATTTTAAGCTTATTTAATTAATATTTATAAGTATAGGTTCTTGCATCGATAAATAACATCTTCGTGCAGTTACAACGGTATATTTGGAAACTAACTTCGTCTTAATTTGTCTTATCAATAGCCTACTAATAAATTAAAAATATGCCTAACTACAAATTTTAAAAGTATTTCTTTACAATTTTATTTAAATATTATATTTACTATGATTAAAAAACATAATTAAAATTTGCGCATGCAAATGATTATGATTATTATACCTCGAAGAAGAAAGCAATCACTGCCAAACCGTCTGGGTTATGAATTGCATCGTTCATAGAGCCGTATTTATCTTTATAAAAAACAGCGTGTAATTCCATTGCAAATGAATGGTTGTTTATGAGATCTTCCGAACCTTCCCTGTCGTTTTCTCCCCAATGAAAATGAAGTTGTTCGAAAACATAGATGCCATTCAATGGCCCACCCGACATATAAAACTGTTTATTATCTTTAGAACTGTAAAGCAAAGCTGCAAATATTAAAAAATTGTACATTTGAGATATATATTATCAAGTTTTTACTTTTGTTAAAGTAAACAATGTTTTAGAAAAATAATTTATTTATGAGGCAAATTAAAAAATATTAGCTTTGTTTATAAATATTCATACTTGAATTAATAAAATTTTACGTATATATTTACGTAATAATTACGTAAGATATTATTAGTCATAAGTATTGAACATAAATAGTACTGAAAATAGCAATTATACAATAGTGATAAATACAATATAAAGAATTGTATAATATTATAGTATTGTAATATATATTCTCACATTATATTTATGATTCATTTATGTAAAAAAATATAAAATTCTTTCTTTTGTATTGATTCAGTTGCAAGATGCATTTCATTATCATATTCATTTGCTTATTTTTGATTAAAATATATTCATCTAAATTATAATTGATCCCATACATACCACGATGATTTTTTATTTTCTTTACTAAGTTAGAATATAAAAATTCTTTTAATAATACAATTTAAATTTAAATATAAAATTATTATATTAATTTTTGTACATATATTTGTTTAGCATATGTTATATTATAAAATTTACGTTTTTTTAATTTACCTTAACAACCTTTTGATATAATGAAAATTTGTATTTTATATTATATATTACAAGAAATATAACAATTGTAATTTAATAAATAAATTTAAAAACAGTTTATGTAATTATTGAAACATTATTTTGATAAAAATTTCATAAAATATATTGAAAATGCAATTTTTAGTTTTTGCTAAATATAAGCGATTTTCAAATAAATAATTTTCAGATAAAATTGTTCATTAATGATTTATAAAACAAAATACTTTTGTTATCAACATACCCGTATGTCCATTGTTTATCAAAAAAAATTTTCTTGGCGTATCTAATCCGGAAAATATTAAAAGTGGTAAATTTATATCTCGTACGTCATGTTCTTGGATGTTTATCGGCGATTGATGTTTTCCAACGCATGTATCATAATTTTCTGCCCAGTGGTCAGGACCTATTTTAAGAAGTTTATAAATTTCTAAATAATATCTAAATGTATTTAATTATAATTTTATCCAATATATGAAAGTAACTTTTGATAAAATATATACAAGTTTACAGAAACAAAGATTATGAATGAAACAAATTATTTTTTATACTAATATTTTCATAAATAGGAAATTTATAGTACAATATATTGTAATGCACAATAATTGAATGTACAAAAAGCACAGTACAAAAGTTATTGAAATAAATAATGTGAATACGATAACATGAAATTATTATATAATAATATTTTTTTAAATACTCGATGGAAATCAAATAACCAAACTTACCATGTGAACCACTGTATCCGAAATTGACATGTTCCAAAACAGTAACGTCAATTGTATCTGAGAATATTTTAAAACATAAATATAATTTTTTAAATTCTTGTATTGACTGCAATGTTTTAAACCTATAATTATTTTTATTGCAGAATATGTTAAAGCGAAAAGCCCAATTAAGTTAAAAATAATAAATATACATTACAGATACATAGTATTCATAAATAATAATAAAATTGTTAATATTGTATATTTTATTCATTACTATTTTTAAACATATTATTAAGCAATTGTTTAAAAAACAAGTATATACATTTCAAAATACTGAATATATTTTTAATATATTTTTTAAACTTTAATGATATTATTTATATATAAATATCAAATAATCATACTAAACCAATTATGTATTCTAAATAACTAAATTAATAGAATAATATCTTACATAACTATATATATATAAAATAAATATCAATTGATGGATATTTAATTTTTTGTAGAAATTAAATTTTTGAACTATATATTTTTATAATATATATATATATAATATACATTTATTTATTTATTACAAATTTATTTAATTATTTATTCTCAGTTACACATATATACATATACTTTATTTAATATTTTAACATTTTTAGTTATATGTCAATTCTTTATTCTTAACCATTTTAATTTCTTTTGTTTAATAAAATTAAAATTATGATAAAACAGATACATAGAATATTTATTAAAATTTCTAATCATATTCAAACACCAAACTATCTTTATCTTGCAAAAATTGTTCTAAACAGAAAACATTCTAAACATCATTATGAAAACTGTACAGTTTAAAATATTTGAATTTATAAAGTCATAAATAAATAAAAAGTATATGTAACAGTTTTACAAATCTATCAAATAAATTACTGAAAAAGTTTTACTGGTGTTTTTGGAAATAACAATTTTTTTATATTTTGTATAAGATTTCACATAATCACATATAAACAAAATTATAAATAAATTAAGTAATTCTTGTATTTACTTTTAAATTGTTGTTATTTGTGTGCAGTACATATTGATATTTGAGAATTTGTTTGACAATTTTATTTTTCATTAAAATAACAAAAATTGATTTATAGTACAATATGTTTATAAATAATTTTAATTAATTATAACGCTATCATTATGTACTATGATGATTAAATGTATGATGTAGATAAGACAATAGATAAATTTCATAGTTTCATTTAGTGGCTTCTAACATGTTATACTTATTACAATTTTAAACACTTCTAGATTGTAAAATCATGCCACTGAATCTTGCTTTAATATGATAAAAGAATGTTAAAATTACATTTATAATTAATAAAAAAACATTTTCAATATCAGTATTATAAAGATGATTAAGATTAAAATTTAAAATAGTCATGTAATCCGAGTTATGGACATTTAGTGAAAATTTGTAATCCAAGAAAGCACAATTAATTTAAAAACAAGTTCCTAGCTACATAATTATTTTATATGTAACATGTAATAAATAACATTTCAGCCAAAAATTCGTATAATATTAAATGAAATAAGCAATAGTGTTCGTTATTCATTTAAATAGAAATCTGTGTTATAATAAGAATTAAGTAATATAATATAATATAAGTAAATCCGATGAAGGTCAGAGACAATTACGACGATATTCGTTGTGACTTGTGCCCAACCTTCATTAAAATAGTCACGCTTTCTATTTTGCCAACATAAAGAATTGTTTCAAAGCGTAAGTCGTTTGACGTATCCATTTGCATTGTCAGTTCTTCCATCTGAACCAGCCAACAAAAGAAAGCACATAAATTTGTATAGAAAAAAACATATAGAAAGGAGAAAGTAAAAAATGCTTACAATACTGTCTAAACAAAAATTGTTATTATTATTGATAATATTATTGATACTAAAAAAATTGATTTATGCAAATCATTTTTTGTATACTCTGTTTATAGAATTTGTGTTACTTTGATTGAAAATGTTAAATAAAATTAACTTAAATAGCGTTATATTTTACAATATAAACTTGCACTTTGAAAATCTAAGAATCTTATTATTTACATTAGAAATATTATCTTTTATTAGTAAATATTATTCTGAATTATAATATATTATATTTATAATATATTAAAGTATCTTTTATATAAATTATTAGTTATATTTTAAACTTTTCAGTTTCATCATCAGTTTATTTAATTGAATTTTTTTAGTTTTTAGCAACAGATAAAAATGACAGTGCAAACGAGTATAATATCCAGTTAATTATGGACAAATAAAATGAATAATAATTCGTTTTTTATTTTATTTACTAATTATTTAAACAAATAATTACATAAATAAATATATTTTTATTAAACGATTATAATATATATATATATATATATATAGTATAAATGATACATAAATCACAATAAAAATCTATTTAATACAGTTTGTACAAAATTGGTAGAAAAAGAACATGTTTACTTCAATATAATAACATTGAAAATCAATATTTTAAAGAAATTATAAATTAAATAAAACCATTAAATAAATTTATTTGATTACTATAGAAATAACAATAAATTGTACAGACATTACAATACTTTAATATTATTATACTTTGTTATTTTTAATAACGAAATTTATTTATTTTCATTTATTATATTAGACTAAACTTCTATATATATATCTAATTTTACTGAACATTATTTGCAATTGAAATAATTGCCTTTATTATTAGCTATATTATTAATAAATAACAATTTTCATTGTTTCATTATTAAATTCTCACAAATATTATAATATTTTATATATAAGAATATATGCAAATAAAATTAATTACTGTATATGAGTGCTGAAAGTAATAAGAATAATAAAAATATAAATACTGCAGTTCCATTTATTACAATTTGTAAAAAAAATCATGATTAATCTAAAAATTAATTAATGATAAATTTGAGTTTTTTAAATAATGTGTATTTGCAAATCTTTAATATGCTCATCTTCGATATGCAAACATACAATATCAAATATCAGATCTTCGAAATTCAAGATAATTCTATACACACATTTATAATTTATAATGTATCTAAACCATTTCGTATCCAATTTGTATATGTGTTAACCAAATTTATTTTATTTAAATAAATAAATATATGAATACAAAAAAGTAGAATATGTTTTGTAAATTTTGTTTAGAAAGAGGTTATAGATTTTTAAAAGATATTTCTTTGAAAGTACCTTCTGAAACATGTATATTAACATAAAAACGTATACTTTAATAATTATAATATTATCTAGAAACTATATCAATTAGAATTAAAATATAAATTTCACTTTAATATTATGTTTTACTTTCATTGAAAATATATTTTACTATGATATATAAATATTAATACGAAATTTAGTTTTAACTTTTGAAATTAAAACAATATTGAAACATGAAATAGATTTTACAAAATGTTTATAATAATATAGGGAAATTTTTATTTTTTACTTCGAAATAATAAATTTCATGGAATATTTTTTTAATTTGATTTATCAACTTTTATACATACAATAAAATTAATAATTGTAAAATCAATATTTATTGTATTCTTTAAGAAAGTATTAAAGTAAACTAGAATGCTTAATATAAAATATTTACAATAAATTTGTTGTCAATATTTAATATAAATTCTTATATTAAAAATTATGATTAGTTAAACTTATCATGATGATCGTTATTATGATTTCATTAATCATTTATCAAGATTTCCATTCATTTCTAATTATTTATTGTCCGAAGGTCCTACGTGATATTTTTACAAGGAGTTATTGATTAATGCATACATCTTAATAATATCATATATGATATTAAAATTATATTTACCAATAAACATAATTGATTAAAATAAAAAATTAAATAAAACAAAAAATTTTTATATAAATATATATTTCAAAAGTTATAACGAATATTTACATTTTGTTATAAAATTAGAACAAATCATGAATACATATACATTTAATAAATTAATATCAATTGATTATATATTTATTATGAACTGATTTTGTTTGTATAAAGATTAATATTTATAAAACTACTTAGTTAATAAAATAAATAAAATAATAAATTATCCAAAAAAGTGTATCAAGGATATTTTTGTAATTGTAAATTAATATAACAAAATTATTTTATCTCCAGCTTATGCAATGAATTAATGTTCAGCTAAGGAAAACATAAACATAGATACACAGATGCATAAACATATATTTCAACAATCGCAATGTGTTGTATAGAAATTATGTCTCAAATTCATAATTTTTATAGGATTTAGGTAGGTTTATACACAATGAAAAAAATGATGTATCATTCATTCGAAAACAACATAATTATTACATAGTTTTTCCACTAGTACATATTAAAAATCCAATTGATAATACAGTATTTTATAAATTAACTAACAGATTTTTCATTTTTTTCAAAATAATATTAAATTTAAAAATATTTACCTAAAATTTATATATTTCTCATACAATATTTATATAATAAATGTGTAAATAAATAAAGGTTTATAACATTTTTATATTTTACATGAACTAAACCATACGTTTTGATAAATACGTATATAAATAAATAAATTAACTATTATGATTATCCCAAAATGAACAGTTGAATCCTTTTTAATGTAATCAATTAAAATTACTTCCTTCTATAATAAAATCTATAAATAATACTCTTTATCTGTAATCAATTTATAGTAACATAATTAATTTTGAAATATTATATTTAATGGAAAATATGTATTTTAAAATCAATTTTATGAATCTAAAATATTTGTATAAAAATACTTTTATAAATTTTAATTAGTATTTTATTTAAATTTCTATAAATTTCTTGCAATACACTTCCATATGCTTTATAAATACAATTTGTACAAATTACTATTCCATTAAATAACAATTGAAATATTTTAAACAAAATGATTTTTGTAGATATCTAATCCGTAAAATATAAATATTATGAATCAATCCTCAACAGAAATAAAGCATAATTTAACATTAATTATATATATCAAAGATAGTGATTGTATATACAGATGTAAATCGGTATCACAATATTATTTTTTCAAATTCTATTGCATGTACAATCAACTTGAACATAAATAAGAGTTTATACAATTCAAGCATTGTAACGAAAAAAATAATGTATTTTTTGAGTAATGATTGTACTACGATTTTACTAAGTGTATTAATTTCATCTATTTATAATTGCATATTATAAGAAAAGTATATTAATTTTACTATTAAAATTATTTGATAATAACTACAAAATAAAATTAAATGAAACTTATAAATAAAATAAAAATTTTATAAAAAATTAATATATTTGAATATATTTTTTATTATGTTATTATTATTTTATTATATATTTTACTATATATTTTTTATTATTATATATATGTTTATAACAATAAATAAATGATTTTATACGCATTTTTTTTTAAAGTAAACTTTATGCAAGAAATGATATTATATTGATGTATTTCAATCAACAAACTATCAAATTGTTACAATAAATATTTGCAGACAATAAAATAGATAAATTCGTTGATGTGATAAAAATTAATTTATGAATACTGTTCACTATTTCTGTATGAAAGCATGAATATTTATGTATGTATTCTTATAAATTATTTAATAAAACTTCTTATGGCAGACCTCTCAAGAGTATTATTGATATTAATATTCATATTAATATTAAATTTCATACTTTTATGTTTTATTTCTAAATATAAGTAGCTTATTTTCTATATTTAATCGATTCTTTCAAGGTATTTTAATAAAATGCTATTAGAATATTCTATTTATGATTTTTTTTGTCAATTTTCTCTTTATTATAACCAATAATTTTGTTAAAAAATTAGGATAATATAATATTAATTGATTTTAAGATGCAATGTTAATGTTTAATATTTATATTATTTTACCACAAAATAATCTGACAGTTGCACTAAATATTTTCATTCTATAGTGTATTTTGTGGAAAATTGTGGATAGTGTTTTTTTTTAAACAATTTTATAAAAATTATGAGGCATTATGATTAATGATTAATCGTATAAATGAACAACAATATAAAATTATTTTGTGGCGAGTGTATTAAAATTAAAAAAAATTTTATATTACATAATTGAAACTGCGGGATTATAATGATTTGAGTAATAAATAATAATATTAATTACCAATCATAATAAATTTGTTTTACATCGTTGATGATTATAATTTTAATATTTAGTCATTTAATTAATTGACGATTTATAAATTTTTGTATTTAAAATTTCAGTTTTATAGCTAAGTATTTAATGTATGGATAAATACAATATGAATATGAGATATTTTTAAAAATTTAACAATAATTTTACTGATTTAATCATTAAAAGTTTTTTGATAATTTTTAAGCGTACAGTATGGCTTTATTAATTTTTTTTATAGAAAATAATAATAAACTATTCACTTTCTTATTTTATTTTATTTTGTCGTATCAAATAAATATCAGTACTTGAGAAAAACTTAATAGTAAGAATATTGTATCTTATAAATGCATATTGGCAATATAAAAACATAGTTTATTCAATACATATTTTATGCATATTTATTTTGTTCCATAACAATAATAAATAAATTCATACATTACAAGACAGAAATATACATAGATACATTAATCTATAATTATATACCTAGCACATGGGAACTTGGTTTTAAAATATTTGATATATATTTACGTCTTTAAAAATGTATTCACCTTTTTATAGAAATCATTATTTTGAAAATTCTACTACGAATTTCAGATTTTTTATCCTCATAACATACTTTTATCTAATATTAATAATAAATATATAATGCCAATAAAAAATATAATCAATATATTTAATATTAATAAACAATAAATTGAATATATCGAATATAATATTTAGTAGTAAGTAAATAAATTTTTAGTATCAAAATATCATTGAATTTACGAATGTTCATCGCGCCATCTAATTATTAAATCACATAATAGCTAAATAAAATAAAAAATTTATATTTTACAGTCTTGAAACAATAGTAGCTTTTTAAAGCTCTTTTAAATAGTTTAAAGAATTATTACCCGATTCATGTGTCACCTGATTTCTTACATTGTTTATAAATTATATTTTTTTAATTTTTTAAAGAAAAACATGGAAATAATTTTGTTCTAAGATAAAATTATTTTATCTAATATATGCAATATATATTTTATATTTTATATTTTATGTAATATATGTAATATATATTTTATATTTATATACATATATATATTATGTATATTCAACAATTAATCACGTTTTAAATTCTTCTAAATTAGTTGTACATTAAAAAGACTGCAAATTTTTAAAACTTAGAAAACCATCGTTCGAATAATGAATTAAAGAGTTCCTTTTATTTTAAATAACTAAGTAAAGAATTAAGAGAGAAAAGAATTCGTAGAAGTGGTAACAAAATGACAATTACTCACCAAAGAAGAAAGCGAATAAGACAACGGGACAAATCGAATGAAAATTAAGATTGGCGCCATTGAAATGAATAACTAGATTAATCATGATTAATAAAACGGTAACTGTAGAAGAGCCGTACTGTGCCAATAAACCTACCACCGTTTAAGATATATCAAATTGGAGAAAATCGTAATCGCATGCGATTAGGATCGTCTTCCTTTCACTGCACTTCACGTACTTTTACTACGAGCTCACAATTTCGTTGGTTTATTTTATAGTAGGTTTAAAATATAAAAATATGTGGTTATTTGCTAATAAATAATTTAATAAATGAACTAAGAAAATGATGGGATGTATGAGGGAGTAAGGACAATCAGAGAAAGAATAAGAGAGATACAGAGATAGAGAGAAGAGAGAAAAAGAGAGAAAGAGAGAGAAGGAAGAGAGAGAGAGAGAAAGAGAGAGTGAGAGGGGAAGTAAGCGCGAGCCGGTCGGATGTTGAAAGGAGACTGACGCTTGGCGCCGGACGAACCAACCATTTTAAGTTCCTATACAGGATAGAGAGGATATTCAAGCGCTTAGCGACAGCACAAATACATAGATTAGCAAGTTTGGCGTTTCTGACTGGTTGACAACTACACAATCCAATTATTATTCGGTTACCTATTCTTGATTCGCCCTTGTCCTCTCGTCCTGTTCACCAGCTTTTCTATTTTTGAACATGCGACATCTGCATGTAAATTATAAAATATCCAATTTCATATTGATATTATACTTCTTTTTAGAATCATAATTTTTTATATTTATGTATTATATTTATTAATTATTAGATAGCAATATAAAATTATACATTCGAACAAATTTCAGAATATATAACAATAGTTTTTTTATAGTTTATCTTTTTCCATATATAATTATATTGCGATCAAATAAATATATTTGTAAAAAATAGATATTTAAAATAAAGTCATAAATGTTTATATAATAAAATAGATCATAAGTAGAGGTTTATAAAATGGTACTTTCTTTGGATAATTGGTTGTTATATAATCTAAATATTTTATAAAACTCTATTTGTTTAAATAATAAAATTTTACTTTATATATTTAAAACTTTATATTATTAATTTATAATAAAACCCAGAATCTTTGACATTACTATCTATATATAGAAAAATTTGAATTACTATAAAATTTTATTTAGATTTGTAAACTTGTATTTGGATTTATAAAGCCATTTTAAAATATTTAAAATATTTTGATATCTTTTGCTCAATTATGCAAAGCATATATAATATCAATTTTTATATTAATTTCAACTTTTATATTTAATTCTATTATAGACATTGCATTAAAAATATAATCTACGTAGTTATACATCGCACACATATTTCCTTTGAAAGATATTATTTTTAAATCGTATAAGAATATGCAAAATTCAATATTCGCTTTGTAATACTTTAGTAGCATAAAATATTTCTACATTTATATATATTCACATTATCTAAAAATGTAATAGGTCATTATTCTAAACAAAGTTATACAAAATATTCCAAATTTATTCATTCTAAAATTACTTTAATTATTTTATTTTGCAAGCAACATTCTTTATATTATAAATAAAATAGAACTTTTTAAATAATTATAATATATAATAATAAATAAAATATAACTATTTAACTAATTATACTAAAATAAGAAGTATTGTATAATTCATAAGTATGTATTATTAATAAAATATTTTACTTTAAATGAAAAATTTTAATTTGAATCTTTAAGAAATATTACTTATCGCGTTAAAAACTTTTAATTAGAAATGTATCAAGCTATATCTTAAACTGAAAATAACATTTTTAATGACTTATGAACTTTCTAATAGCTGCATCTTAACATGAACAGAAATTGGATTGTTGTTTTATAACGTTGATGAAAATTATGGAATCTTACACAAGATGGATACTACCATGGCATGTTATATCTGTAATACTGAACTGAAATATTTTATAAGTATCAGAGCAAAACTAATTAAAAAATCAATAATATTTAATCATTACTGATCCGCTATATAATATTCAAATTTTTGAATTCTATGTAAATTCTTAATAAAATAATATTACTTTAATAATATGTTAACCATCAACTTTATTTTAATACTTAAATATTTTACTTTTATATAAATATTTATAATTATAATATTTTTTTTCAAAATTTAATCTAAATTATTAAATTGTATTATTTACATATATATTTATGTATATACAAATTTTTTGACATGTATTTCATGTAGATTAGGTAAATGAATTATTTTTAAAATAACGAAATATCTATTAATATACTACAAATTAGTATTAAAAGTAAAATAATAATTGAATTTTTTACAGATCGTATGAACTAGCATAATGAATGTTATACATGCATTAAAATATATGATTGATTATAATTTTCATTAATATTATTACATATTATAATATATTATATTATATTGTATTCATTTACTTAGATGAAAAAATTAAAACAAATCAAATTAATAATTCACTGAATATTTTTTAGCAAGATTATAATAAATGAATTATTAAGTAAAAATAATGTTATTATATAAATATTTAAAAAATCATTCATTATTCCATTATAATTCGAATTAATGTTTATAATAAAATCATAAAAAATATATTATAAAAAGTAATGTTGTAAAGCAGCGATGGATATCTAATAGGCATATAAAATCCATTTGATTCAAAAAATTAATTTTATTAAAAGAATTATTTTCATAATATATAATAGTTTTCGAATTTTAAAATTGACTAAATTTAATATTTTTTAAGAGTATCCACAATAAGTTTTAACAATCTAAATTGAATATGGATACTTAAAATATGTTTTTTATGAAACACTGATAAGTATTTTTAATACATAATTGCTGTATATTATGTAACAAATCTTTAGCAAGATATATAAAATATTGGTATTTAAATATTTTTAATTTATTGATTTTAAATATTTTTTCTGTTACTTTTTAAATAATTGATTTATTTGTTACTAGTTTGTTGTACTGACATATATTTTTCACATTAATTAATGTATAACTCAGTTTAAATATATTTAATATTAATAATTAATAAATACATGTCATAAGACTAGATTTTTAAAAATATTTTGCTTTAAGTAAATAAATTGGTTAAACTATTCGTTACATTATAATACAAAAAATTAAGTTCTATTGCTTCCCAAATACATAAAATATATAAATACAATTATAGATAATTAATAATATTACTATTAAAAATGTAATTCTATTTATGTAAAAATAATTTAATTAAAATCTATTTCGATTTTTTATTTAATGGCATGAAAAATTTAATTTTTAATTTTTTAAAGCATTTTTCTAATGTATATATTATAAATATGAATTATATATTATTAGTAGTAAAATATTGTATTTTTATTAGTGAAAATGACAGTTAGAAATTTGATATAAATGAAAAAAATCCTTCCAATGCATATTTATTCAGTAAGTTAAAGAAAAATGATGCACAGTTTCAACATTAAATAATCAACGTTAATTAAAAGTATAAAAATGGATAGATAATTACATTTCTAATAATCTATATTTAAATGAATTATTACTCTATAAATACATCAGATGACATTTAATAATACTTTTTAAAAAAATGTTCAAATTCTAGGTATAAAATTTATCCAAAATTTATATTGTATCTTTAATTATATTTTTACTTACAAAAAATATTAAATAATTAAATAAATTTGTAATCGAACTTTATATTATTATGATTATCATTGAATTGATTAAATAAGTCATAAATTATTATTTTACAAAATAATACATTTACAAAATAATGCACATTTACGGGTGTATACGTGTCCATAAAAATACGTATATGTGTACTTAATTTTTAAATAGCTTTGTACGTTTATATCAGTAAATTCTTCTTCATTAAATTACAAAAATTATATTTATTCTTAATATTTTTAATATTATTTCTAATAATTTTTTAAAAATTACTTATGAAAAATTTATAATTCATCTATTTATTATCTGATATATACCTTAACATATTTAAGTTTATATATAACTTATATAGTTTATATAAGTATATATAAGTATATATATTTACATGTAGGTTTATATAACTTTATATATATATATATATATATATATATATACCTTAACATATTTAATACGACAATCACATTATAAGTGCAAATATTAATATTTCATTATGCTTTTACATATTATATCAATATTTAAAAATATAATAATTAATGTAAAGAGTATATTTTATTTTATTGTAATTTTAGTATTTTAAATATTAGATCTGTTATTTGAAGATATGAAGTTTCATATAATGCTTTTTAATAGTTTATAAACACATTTTTAACAAAAAATTAAACAAAAAACAAAGGCAATGAAACCTAATACTTATTATAAAAGTATATTTTTTGCATCTTTTATTTTGATATATAAAGATCGTATTTAAGAAATTGTACTGAATTTTTTTTTTAGTAATGTTAATTCTTAATTAAATTTTTTTAAAAATAATTTATAATTAATATTTTATTTAATGTAGTTGTAGAAACAGTATATCTTCAGAAATAGGACTTTCGTTTTTTCTAAATTCTTAAATGCTAAACAGTATGATTAATATTTAAACAACTACATTTGAATCAGAATAAATATTATATATATTTCATTTCCAAGATACAAAAGTCAACATATAGGAACAAATAGCTGTGTATGCATACAAAAGTTCGCGGACTTAAATATTTGATTTATGATTTCAATAGTGTTTCAATAATTAATAATCTGAATTCGCTTATGCACTTGTAAATTATTTTTATTATAATTTCATATATACGCCGAATTTTTACATGTATAATAGTTATCACCTTCAAATTCATTTAATCTGTAATAATATCTACAACTGTTTTTATTTATTCCTTCAAAAATTTACACTATTACGGATGTATATGTGCATAAATCAATAATATTTAATCTTTAATTTTTATCAAACATTGATGGTGTAAGTAATTGTCAGATTATGTAACGTTATTTTTCAATCATAAATGGTTATATAAATTTGAAATCATATAATAAATGTATATGGTAAATATAACTTTTCATATACTATATTTATTTTTTATATTAACCAATTCAATAAAACAAATTAATTTAAAAATTATTTTATATTAATAAAATTTCATGTCATTTCCTATTCTGTTAATAAAAATAACATGCACAATATAATTTTTTTATTATAGAATAAAATGTATTTAAAAGTTATTTATTATAAAATGAAAAATTTAAAGTAATATTAAATAATATAAAACGATAAAAGGTATTAAACGTAACTATAAAGTTAATTAAAAACTATAAAAGTTTATTTTAGTTGTGTACAAGTTGGCTGTTTACTTTTAAATAATTATATTTACGAAATTATTATCTATTCAACAGTTTGCTTATTAAATTAAAAAAATATATCTTTCTTATATTACATAAATTATATATCATTTTAGGAAGACATTTACCTTCATTTATCTTATTAAAATAAATAAATTTAAATAAATTGTCATTAAAAACTATTAAATAAAATAATATTAGAAAATACTAATGTAAATAAACCAATTTTATTCAAAATATTAAATAATCATCTATAATAAATAATAAAAATTATAAATAGATTAGCCCACATGTTTATAAGAATTATATTTCTATCACGTAATAATAATTAAAAATTTAATAAATATTAATAAAATTACATTATAAAATTTTTAAATAAAATGTATCGAATAAAAACTTCAAATAACACATTCATACATTTTCATATAAACTATTATAAACTGTTATTTATTAAGAATTTTATATTATGCATTCAATATCTAAATGTATATGTAAATTATGTTTTGTTAAAAATTGATTCCATTAATTTATTATTTTACTATATTCAAATTAATTATGTTATATATTTGTATATATGCGTATGTAAAAATGATTGGAAATAACATTTTGGTATTTTGATTTCACTGATAATAAAATTTTTCAAATAAAATAAAATAGGAAAATGAAGTCATGAAGTAAAATAAAATAAGATAGGAAGATTCATTTATGAAATAAAAATTGTATAATTTGAAAATAAAATAATTTTATTACCTGTAAATTTTACCGTTTCAACAATTAGTTTTAAACTAATATTCTGATTTTTTCAAAATAATTTTCATTACCTAAATATTATTTTGAAAAATTATTATTCGAAGGCATATTATATATCATTTATAAAATTCGAATGTTTAAATATTTGAACTAAAATTTAATATATATATTTTTAAATTGAATGCACTCGATAACGTTTCGTAATTTAACATCCATTATTAAAATTTAAATAAAAAATTAGTTTCTACCAAAAAATTAATTGGTACTTATATTTAACATATTAAAGCACCACTTAAGTGAAAGTAATTTTTTATTTTATACAAACTTTACAACCGTATAATTTCGTGATTTATCAGCAAAATTAATTTTTTGAAATGTTTGATGTTTACGACTCAAACTTAGACTTAAGAATTTGATAAAGGTTAACTTTTTTCAAATTATTATTACAAAAATATATATTCATATATTTTGTGTTTTCTATCAATTTCTTAAAATTAATGTTAAAAATATTTAATAGAATAAACAAGTTTTAATAAATACCTAATAATACATTAAATACATGATTAGTATAATAAAATAATACAAACTAAATTACTTTAAATTATTTTTATGTATCAAGTTAAATTTCATAATTATTGTATTAACACAAAAATTGTATTAAAAAATTGAATGTCTATATACAGTAATTATTTTTCAATACTCAATTTAATATTTGTTATACAGTCTAAAATTTAAAAATGCTATTACTAGAACTACATTTTAAATAATGAAGACAATATATCTTGATATAACTAGTCTATATATTTTATTTTCAATAAGACATTACTCTAAATACACTCGAGCACAGATCAATAGAAGAAACTGACTCTGACACTTTATAAAATAATTATTAATCGCATTTATATCAAACAAATTTAATTACATTCATTGATAAGAAATATTTTAAGTCACAATAATTACATATAAAATAATTAAAAATATATATCATGAAATATTTGCATTCAAAAATATACATTTAATATAAAAATTAATAGAATAAAAGAAACATCAAAACCACAAAATACAAAATTGTATAGAAAATAGTGTAAAAGAATAAAATATATATATACTTCCAGTCGAAAAAATAATTACATACATGTTTTTTGTAATATTGCAAATTTTACATTAGAAGAAATAAATAAAAAATAAAACATGTGAGAATTTAAGATATAAAATACAGAATTTAAACTAATTTTTTTTAATAACATGAAATTATACTTTTGTGTCTATAAAATCTCATATTTTTTCAATGTTTTTCATGTGCTTTGATGATGCATATAGATCAATAAATTCTTTTTTTATTTAAGGATTTTTCACTTTACTTCTCATCAATAATACCATGGTGGAATTTCTAACTATAGATTATATTTCAACAAGTTCATTCCTTTGACAATATTACTTATTTTAATTATTCAATTAATTATTCATTTACTTTATTACTTACACACGTCTGTCTACACACACCATACAATTACTCGCATTAAATCCCATGCATACTTATACGTACACGTAGAATCGCGTGTTGTATTCGGCAATCACTTCCACGGTCGAAACGGATGACCGGCTCTTTTTATTTAGAATATTCATCAAATAACATCTCTCTTTTTGAATTATATAGAAAATATAAAATAAATTGCTTACTTTGCTTTATTTTTGTTCTCCTTATTTTCCCATCGTACGATCATCACTAACTTTTGCCACCGAGCGTTTTACGTATGCAAGTACAGAGCGTATTTATGTATAATTGTAATAAATATAATTTTACATATTAAACTGTTTTATGAGTTTCAGATCGATTATTTAAATTCTCTTTTGATTGTTAATAGTAAGCAATGAATAAAAGTAATTAATGCTTACTCTTGTTACTATTTTTTGCAAATATATTTATGTAGATTTTACAATATAAATTATCTTTACTTTACTTTTTAATTTAAAGAAACAACTAATTGTGATTGATTCCTTTTATCGCAAAGAAAATATATACTTCTTTTTACAAAAAAAGTTCTTTTAAAATAATGAAGTTTCATTAATTAAAATTAGAAACAAATGCTTATATTTCAAATACTTTGTTTTAGATGTTAAAATCACAGCAAACAAGCATAAAATATTTAGTATATCAAGAGCAAATTTTCAAAAATCGCAAAATCAAAATTTGATCAATATTTTGGGTGTAACTAAGTCTATAACTCTCAAATTTCACATTTCATTGTATTCTAATACAAATTAATTCTAGTGCAAAAGCATTAACAATGCAATGATTGGATTTATCTTTTTACATTTATTATTAATAACTTAAATTTTATAATCGTTAATTTTAAAATTAAATAAAACGGCGCTGATTCGTTTGATTTCATTATTTTACAATTAGCTACACATATTTACTAGCGAAAATAAAATAATTATACTTGAAGCAATTAAAAGAAAAAAAAATAGTATTGCATTTTTATCAAATACAAAGTTACATGTTGAATGCCGAAGGCACACAATATACAAATTGTCTTATCTTCTAATCTACTATTTATAATTCGACAAAATGATTTCTGAAACTCAGATGCGATACGTTCTGTACACGCACAGACGCACACGAGTGCCAGAAATTAATCCGGATAAAAATTTCATTGTGTGAAAATATAATTGATGATCGGGAAAAATTTTGTACTCTTTTAAGATCATCCGCTCATTGCCGTGAATAAACGCAATAAAAAACTGCCGACAATTCATGTGAGAATTTTTTTGAGACAGAAGTTAGATAGCGCGCCTCAACAAGAGGCACAGAAGTGAGAAGGGATGAGAGGTAGTGAGTAGTACATGTGAAAAAGTAAGTCTATCACGGTAAACGAATACGAAAGTAGATTGAAACTTTAGACTTCCAAATACTCAAATTCTATAATTACCGTAATATTTTACTTTAATCACATTAGTTCCCGAAAAGAAAACAATTCATTAAAAATATAGTCTTTGTTGCGTCTGTTAGTGTTTGTTACATTTTTGTTTTTATTGTGTGTACACGCGCGGTGTTTGTAAAATATAACGGGATAAAGAAAATACAGTAGTAGATAGTGTGGTTTAAGAAAGAGAGATGAAGAAATATAGATTATACAGAGTAGAAGAAGATTGAAACCATAAAATAGAATAGAGGATCATTTAAATTTTTGAACGTTTAGCTTGACGAGACTTAAGAGCACGTCGCGGCTTCTTTGAGGCGTCTTCTTCCAAACATAACGAATTGGACTTTCTTTTCGAAGAGATCAAAGGCAAGGAGATTGGTGCTGCCATTGGCTCTAATGATGATGCTGCACTACTACTAGATTGAGGTTGTTGATGTGTTGATTGTTGCTGCTGTTGTGTTGCTGGCTGATTGCTTACCATTGTATCTATTTCTCGTTCTGTGGGACTATGCACGGGCATGTCAGCTATAGGAATGAAGTCTAAACCTTCATTAATGCTTGCTTCGACATTAGACAGTACACCTTGATTTGTTAAAGCCTGCAGATCTTCTGTGGGTACTGGTATCGACTGCCCACAACCAAAACATACAGGTATTGCTGGCGACTTTGATCGCCAATATTGTAATTCTGTTTTACACTTGTTTAACTCCTGTAAAAAATAGTGTTGAATTTTTAATAACAAAGTAAAATGTTGGTAATTATGTTTATTAAACAAAAATGTGTGTATAATACAAAAATAATGTAAATCTATAAATTTTTTTTGTAGTACTTCTTTTATCTTTTATATTCTTATATATTCTATTAGTGTAAGGTATTTATATATATGAATATTATGAATTCAATTACTATTTAAAAATTACTAATAAATAACTCAAAATAAGGATAAGATTGTTAAAGATTAAATTAGAGATTTATGCATCAAAAGATTAAAATATGAGTAAATATGAGCACATCTTGTATTCAGAATAAAATGTGAACATCGAAATCTTTAGTTTTACAAGAAATGGCTGTTACACAAGGAATAGCGACAAGGAAATTCATAAAGAAAATCACAAGTGTAATAAACCATGGGCACGATATTCAAATATGAAAGGTGCGTCTAATTATATTAATCATATTGTAGTATCAGGCTTATTTACATAAAACGTGATGATATAATAGAATATTTTCAAAATTTGCAAAAAATGTAGTGTTTACAATTTAATCAATTTTACTTGTTTTTTTTGATAACTTTAAAAATGTCTTTAAACTCTTTGTAGTATTAATAAGATATACAGCTCCCATACTTTTAACTGACACTAATTAAATTGAATAAATCATATAGCTATCAATGCGTTATATAAATATAAGAGTGGAAAGATTTATGTCCATATACTTGTAAATGATATATCTTCAACCATAGAAAAGAATAAGCTAAAAATAAGCTAAAAGAACAATAATTTTTTTTAATAATATGAGCAAAATATTCTACAATAAGCTTTCAATTGTTTTGTAAATACCCAAGAATATATTTTTATTATTCTATTGTAAAAAATATAGAAACTCAATAAGATGTATTATATACTGTTATAGAATTGTGAAAATGTAAATTAAGTCATGCGCCCCGGTAAGAATCTATTATAACATTTGAATATTAGATCAGATATAATATTTGCGTTTAGACAATAAAGCGCAATAATTTTATGATTTAAGTCTCAATGATTAATGTAGTTTTTAAAGCACAAAAGTGCTCTGATCAATTCAATGTAAACATAATTCCAGTTATAATTATCATATCATATATAATTTAATGTTAAATAATAAAATTTATATTTTAAATAATAAAATTTATAAAAACTTGCAGAAATGTTCAAATTAGAAAATTCGGAAATAAATCTGGAATGTTCATTGATAGAGCATCAATAAGAATTAATAACATGTTTATTTATATATAATTTAATACTTCAAATTTTCTTCTAAGAACACGCGAACATTAAAAAAATTGTATGAACAAAATTTTTAACATTCATCAATTTTTTTAAACAAAAAATTACTAATAATATTGAGAATGCAAACAAATTATAACTATAAAATTATGATTCATATTTTTTACTTTACGTATAATTATATTAATTTTGAATTGTATAGTTTTTATTATACAATTTCACTGTATTTCAGTAGTTTTATCAAAGCATTATGAAGACAACTAAGATATTTTCATTAGATTAATATTAAATAATATTTTTGTACAAATGTAATGTATTAACAAACTTGTATGAATTAGTAAACTATATAAAACCGATTCATGAATGAAATTAAGATATATATATTTACTAATTTCTTATAAATGAATGTAGTATCTAATAATATATAAGACAAAGTACTGTTAATAAATTTGTTGGTTCATAAAATGAAATATTTACAAATAATAACAATTATTTCGAAATGTTTACAAAATTATAAAAAAATTAGGAAATAAAGAATTTTAAAAGATTAAAAAAACATTTTTTCACAACGCATGCTAGAGTACAGTGTACCTTTGTAAATACCTGTAGAAGAGTACTGAATTTCCTGGAGGTCTCATCATTTTTCTTGTCATTATCATCGAGCCTTGTCGCATATTCAACGATCTGCTTTTGTTGTTCGGCTATTTTTGCTTTACAGTTTCTGAGATCCCGACGCATAAGACTTAGTTGACTGTTATAACGCTTCATGCCCTGTTTAATCTTGCGTATGCGTTTACGCAATACCATGTTAGACTGAGGCCGTGAAACTGAAGCTGCTACACTTGCATCCAATCCGTGACTGGTGCAACTGCCACCTGGTTCATCGTTTCCAGAACGTAGGGGCGAACCTTCACTACCGCTGCCACGTACCTTTCCTTCTGATACGCTCAATGGTGCTGTATCCAGGCACAGAGAAAATTTATTCACAGCCGAAGAAGCTGCAATATCATAATTTCTATGTTTAATATCTTTTGTATTGTTATAGGAAATATATTATTTGAAGTACTGGGTAGGATTTTATGAAAATATAATTTTAAATGAAATATGAAGAATGCAATAAATGGATTCTTCTAAATTATTTATTTAAATATTATTAAAAAAAATCTTCTAATTTCATCTTATTTTTCTTCCAAATTTGCCTTGTAAAACTTTATTTTTTAGTCATTTGCCTTTTTAATATAAGTGTTATTAAAAGACTATTCTATATAATTTTAATTATTCTATTATTTTGTAATAGTTTGAAATTTAGAATATCCAAAAAAATACTTATTAATATTTTGAGAGAGCTGTACTAAATTGTTATTTAAAATTTAAATACAGTACACCATAAATTTTTCAATATGTGTATCAACACTAAAGTAGTTATTTATTTATATAAAATTTATAAGGTCTACTAATAGTTAAAAAATAAGTTTTATTGTTGCAGATCAGTTGTAATGATATTAATAGATGAATAACTAAACTAACCATACTATATTTATCTACTTATTGTTAAATTATATTAACTTATAAATTACTATAAATTATTTACAAGTCTCTCAAATTTATATCAAATACTTATTATATTTAAAACATTGTAGGAAATTCAACATAATTTTAGTATTTTAATTTTAATTTTAGGTAGTTATACTAAATGAAGTAATTAATACGGATATAAAATTTTGAACAATGCATGTGTAAATGTGATTAAATGAGTTACAAAAATAATTATTACAATGCTTAAAAAATTAGTTTAATTTCTTTAAAATATTTAAGTATTAAAGTATTCAAAAACTTGTATATCATTATTTGAATAAATGTTTTATACACTCCAAAGTTAGAATTTATATTTACATAACAGAAACATATTTTTATAATTTATTTCTGAAAGATAAATTCAGAAATTAAATATTTCATGTAAATACATATCATCAACCTTTAAATAAAATTTTAAATATATAAATAAATTTTAGTACATACAAGAGAATGTTCCTGCTAAATCTAAAAATTCAGCACCAAAATAAGGTATTTCAGGAAGCTTTGGCTCGATACAATCTTTAAAATATTCCATAGCCATTGTACTCAAATCAAACAGTTCATCCGTTACTTTGTAGGGCCGAGCGAGTTTCGGCGTCACTTTAATATAATGCAAAATTCGGTATACTTCATTCAATAACTGAAAAATTGAGAACATTAATAAAATTGAATATTACTTTTGTATAATTAAAAGGAATTTATTAAAATTATCTTAAATGCATATTACTTCGCCAGGAAAAAAGCAACAATGTTTTCGTTCGATATGTTTTCCAAAGCTCATTTGTAAAAGAGTAAGTCGCATGTGCAAGGTTTCAATAATATCTGATTCACAAGCTAATGGATGGTTACGTCTAGCTGATTCTCTTCTTGGCATTTGTGCTTTTATAGCTTGAAAGCGACTAAGCATTTGTGTCTGTAAACGTTGAAATGTTGAATTTAAAATAGAGCCACAAACTTTATCCATTTGATGACATACCTATAAGAAATAAAAAAACTTATTAATGCAGTAAATACATAAAAATCTTTCTTATTAAATACTTACTGGACGTAAATGAGCAATTGTATTATAATCTAAATAGCCTAAAATTTTTTGTAAAATTTCTACGGGTAAATCTAACAAATTTATATAAGAACTGTGTTCCCCTGGAGATGCAACTGTTACATTAGTTGATAAACCAGTATTCTGCTGTTGATTTCTCCGTGTACCTGATGGTCCTGCATCAAAGTTTTTACCAAGTTCCACAAATATAGATCCATCACTATTTGTATTACTATTACTTGACTGACGTGTAGAAACCATATTTGTTTTGAATTTAATAAAATGGATCACCTAAAATAATATTATTTTATTAGCAAAAAATTTTCAGTCAAAATTTTTTTGACAATTTTATTAAGAATTATTTAAAATAAAGAACAAGCATCAAAATTTTATTAAAAATAAGTAATTAAAATACCACATTTATATTTTAACTCTTTTCAATTCATTTTAACTGAGTTTATACTGATATTAATTGTGAATACTTATAAATATATAATTATAATACTTAATATATTTAAAAATTAAATATCAAATTAGATTTTTAACGATTTAATAAGCAAAATATTATATTATAAATTTTAAATTTAAATTAATTACAATATTACAAAAATATTACTATTAAATATGTAAAAATTTCTTTTATTAACTAATATGTTAAGTTAAAAATAAACTTGTATCAGAAAATTCTATTTGAGTAATTTTTTTTATATAAATGTTTAAAATCTAAAAAAATATATACTCATATTATAGGTCATGAATGTTTAAATTCATGATACATAATTACTTAATAAATTTATAAATACTATATATTTTAAAAATTGTTTTTGAATTTTACATCTAAAAATAAATATATTTAAAAATTATCAAATCGGAATAAAACTTAAATCGAACTTGTTATTTTTATAAAGCTATTGTGTAATTTTAATTAAATCGAAGTAACTTGTATTGTTAAAAAATATGTATATAATAAACATAACAAGCAAAGAGAGAAAGAGAGCTCACCAATGAAGTAATAAAAAAATGGAGATAGTTTGTTGCCAATTTTCTCAAAGTTCACTCATTTCCTTTCATTCATTTCTGTTTGTGTCGACTCTCTTTCTCTCTCACTCTCTTTCTATCTCACTCTTTGTATATACACTTTCTTTCTCTTTCAATTTCAAAAATCATAAACAGTCGAAACTGTATACTGTATATATGTACATTTCACTGCACTTCAGACTATGCCATAGAACACCCTACAGGTAAGTTCTATGATAGGCTGCATAAAAAGAAAGATTAACGTTTGGTATAGAAAGAATTAGAAGAGAAGTTTGCTTCAAACATAGTAGAAGATAATCATCGGTAAAAATAGTTTTATTGTTTGAATTGCAATTGACAATATTAACAGAAAAATGCGCTCAAGCAATGAAGGGACGCTGCTTCTACTTTGATTCTGTGCTACTGTAGTTGCTACGAAAAGAAATACATACACTTAGGCACGAATAAACGCGCGGGTACATGCATATACATGTGTGTGCGTGTGCGCGCGCGTATAGGCAAAGTTATAAACTTCGAGAGATATATTACTGAGCATCTCTAGTTTTTCTAGTTCTTCGGTTTTCTTACTTTCTTTTACACCCTGATAGTAAAACAAAGTAATTTCATTTAAAATATTAACAAGTATTGTCCACTTAAATTTTAATAGTAAGGAATAATGTAATTAATGGAAAATTTCTTTGCGTACATTTTTCCATTTAAGTCATTTAGTATAAAATAAAAGTAATTCGTGACAAAAAAGAAAAAAAGATAGCAAGAGTGAAAATTGAAGTTAGTAATGAGCACGTCAGTCTGTGCTGTGATCGTGAAAAAAATAGATATAATAATACGGGGACGAGAGACGAGATACAAAATATAAAAAACAATTAAATATTATTTTTTAAATTTTTTATTAAATTTTATGTTTGTTTCTTATTAATAATTATATAACAATGCATTATATTTGTATTGTTTGCTTTGCGTATAGTAATTTGTTGGTAAAAAATTTAAATAAAAATAATGTTCGATCCTATTTGATTTAATAATTTACTCTTGATTTCTTTATCAAAGTTGCGAAGCACTTTTAGAAATATAGAATATAGAATTATATAAATAAAATCTTGATTATATATATTTTATAGAACGTCTACAAATTTCTATAAAAATTCAAATGATCACTCTCCACCTTACCGGCAACGCTATGCATCACCGGTTTTTTACAGCTAGGAATTATTCCACATTAGTGTATACGCAACCAAATGCATATGCACACGTAGAACTTAATTTTAAGTGAGAAAAAAGAAAAACGTACAACAAAAATAACTCAAGATTTGAACGAAAAAAAGATTAGCAAATGCATAGATCTACTTATGTGCGTAACAACACAGATGGACATTAGAATAAACAAACGTAAAGTTTAGAGAAATAAGAATTAAGCATATATTTTAAGTTGATTACCAAAAGACAGCCGTTCGCCAGACGTTGACTATCTCTCGCTAATGAGAGATAGTAAAACGTTTTACGACCTCGTATTACTACTCACTCCACTAGTTATTTGCCTATTTCGTGAAGTCGTGACATTTTTGCCTTTGTCGTCAACGCCCCCACTGCTGATCAGCGCTGCTGCTGATCTGAAATGCCTACTAAACCACTCTCTTTCTCTTTCTATTTCCCTTGGAAGTTTTGTTTCTGCTACTTTTCTATATTCGTAGCCTTTAATGACCCAAGTTGGATCTCATGTTCACCTCTGTTTTTCTTAATTGCACAGACACTATTAAATCACCAAATGATATTGAAATCAAACTAGATCTTACACATTCTCAATTAGTTAACGAAGAGAAAAATGAGAAGTACAAAACATGAAGTTACCATCTTCCGGATTCTGTAAATTTAACAACAGATGGCACACGAGTTGTTTGCTATGACAATTCCGTAGGAAATTTAAAATTTAATCTTAAAAAATGAATTTTATCTTACAATATAATAATATATTTATTTATTCTTTGTAAATTATGAATCATTATTTTAGCAATAATATGTAAAATTCTAAAAATATGATTTTAAACGTATGTAAATGAGAAAAGCTGAATTAAAATGAAATAATACTGACTTTCTTATAAAATAATTTAAATAATTTATTATTCTAAAAAATTTTTTAAATAAAACATTATAACACTTAGCTTGTATTTTTATTAAATATTTTCCGAAGTAAATATGTTACACAAATATTTTAATTTTGTTGAACTGAAAACAGTAAATAAGAAACTCCATTAGATAAATAGAAATAAACAATATTTTATATTTTTTCTCATTTAGTAAAGCTGTTACAATATTTTTGATATTAACTTTTAAATAGTATAATAATTATATAAATACATGATACCAATTTTTTACATAACTTTTTTTTTAATTGTGCAATTATTTCTACTTATATTCAATCATGCTATTTCATTACAGAACTAAAATACTTGCTTATTCAAATAATTTAAAATGTGTTGAGAATCAATATTTATATTTGTCAATTTTCTTATACAAAATTTTTTATATGAACAGTTTTTTATGTAAAATACAAATATTTCATTAATAAACTTATTACGGTAATTTATTCTATCAAATCAGCTTCTCATTAATATAGTATTATATATATATATATATATATAGAGAGAGAGAGAGAGAGAGAGAGAGAGAGCAATCATAAATCCTTTAAATATACATTGAGTGATAAATTTACTTACTATTTTTTTCTTATTAAAGAAAAAGAACATTGTTAAATTTATGTTATTTCTATTAATATGTATGATCATTGAATTTTATTGTAGATTGAAAGCAAAATTAATATTAAGAGATTTATTTATAACGTAATTAATTTTCTTAATAACATTTTCTTTCGAATTATTACTTACCAAAAAATTTAGGTTTGTGAGCAATTCTTTAAAATCTGATTTTATAAAAATAACGATTTTTAGATATATATCTAATACAATAGAAATTAAATGATCTAATCTTATAAATATTAATTAATTTAAGAAATTCAATTTTAATTTTTTAATTTTTAATTGAATGTTTACATTTTTTAATTATTAAAATGCTTGTTTAATAAAAACTAAATTTCGGTTAAATAATGTATGCTGTGAAGGTGGAGTTTTAATTTATATGATTATTTATAGAATTATATTATTTAAAAAAGTATTATAGACATATGTCATTTTATGTTTTCGAAAACTACACAGATATAATTAAAATACAATTTATTTATATTGATTTATATTCATTTTATTCTAATTTTAAGCAATGCTTACTAAAAATAATTTAATTTTCAAACAGTAACGTTTTTAATATTTTGGAAGGGATATAGCTATACATAAAAATATTCGGATTCGTATTCATGAAATAATTCGTTAAATAATTATTATTTTTAATTATTATATTATTTATATTGTATACATTATGTATTTTAATTTTTTAAGTTCAAGAATATTCTATTTATTAAATAATCCGTTATTTCTAATATATTTAAATATATATTGCAATATTTGTACTTAAACATTTTTAACAACTAGTAGAAATCAAAAGAGGTGATATTTAATATTTTACTCGAATTACCTCAACTACAAAACATTAATAATTCAGATATTCGGTTTAAAAGAATCTAAATATATATATGCGAAAGTTTTATAAAAATCTGTAAAAATATGTCAAAATGTGACAATAAAATATTCGATTATTTAGATCTGCCGCGATATTCTTTGGCAGTCGTTGCGTCTGCGCAATCAGAATGATCATTATACTATAAAAAAGCATTTGTCATAGATTATGTTTGAATATAAAAATGTCTATTGTTTAGTATAGCTAATTTAATAGTGTAAATATTACTCAAGAGGTCAGAGGACCCAACAAATAAATTTTATATTTTTAGTCACATCGTGCTAGCTATATATTTTCTATTTTCATAAAGTGCTGTACATTTTACGATTTATTATTAATATTATTGCAAAATTCCATTATTATTGTATAAATAACAAAAGTATTTATAATATGAACGATATTTTATTGTAAATATAATGAATCATATTTTAATTTTAAACTGTTTTTTCGTTTAATATTTTATAAAAGTACATATAATACTTTATGTACGTTTAATACTAAATGCTAAATTTACTATTTAATAGCAAATTAAATCGTACTTACTTTCATAAGTCAATTTTTAAATAAAAATGCCTTGTTCTTTCCCATTTATTTAAAGTTATTTAATTATTACACTTTTCAATTGTAACAATTATTGAAAGTATACTAATTTCATGTACATCTTAAAAATGAATAGATATTTAAGAAATGGAAAATGTAATATAAATTTAACTATTACTTTATTTTAAAACATAATTTTCTAAAAATCATAGTTATTGCTTAAATAATATTTTATTATGTTAAAACAACTATTAGTTATTTTCATAGTAACTAAATTTCGTGTAACATAATTAGGTAGTCATTACACGGTTGAATTATAATTTTGAATCAAAGCATTTGATGCTTACAGATGATTGGCTTTTAAAATTAATTCCATAATACTTTTCTTCAGAAATAAATTATGTCATTCAAAATGTTACTATTACAAAGCTTGAAATAATTTGTTTATCAGAAATAATGTAAATGGATATTTTTGACTATTTTAGATATTTGTGAGAAAGTACGCACGCATCTTATAACACCACTAGATAAATTCTTATCGAATTATAAAATACTATATTAATGATTTAATCCTTAAAAATTTAATGAAAATATCCACTATAATTTCTAGTATAATTTATAATTTTCCTAGAAACAGACAAAATTATAATTCAATTCAAATTTGTAATTCGTTAATAAATAAATATTAATTTATATTCATAAATTTCTGTATCTTTATTCAATTTTACTTTAAAATTTTTATATGATATGATTATATATGATCTTTTCTTTGAAATTGAAATTAATTGAATAGTTATCAAGACTAACTAATAATAAAAATAATATATTATCATTAATTAAATCATTAAAATTAACTATGTTAATAATAATTGGATATCTATAGTTCTATAATTTATAATATTTAAAAAAATGTAAAAAATCAATGTATACAAAATATATTATTTAAAATACTGAAATTATAAACAATAATTTGATATATGTATTTTGGTATATGGGGTGGTACATGGTATATTTTTCTCTTATTAAGCCAATAAAATAACAATTTTGATTGTACTAGAAAAACCTTTGTCAGAAAAATCCATGTAGAATTATTAATGAAATTAGTAACATTAGAGTACGTATAAACATTTAAAAATTATATTATTTTATATTATTTTATATTATTATATTATTTTATATATTTTATATTTTATATATAGTTGAATTTACAAATAATGTGTTTTTACATATTTTTTTGTATTACCAAGAAGTTAAATAGTAATAATTTAAATCTTGGATATAAACACCAATGGACTCCAACTTCGATGTGCTGATCTCTATTCTGTACCGTTTTTTTCAACAGTTCTAAATATCGATTTTCAATTAATCATCGAAGCAGTAGAAATAGTCTAGCACATCTCCGATTGTAATTACATTCTTCGATGTATGGTAATTTGACTTGACCGTGATTCGTTTCATACCCCCATCGTTTCCTTATCATCGATTTTTCACTAATTCAATTATTCAATAAAGTATTATATTAATGATTCACAGAAATTTGATATTATTATACTAGAGTTAAATATGAATGTTCTATAATTTATATTTGAAAATTATTTTCAAAATTAATATTAATATTGTTTAATTTTACATTAATACTTATACAAAAATATTTTAATTTAAAGAAAATCTCATATTAAAAATACGAAAAACTATTCACTCGTTATTTCAAGATTTAAATCCAATTTATGACGTAGACATGTCAATTAAATAACAAAAATATATAAACATGTATGACTATTAAGTAATAAAGTATTTAATACATACAAAATTAGTAAATACTTTTTAAATATTAATCAATAATAATAAGTATTGATTTGTGGTTGAACATTTTTCTTAATTCTACGCCGCTGAGTATCTCGTTTGAATCAGATCCTTTGATTTTTCCACTAGTTTCTTTCGTCAGACATTTTATTCGTATATATACAATACAACCAATCACTACCGAGCATCGATACTGTTAATTACGAGCTACAAGATAATATAAATATTTGCTCTTCAAATAGATTATTTCAATTCATATACAATTTATAATTTATTAATTATGATATTATTATAAGTGTTATTATTTTAGTTTTAAAAAATTGAGGAAAATTTTTTAAATATGCATAAATATAATACAGATATAAAAAACAGAACAGAACCACAAATTGAATTAGAAAGTCAATTTATAATGCGTTTACCTTTGGTAATTACTGTCTTATTTCACTTGCAATAATATCTTGTTAGATATTTAATAATAAACTTTTCATAAATTCTTTTTTCTTTATTTATACATAGGAGCCTTCGAAAATTCTGAAAGAAACTTTACGAAATGGTTTACCCCTTAAAGACAGATTGTATATTAAATTAGAAAATGATATGCGATACGGAGAAGTTAGATTGGATCATTGGTTACTTCATGCAAAAGTATAAGTTAATTAATATTAAATTTATTATATTTATTAATTGATTTTGTTTTACAATAGATAGTAGATCTACCAACAATTGTTGAATCATTGAAAACTATTGACAATAAGAGTTTTTATAAAACAGCAGATATTTGTCAAGTATGTAAATGAAAATGAAATTCTTAATTTTTAAATTATTTTATAAGTCTTATACATTGTAGATTCTTATTTGTAAAGAAGAAGATGATCAAACAACAGACGAGGAATCACCTATTCGTCAAAAGAAAAAAGATCCAACTAAAGTTGATAAAAAATTTCTTTGGCCTCATGGTATAACCCCACCAACAAAAAATGTTAGACGAAGAAGATTTAGGAAAACACTGAAAAAAAAATATGTGGAAGCACCTGAAATTGAAAAGGAAGTGAAACGATTGTTAAGAATTGATAATGATGCTGTTAATGTTAAGTGGGAAGTAATATGTGAAGATGAAGATCAATCAAAACCAAATATAGTTTCGTCTAGTGGCACTGTCAAAGGAAAAAGAGAAAATTTAAGTGACCCTTTACAAAGTGTTGATGTCGGTAAGTTATAAATTATATAATTTTTGATAAGTTTTGATATGCTATTACAGTTATTGATATATATAATATAAATTGAAATGTAAAAAATTAATAGAAGTTATTAATTAGATTTATAATTTTTGTGTTAATATAATTTCATTTCTATATATCAGAATTATACATCCAATACCAACTCTTAAAAATTTAATTAATTTTCTTAAAGCCAGATAATATCTAATAATATATAATATGTAATAAATAAAAGTTAAAAAAGACCTTATCTATCTTTATTTAGATTAATAAATTATTTGATGAAATTCAATTAATTAAGAGCTAATTAAGTTTAAATAAAAACTTAATTTATTAATATACAGCTGCTTATAAATTTAAGTAAAAAAAAATTAATGTTTGTTATTACAGACTTAAGGTATTTTTTTTATATTTAAACTTAAGGTAGTAATAGTCACTAAGTATATTTAAGAATATATAATAACAAAATAATCAATTATTTTCAATATATCAAAATTTATCAAAATAAGATCAATTCTGCACAGGCAATGCATGAATATATCTTGTATACTATTTTATTTTGATTTTGAATCATCTTATAACATGTATAGATGGATGTTATATCTAGGATTTTTAAAATGCAATAAATATGTTAGTATCATATTTAGTTTAATTAATTATATTAATAAAATTAGTAATAATTTTAGTAGTAATAAAAGTGCTTTTTGTTATATACATTATTTCACAAAATTTTTAAGCTCATTTATTATGTTTTATTAATTAATTACATTTAACTATTTCAAATGACAAATAGAATTTAATTTGAATAATTTATTTTATAATATTAAAATGATTATATAATATGATATTACATTTAATTATATTTGTATATACAAAATCTTAATAAATTATATGAATTTTTCAGCTGAACACGATATTTTTGGAGAAGCAGTAAGTGATAGTGAAGAAGATGACGAAGAGGCGAATATTAATGTTATGGAATTAGATGAAAATAGTCATTTATCTGTAGATAGTAGAGTTTCTGACTCAAATTCAATTCAAGTTGGATATTCGGAGCAATCAGCAAATGTTTTATCTACAAATAGTGGTTCATTAGTAACAGAATTTAGTAAAGAAATGTTTGAATCAGAAGAAATTATAGAAGATATAAAAATTGATATCGAAGATGTAAAAATACCGAAGATAGAAGGATTTGATGATTATGAAATATCAGAAAATTTATCTGAATCTCAAAATACAATGATTAATAAAGGTAAGTAATTTAGAAAAGAGTAATTTACTTTATATTTAAAAAATTTATTATTACAGATTCTATTCAAGCTCGTCGTGAACAACTGCAAACTGAACTTGCTGTATTACAAGAGCAAAGGCGTCAACAAGAAGGTACTGTTGGAAATATTGAAAATATGAAATTGAGAGAGCGTTTTCAAGAAATTATAGACAATTTTCTTTCTCAAGAAGCTCAAAAAATTCAAGAGGTAATATATATAAATCCATTGTTCATTAGAATATTTAAAAATTATAAAAATTTAGTACCAATTAACAATTTTATTTTGCAGCTTAATGAACTTGAATTAGAAGATGTAACAAATATATAAATAACAAATGATTATTTCTGATATTTTTAAATAATTAATAGAAAACTGAATTATATATGTAAAAAAAAATAATAATTAAAAAATAAAAAAGAGGAGTCATCAAGAACAAAATAGATTTACAAAAAAGATGAGAGTACAGAAGTAAGATTCATTATTAAATCATTTAATTTATTTTATTTTATATCCATTAATAATATGTCTACATTAGATAAAGCAGTAATGACTGATTGATTTTTAGAATTTGGCTTAGTTTTGATTGTTATCCGCAAATTGTATTAAGAAAAATTTAATGCAGCATATAGTTTTATTTTATTTTTTCTAATTTATACAATTTTTATTTAATAATAGGTACAGGTATTTTATTGAGTAGTTTAATTATAGTTTGATTATTTTATGATTAGTCTATTTAATTAATGATAAAAATAATAAGTATTGCAATTTGCAATTACTAAATATTTCTTAACCATGTTCAATGTTAAAGTAACTTTTTATGTAAAATGATGTCTTCGTTTTTTCATAAATCCAAAATATTTCTTAAAAAATATTTATTCCTTTTTGAGGCTTTATATATTTACTTATAAATAATATAATGAATTGGATTGAAATCTTATAATTACTAATATTTGCATTAGTAACCAGATTTTTTTAATGGTATTAAATGATTTATATGGATTACTTAAAATAAAAAAAAATTTTTTTTTTAAAAAGTATTAAACAATATTTGTCAAAGAATGCTTAATAAAACAATGTCAACAATGCCAAAAAATATTTCAATATCTTTAAAATAAATATATTGTAAATACATTCTAAAATATTTCGACGCTTTTACAATATGAAGGTACTTCAATTCTCATTATAGTATTTTGTTTTGATTACGTACGTGAGTTTATTTCGATGTGAAACAGCTTCTACTCGTCATTGCTTTATTTTCATAAAAAAATAAGTTAAAGCTAAAAGTACCTGATTAATGGTAGTTCAGCCATGCTGCAGTATAAATAATAGATAAAATTGTTTATTAACGGTATACTTTGTAAAATTGTCAAGAGTTTAATTTTTATTTAAATTATGTTCAACAATTTTGTGTTTTTTTTGATAAATCTTATCTTAAGCTCTAGTCAACTCTCGTATGTAAATTATTAATTTATAATTTTTTGTTCATATTTAAGCTATTGACGCAGTTTATTATTTCGAAAGATAAATTCTATATTCCATAAAATGTTTAATTATGTATAACTTGTTTAATATTCACACACTTTATTTTATAAAAATTGATTTCTTAGATAATTTTATAATTTTTATGTATTTTTTAGTAATTTATTAATAATATTTTTAAAGTTATTTATTTTAATATATAATTTTAATTTCTTTAATATTTTATTTTATGGTATTTAATTTATTAGTGTTTCAAATGTCTTGAATTATATACAAATTTATTTTAAAAAAGAAAGATATAATAACAATACTAACACTTTAAATTATAGGGTAGTAACTACCAATATTTTTTTGTTGGTTATTTATGTTTAATTTAGTAGTATTGTAAAATTACTTAACTATTTGTTTTTCTTTTAACATATATCTTGATAATTTCTTATCAATGATATTGAATAAATTCAAATTTATTTATATAATATTTAACATTCGTTTAATTGATGATCTTATCATGTAAGATTTTATTCTATAATTTTATTTGAAAATTCAATTTCTACTTGATTCAATTACTGATTACTCTATATGTGGAAAGAAATTTTGTCATGACTAGTTGCCTAAATAATTAAAAAATGTTATCTAAAATAAACTATTGTATACTGATATTGTCATTTTAATGTACAAATATATCTTTCAAATTTTCGTCAAAAACTTTTATACGATACCAATTTTTGTCAAATCAATAATTAAAAATATTTGAGATTAAGTCGTGTAATCTATATTTATTAGGGGGTATTTCCTTTATAATTTTTTATTTTTTAAATAATTGTACATATTTATTATTACCATGAAATTTTGTAAAGCATGATTTATATTGCAAATACTAATATCTAATGATTTCTTCCTAAAATTTTTAACCAACTACCTCTTCAGAAATCATAGTAGTAAATTATTTAAAATACTATCTTACATACAAGACTATAAATAGAAATAAATATTGAAAATAAAATTCATCATTTCTCAAATCTTTTCATTTGAACATTTCTATGACCTAATATTCATTTATTTATCTCTTAAAAATCATTAATTGCGATTGAATAAATACAGAATAATTAATTTTGTGCAGACTTAAAGCATCTGTAATTAAACCTGTATTTCATTCTGGTAATTTAACTATCATGGTTATCATGTTAACTATCAATGACCTTTTTATTTCATTTATGTCAATATTTATTCTTTTTTCTTTTTCTTTTTTTTATTAATTATTATAAATTATCAACTTCGAAATAATTAAGACGTTACAATTTCAGATAATTTAAAAAACTTTTTATTTTTAATGTATACCCGTTTGAGTTTTTGTCACCCTTAATAAATGTTTTCAACAAACCGTTGCTGTCATCTTATAACTTAAATCTTATATTTTTGAAAATAAATTATTTCGTGGCTTTATTTTTAAATTAAATTTCTAATTGAAAAATAATTTCCTCCGAATACTTTTTCTGATTGTTTTTTTTTCTATAGTTTGTTGTTCTTTGAATCATTCATTTTTATTTTTTAGTCTATTTTATCAGCCTTTCTTATTATTAATCATTATTAATAACATTATTACTAACTTTTTAGACTAACTTATTAGATTGTAACTTATTATTAACGAATAATTTATATTTTATTTTAGAACTTTATTAATGAACTTTTTCTTCTATTATTACTTTCAACTATTTATATTTATTTTATCTTAATTTTTATACTTGTTTTATTGATATGATCGAGTTTTCTTTAACATTTATAGTTTTATTTAATATACTGCACACTATTTTATAATGACGTATTTATACTCCAGATTTTGCATTTCTAGGACGTCTCTTGTTTTCTTTTTGGTTAAGAGGGTAAAATCAATTGTTTATTTAATAATTTATTAATATAAAAAAGTTTCCAAAGAACTCGAGGCATCCTATTTTTGGATACTTCTAACGTTTATTATACATATTTAAGTATAAAAACGAAACATTTCATAACTTGCAATGCATCTTCTACATCTCATAAGGCATAGTTTTTTTAATGCATATGGATAGATTAACAAATTAAATATTTTTAAAATTAATAAAAGATAACATATTTACCCTTACTTTTAATTATCTATTTAACTAATTTACTTTAAATATCTTCAATGAATGTACCATTCATAAAACTGCATCACAATTTATTCCATTTATCCTACATATTTTCTAATAGTTTCACAGTCGATCATTCTGAAAGTGTTCCAAAACTACCGATAAGACAGATGGATTTTTACATAGGACTACACACCTATCTACATTCAATCGTCTATTAAGTACTACAAATGTACGTTTAGCATTTAAGAAAAAGACCTTCCTTCAGGTACCATATATATATATAAACAATTCATGAAAGAGAATTGGTATTTCTTTTCAACCAACATTTATTATACTAATGTGCTATATAAGATTTAGATAATGGTTAATGCTATGAATTATTCTCATATTTTTACAATTCTTCCTACAAATCATCATTCTAAACTCTTCTCATAAATTATCTAATTATTTCCTTTTATATCTTTTATTATTCCTTTAAATTATTTACAATATATTATTGGAATTACTTATAGTTTTTCAAAGAATTCTTCTTTAATTATATTTTTTATGCCAAAATATTATTTTATCAGGAAATATGTTTATTGTTCTTAAGATATTTTATACACTTACCATTCTTCCGTTATACCAAAATAGTTTTTTTTACTTTTATTTAACATTTGTACTATTAAATAATTTTTGTCCTACGTACGTACGATACTCATTTTTATTTATATACTAAATTCTTTCCTAATGTTGAATACTTTATTTATTAAATTAATTAAACACTTTATATATAATTCATGTACTTCAATTAAGATAATTAGTAGATTTTCAATGTCTCGTAGCTTTGTTTTCTATTAAAAAGATAATAATTTTACCTTATTATCTACTGTGACAATATAAAATATCAGCTACATTCTTTTAACAATCATCAACGATGGTGCTTCATAAAAAATACATGGTAATTGTATAAAATTTGTAAAAACTATTGTAAAAATTAAAAAATATTTTTTATTGATGTAAGTGTATTTTATAATAGTTAAGTATACAAGATACTGATTATTGAAAAATTGTTATTAGAATAGCTATTTATTAAATGAATTAGTAAGATAAGTAAATATTAACGAAAAAAATCTTTTTTTCTATCAAAGACGTTATTATACAATATAGAACCTGTATATAAAATGCGATATTTGTGGATTGACCATTAAACCAGGTAATTTATTAGCTCAAATAAACATTGAATTTAACTAGTAGTTAGACTTAGATCATAGTTTTTTTAATTTAGAAATGTATCGTTTGTATTAAAATTGATCTTATTAATATTATTTTTTTAACATTAAAACAATGAAGTTTCCTTCTCGCTTAATATTCAAAGTATCTATTAGTTCAATTAAGCTTACTAAACGGAAGCGATGTTCTATTTTTTCTCTTCTATTACCCATGAGTCGTGTGGGATAATGTATATCCATTTTTATATACTCTCCTCTCGTGCAGTGAAATACGTGTATACATCTACCTAAGAATTAATTGAATTGATAATGACTAAATTCAAAGGGGTCACGATTGTTGAGGATATTATATTACAAGCAATTTGTCAAGGACGGTTCAACTCATATTTGAAGAATAAAAAGAAAGAAAATTGCTTTATGGCTATTAATATTGTGACTACTAATGCCACTGCAAGTGATTAAGTAACTTAAAAATGAAAAACTATTAAATTATTTTATATTTTATTAACCCGTATAAAATAATTTTCGTTTTAATTGACTTTATAATTGTTTTACAAGGAAAATCACAAAATG